CTACAATGCATCTGAAACACAGACTCAAAATCCGAATTTCCCTTTTTTCCAGGTAAAGTTAGCAGCTATTGTCACCCTCTTCTTACGCAGGGGGATATTAATGGAAAACCAAACCAAATGCAGTTCTGTTCAAAATGTGCTTTTAAATTCACATAAATTAAATGAAATGTGAGTTTCAGTACAAAGTCAAAGCAACACAATCCAGACACCAGATGGATACCATTCACTTATATCAGTTGATGTTATTGTCAATAATGAGATTGCATTAAGCTGACACCCATACGCCATAACACTGGTGTGCTCACACAGTTTTAGTCTCAATTTCATAAAGAGTGTTCCCACATCTAGTTGTTGCGGTCTAAAGTCACCTGCTCAAACCAAGTATTTGAAACTGTCATCTGAGAAGTCAACTGACAAAAGTCCCATCTTGCATTTCAATAGAAAAGAACCATTGTTAACAGCAACTGCTAAAAGATACCTAAAACCTTAATATAGCACACAACCGCACAGAGCATTGGTCTTTTAGGATTTTCCCACAAGCAGCCCCTTTTACCCTTATTTTTCTCAGCGAGCCACCAGTTGCAGCTAAGGGTACGTAAAGTTATTGTTTCATTTTGGCGGCATCACACCCATGACATGAACAATGATCTGCCCTGTGTCATAAGACAGGTTAAGTAACATTTCAGACAACATTTCCGTAAATGAGGTGCTAACTTGGTTAAATTAAAATGGCCCAACTGTGGTGCAGGGTTAGGACAGTTGCCTGCCAACAGGAAGGCCGGTTATTTGATCCCAGGCTACATGTCGAGCTGTCTGAAAATCAAACCACAGCTCCCTGTAATGCATCCTCAATTTGGGTGTGATGCCTGGTGTCCCGTTTGTGCTAGTATAAAAATTCCTGCCAAATCTGCCATACGAGTCAGTGCTGAGGCGACGACTGACGGGAAACGCCGAAAGGTGACAACTTTGGTAGACTCGACAATTAAAAAAAGGGATATAATACTGGAACAACAAATACCTGGTTTTGCTGCATTTTGTTTTATGGACCAGAGTATTACACCTCTACCATGAATACCAACAATGAAAGATCAGGCCTTTCATCTTTGTAACTAATGCAATAAACAATCCCCATCATCAAAAAAAGTAACAAAAAGGCATATCCACAGACAAATGGATGATTGTACGTCTTTGTAAACTGTTTTAAGATTAATATTGGATGTAGACTGTTTCAATGGGCCTCAGATCAGAGGGTAGATTTTAAGATTTTTTTTTGCTTTAACCATTTCATTGATGCCTTTATGAAGTGAGAAACAAGCACCATTAAAAAAAAAAAAAAAATACAGTAAAGATTACTTGATCCATCTCAGCGATTGAGATAAGAAGCACGTATGAAAAGGTAAACAGAACAAAGAAAAAAAACAGCATTACCTTGACATTTGATTAATGTATTCCTCTCTAATCCATCCATTTATGCTGGTCCATCAGTCAGTTTCTCCTTTTGACTTGCTGCCCTCACAAACACTTTCCTGCTGAAATTACAATGATCTGATGTTAACTGATGGCTTTGGATAATGCCATGGCATGAGGCCAAGCATGCACCTCACAAATCACATTAGTGATCACATCAAGGGTCTTAGCCCCAGGACACATTGTAGATTAATTTTACATAAAATGTAATTTACAATTCATTCATTAAAAGGGCACATTTCACAAAACCATCATGCGCATGTTGTTTAGAGAAAGTAATCCGTTTGGGAAAAACTTATTCTCAGCCTTTTAATAACCTCTTCACCTCCCTGTTATGGTTAATTAAACTGCTTCCCAAGGTGTTACAAACGATGCAGCAACTTTGAAGACAACAATTTGTCAAAGTAAAAGAACACACCTTTGTTCGGTTTACTCTGTCTTTTAAATAGTGATCTGCTTAACTGATCCGTTTCCTATATTTAGTGCTTCAGTTTCATGCCGTTCTCATTCAGTCCGTCTGCTCTACGTCACCTCTGTCCTGACATCTCTCCCAGCAATGACTTCCCTTAAGCAGTACTAAAGGCAGAAGTCTTACTCAAAGGTACGTCAAGATTTTATTGTACATCATTTCCTATGAAGGTTGATCAGTATCACTAAGTTTCAGACATCAAGTCAAGTTAAGAGGAGATTTTCTAAGAACTTTGTAGAGACTGAAGTCATTCTAGTATCATGAGACATTCTTTAGTTTGCGGCTGGCTGATCACTAGTTTTTTAGTGTTCTTTGGCTGCTGTTTTACAGTTTATTTGTAACCATATGCAGGTAATGCGGGTATAAGACTTTGTGAGGAGAATGCCTGTGCCAACAGGAGAAACAAAAGCAGAGGGGAGATGCTGAGGTTTTTCCATTTTGTCAAAGAATGGCATGCAAAATAGCAATGCCCTCTTTAAACTAAATGAAAGATTTCAGATATCCAAAGCCACTTAATCTTGAAAAAGAGTTTTTAAGAATTCCCAAAAGGTAGAGAGGGGGACTGCTGCTCTGAAAGTACCCACTGGTCCAAAATGAACAATCACAAGCAGAAGGACAGTTTCAAATCCAAGGTATATACATTTTTCATTTCCTCTTTTGAAAAGCTTTTTATTTTGCCAGTGTATCAGTGCAAACAGATAATCATCTCACTTTGGTGGAAATATCAGCATCAGGGCTGACATTTGGCTAAAATGAATAAGGAAATAATCAGCATATCAGATACTGGCAGCAATCCAATATGGTATGGGCTTATTTCTTCCTTCACTTATTCTAAATCACATACAAACAAACACATGCCAATCCAAGAAATTAAACTATTGAAGCATTTAAAGTAAAATCACATGCACTTCTGTGCATCATGATCGGGAGTCAGAACCTGTCTGGTTTAACCCATTTTTCCTGAATTAGTTGTTGTAGATGTTGTTTGGTCTTTGTGACACTAAACAGAATGGTGAAATGACAGATGCAAGATAAATTTGATTTTCAATGACAGTGCAAAGGATGGTACATTGATGACAATTTACAGAAATGCAAGAGCCTGCAGAAGAGAGCACATTTCTAGTTTGTCCAGCAACATCAAAGCCTTCCTTTCTCTAAAGGATGCCTCCACTGTGAATTAATTTTACAACAAAAGGAAAGGCACTGAAAGTGGCTTTTCTGGAGAGTGTCCAGCTGTGCACAAATGGGTACACTCCATTGATTATCATGATTTTCCTTGCAGTCAAACATCTTGACGGTTTGTATTAGATGGAGAGGCTTTGATGACAGAAGACCTAATGAGAGGATTCTTGTTACTCTGTCCTTCAATAAAACAGAGAGAGCCTCTTCATCTACTTTATCAATAATTCATACATAACACAATCTCACATGGTAATGGTACGATAAATGGATTCTGGACCTAACAAAATAGCTTGTTTTGTTTTTTCCCCTCACCACTTCTAAGTCAATAATAAAACTTGATGCCCTTGTTTGTTGAGATGGTTGCTCCTCATTTCACATTATTGAAACTAATGGTGCCTTTAAATAAGGTCATGATTCCACAGGGTTACAAATAAATTCTCTATTTTTTTTAAAATGAGGAGTTTGTGACTTTAAAGTGAGAATACAGAAATGATTCAAGTTTGACATCATTAGATCACAAGTTTCATTTTTTGGGCTATAAAACATGAGTCCATTAATCAGCCTTTATAAAGATGGAAAAGTCACCTTTTAAAGTTTACTTTTGTTGTCTGGGTTTTGGTGTACATATAGTATGATCCCAATGTGTTTTTTTTTTAAACCGAGCCTTTATCATTTTGAAGGCAGGTGGGATGTTGTAATGACTCTTGTTACTGGATACAGGAGAGAAGTCAAACAAAAGCCTAATTAAAATTAACTATCAAAGTAAATCAATGCCTGAATGTAGTTCATAAAAACACACACACTGACCATAACAGTCCATGAATTAACACAGGCCTATCAAACCAGGGGGTGTTTTATACATTAGAGCTGAAAAGAATCAGCAGCAGAGCTTAGAAGAAATGCAAACATACAAACACTTGTAAGATGTAGCAAGTTGACTTGAACAGAATTTGAGCACTTTCTGATATTTCAAACAGTTTTCTTTGTCATATTTGATGAGAATTATCAATGTTCTTTACTTTTGGGAGCTGTCCTATAAGGAACGAATTCATTACTGGCTTGAATCTTATTACATTCATAATTTTAAAGGTTATGACCACCATTTCAACAGTACTGAAAATAAAACTGCTGATGTCAATTGGTATTAAAATCACACAAATGTAGCATTTTGGTCCTAACCTGCAAGGTTTAAGGCTAACCAAGAAATTCAGTGAGACCTACGATATTGTGTGTCAATTTTATTCAGTCATTTTTTTAAATTTAACAATTAAAACAACAAATTGAAGAGTCTTTAGCGTGTAGTATGTCTGAGCTCTGGGAGGTCTGCAGGTCAGTCTGTAAACAATCAAGAAGCCATACTGATTTCTTGGTTTTAAATACTTAAAAGCTTCTTACTTTTATATACGTATGTCTGTTTATCCTGTTGGAGGAAGGAAAAATGGGAAATTTCTCTTTTTTCTTTTGTCATGTGGGTTCCAACTTGCAAACAGTTCACCCATCTATTCTTTTAGCTGAGATTCATTTGATCACCGTTTGCTTTTATCAGCATCCACATCAGCCCAAGATGTTACGTTAATGTCTGTTGGGAACCTGTGTGGTGACATCTACCCCAAGCTGTCAGTACATGTACACACAGTTCTGCAAACCAGATGAACTCGACCCAAGTCAGCATGTAACAAGAAGCTTTCACTTTCTGTATTCTTTTTAAGAAAAAAAAGAAAAACCTGACGGACAACCTTAGAGGGACAAAGATATTTATGGGAGATAGGGGAGGAGTAAGGAGGAAAATGGAAGTTAGGACTCTTGAGGTAAAATGCATGTGGGTGGAACATAAGCAGAAAAACAGGAAGACAGTGATAACGTGCCAAAGTACACCTGAAAGTACACCTGCACACCTGAGTACAGCCACTCCTTTCCCAGGACACATCAGAGATGGTTGGGGAGCGGACACAGGAGACTGCTCTGAAACATCAGAGCTATAACACCTTTCTTTAGAATTACCAACTTGACCAAAAATTGTCAACAGAATTGGAGTATTTTTGTAACCTGCAAACACCAGAGGAAGATGTGGTCGGTGAATGTCATGAGTCTTCTCCTGTTCTGCTACGGTGAGTACAGAAAAGCTGATATTGATATATGGTTTGATGCAAGACAACTATTGGAGGAAAAAAAAAAGGTGTGATTGTGTGACTGTTTCTAAGTAGTCTAAGTAGAACAAACAGTACAACAATGGCAATGAAGCACTAAAGCCAAATGACACCAATGAGGATATGGGTCAACGCGAGTTACAGATCAATGGAAAGTGAAGATCTTTTCTTATAGATTATCAAAGATTGACAAAATCATAAACAATTATCCACAACCATGTGGGTGGTTTACAAACTTGTACTTTTCACAACACCATTTACAAGGGATTTAACGCAAAACTGACCACCTCTGGGATGTTGTTAGACATGTAAAGCTTAAAACTATGAACATACATTTTACAACAGCATTTGAACTGTAAAATGGTATGGTTTGATGTAAAATGATCTCTACATGTTAAAGATGAAAGGGGCAAAGTTAGGTAGAAGGCACGGTTTAGAGTTTCAGCAACTAGCAGAGGCAAAGTCCAGCTACAGGAATTTCCCAACGGTGCTGGTATCAGATTGTGAGGCGTCACTCAGGCTTAAGCTGCCGTAGTGCAATAACCTCAGCTGTTTGGGTCTGAGCAATAATCATGTAGTTAAAACAGTCATTTTAACCCACTTTAGTCCTCATTTTTACATTCATGAAATAAGAGATCGTACGTTTTCTTAAAAAGGGAAGGTTTATTTTGTTTGTTTGTTTTTTTAAATAGCTTTCAGGATTTTCAATTTCCTGAAAGCTAAAGTTACTGACAGGACATAATAGGGCACAAAACACATATTCAGACCTTGCCTTTTTCCAACAGCTTGTCTTTCAATTGGAGATGGTGAAGTGTATTTCAGTTCAAAAGACTTTTTCAACGTCCTCCAATGGGATCCTGTGAATCCTGCTTTTCCTGGTCAAAAAGTGCTCTACAGTGTGCAGTTCCACAGGTAAGACCTTGACAATAGCTAAAAGATTCTATATCACAATGGTTACCTCTGTTACCCTATTGAACACGTGTGCCTCACAATAAAGAGGAGGCAAAAGGAATACAATATTTGCAGAGTAAACACTTGCTTAGGTCACAGTCCAAAAGTCTTTCAGGAAATACAAGGCTGAATTCATATAAGCGCTGAGTCAAATCTTCAGTGTCAAGTATATTTTCTGCTACTTTCATTACAGAGATTATGAACAGCACTACCACCTAAAGCAGGAGTGTCAGAACATCACCAGCCTCTCATGTAACCTGACTGCAGAGACCCCATCAGCGCACGATGTGTACTACAGGGCCAAAGTGTGCGTCAGTGGTAGAGCGTGTAACTGCACCACCAGCTTTATGCCTTTAAGACACAGTAAGAACCTCAGAATTCACTGTAGTTTTCATTCAATTCCTCTAGATCAGGTTTTTTCTGCTGAAGCACTCATCTCTCTTTGCGTCCATAGCCAATCTTAGTGCTCCCGTTTTGTCTACATACACCACACCGTCTGTCCTGCACATCAAAGTCACCCTGCCCTTGGGGCCAAATGGAGTCTCCATTGCCGATATAATCACAAAAAGCAAACAAGGGTTCTCCAAAACTGTACCTTTGTACATTTTAAAAATCACCAATCCAGAATGGGCAGCGCAGGTGAGTAAAATATACAAGATACACATTTTTTGCATGCAAGTATGCCTGGTAAATTGCATAACAGGTGACACTACATCTCATCTACAAGTGCAAAATAATGATAACGTCTTCAAGACTTTCATGTTTATGTTTAGCATTTGGTCTTCTGGGAATGTTAAACCTGAGCAATTATACAGATCACGCATGACCCTTGTGTTCCGTTTCTTCAGGAAATTCAAAACACAAAAGGCCAGTTTGAGATCAATTTGAAGTACAACCAGACGTCCTATTGTGGTTATGTGGTCTACAGACCAGCATCAGAATGGGGTCGCTCAGACAGTGAAAAAGCCTTCTTCTGCGAAACACTGAAAGGTAAGCAAAAACAAGGACGGCAAATGTAATATGTGCACGGCTCATTTGTAAATGATAACCACCCAGACAAGCTTCAGCTAGATATGCTAATTTTATGGGATGCAGGAATTTGGTGTCCGTTTTGTGAACTGTTTAAGCATGTCTAAGAACAAAATTATTGGCAGAACGAACCCTTAACATTTCACAAAATCTGACTTGACTATTGAGGCAACAGTTTGAAACTCCTTGTGAGGTTTCAAAGGGCCCAAACGTTAGGTAAAAATAAAAGAGTAATAGCAGTCTGCAATAAATCCAAATAAAATAAATCCACAAATGGCATGAAAGTCTAAAATGCAAACATTTGAAGTGCACAGGATATAGAACACATCCTAATATTACAATAAGGTGCTAAATTGTTTCACCCTGAACATCTACACATACTGTACAACTGCAAATCATCTTGTTCAATTTTTTAAAAATTTGATTTGTAAAAAAATGAGATTTTTTTTTTCAAAAAGGGTGAACAATGGTCAAAGGTTGTGGCACCTTTTAAATTTGTTTTACTATTTTTATTTTGTATTTTGTGTACTCAAATGCGGTTTAGTTTCCATCTTCATTTCTTAGTTTTGGTTTCTATCTTCATAAATCATCATGAATGTGAACATGCTGTCATCTTAATTTATAGCTGTGCACTTTTTTTCTTTGACATGTCGACAAAACCCATTGTCCTCTCCTTTAGATGATCGAATGCTTCTACAATGGCTTCTCATGGGTGTTGCACTTCTGGCAACTGTGGCCATAATATCAGCTGTTTGCGTGTGCAACTATGTGAAGGGTGGAAAGACAAAGAGCATGCCACAAGGATTGGTAAGATTATTCTTTCGTCATGACCGTGCCTTGAAACAACCAGGAAATACTGCTTTACAGGAAAATCAAGCTCTCCAGCAAATTACCATACGTTGATAGGTTATGAGTCAGCAGCCTCAAACACACACACACATATACATATGTATACATACACATATATATATATAAATAAATTTGTGTGTGAAATATTAAACAAAAGATAGTGCTCAACAAGTCTTCATAGTCATTTTATCATTTCACCATATCCTCTTAATTTTCAATACAGGCAACCACTTTCAAGACCTGTAAACCATTGCAGCATCTGGATAAAAATCTCATCATTTTCGAAGCACAGGTCTGCAGTGAAAACGACCACAAAGTTAACACAATCAAGTTGAACCAAAATGGGTCATCACGTGCATCCGGGGGATATTTCCCACAGGGCGTATGCCAAGGAAGCAAAAACTCTTTTGAGGGCTCAAGTGAGCACAGCAGAAACCCGGATCCAGAGGACACAAGCGCGCAGTCCTCTGAAATCTACTCGGGAGTCGTTGTCCATGTCCAACCAGGACAAAATTATACTTTTCAGAATGTTGCTACCAAAAACAGAGAGACTAGACCTTCGGTTTCATTCTCTGAAGGAGAAGTGAACTCTGATGGTCATGGAATCATTCCAGATTCAGCATTACATGAAGCACCAACATTAGCAGATTTTATTGTTGGCAACACGAGTCCAAACCACCAGCTGGTGTTGCAAACAGTACGGACTATCAATGGACAACTCGTCTGTCCTTCATTGAAACTTATGTTAAAGAGTGACATAGATGAACAGATGAACCCAGAATGGAAACCTCTATTATCAGACCTCACAAACTGCCAGGATGGACCATCATTAGCATCCTTGCAGAGCTTTGACAGCTCGGAGTTGCACGACTCTGGGTGTGACGATAGCGCTGTAAACACACCAACAGGCACATACTGCAACCAACATTACTCCCACTCTCAAATGGTTCCCTTTGACAAAACAAACCATGACGGTTAAGAAGAATCAGTTGAATAAGCGCATAAAACTAAAACTGTTGAAGTTCAATTCTCTGACAAACATTAAAAAGGAGTCGACTTCTGACGGGGTCATTTTGGGAAAATGCCGAACATGGCTGCATCGATAGTTGTGCTGTGCGATGCCTTTCTGATCAGGTGAAATCTGGCGTCTTTGATTAAGAATATTGGAGATGCTGGACAGCTGCTGATTGTGGGATTTCTGTCCGTGCCATCTGCAGAGAGTTGACCTGCATTTCCTGCGGAGACTGTGATACAATGACCTAAGTTGTTGCTATACAACAACAAAACACCATAATGCACTCAGGTGTGTCCGTGTTATACATTACCAAAGCTCATGTCTAATGATGTGATCTGATTTTCTATCTATTCCATTTTGTTATCTATAACAATAACTGTACTTGACATTGTATTATTGAATTAAAGCAGCGTCTGGTATGTTAACTTTATTTATTCAATGGGATATTTACATTGTTGTATTTCTGATCCCATTTAAAAAATCCTTGTGATGATTAATTTTTCCACAACATACAACTATTAAACCTCTGAAATGATAATGTTGTGAACTATTTAAATGGGCCGTAAGGTGACTGAATAAATATCAAATGGATTTCTATCCTATTTCCATACTCTCCAACATATAATCAGTATACTGTTACAATCTGTGTCTAAGAAGAAAAAAAGAAACTGGCCCACTCATTTGTCCTTCTGTTTGCTGTTCTTGCAATAGAGGCGAAAGAAAGCGCATTACAGCCGATATATTTGCAGATGGTGTCATGGTACAACATGAGCTGGGTTGATAACAGCATGGCTTTTAATAGCAGGCCTGTAATCTTTTATATGCAGCTGTAAAGTCATAATGCCTTGTGTGTTGGAACAGTGTGTTGCGACTTCCTCTGAACTACAGAGAACACAGTAAAAAGTATGTCTTATTCTGTATGTAACCCTGGATTTTTACTTAATGTGTTGTAGTTAAACAGAGCAATTTTATCTAGAACCATTGTGAATCAGTTGAATAAGTGCTGAATCTGAAGACAGAGTAGTAAAGTTGACTTTTGTAAAATGTCTTTTAACTGACTCCAATTCATCAGCCAACAAAATAACTTAATGACTTAACTAGACACTTCAAGTATAAAAATAAAAAAGCTAGAACAATAAACATCTGTTATTTGAAAAAGATCAAAACTGCCTGCTGTGTGCTGGTAACACTCAGTAATAATAAAAAAAGGAGGTGAGTTTAGCTGCATAACCAGTCCAAAGTTAAACTACAGACAAAAAATTGGTGTAGTTTTCAGGAATGAATTTAAACCATTTGAACCACCAATGAATTTGCGCCATATCCCTCATGAATAGCAACTTTTCCTTCTCAAAATGTTTGTTTTTCTTTCAGTAGCCACCGTCATTCCAGAGGTTAAAATATCTAAAATTACATCTCACTGTTTGACGTGTGTGTGTGTGTATATATATATATATATAATGTGAAACCTACTAGATTAAACTGCAAAAGCTACCTTAGTAAAGTTGAAAGTCTAATCATGCTTTTAGAAAATAAAAAAATTATTTTACTTGTAACCTTGTTTTTGGAAAGGAGAGTTTCATCATGTCCTTCCAAATGCTGTCATGCTTGCGCATGGAAAGATGTCAAAACAAAAAAAAAATTACAATAAAAGGTTTTATATTTGGAGCACTGACATATTCTATTCTTTTCTCTGCCAAAAACTGTGGATCTCCTTCAAATATCCAAGTCAGGAGAAGATCGAATGGGAGATTGCAGGGAAAATCTTAAGAGTGCATGAGCCATGATACACCTTTGAAAAGGGAATAGCTTTTTGAATGAACCCCTGCACAAATAGAACTTCAATCATCGCTGTTGTATAACTGCTTGGGATCAATGAATACATTATTGGACAGACTGTAGGCCACCAGTTATATCTAGCACATGGATGTAAGACAACAGGGTTTGACTGCCATCAAATGATAATTTCCCTCACTGCAAGAAAAGTTTGTAGATCGCTGGAAACCTCGAAACACATTGAGGATCACACACACACACACACACTTCATTGTCCAAATTTTCCCTCACTTATTCACATCTGTGTTGAGGCTCCTTGTTCATTCTCTCACCGATAACTTCAACCTGTTGAATATAAACACCAACCCTAATGGAGCCCAATTAAAGTTCTCCTACCTGGACAAACATACTTACACAACACTATTTAGGGTCAAATAACAGCAACATAGTAAGGACATTTTTTTATGATATATTTTCAGCCACCTCTCTAATTAACACACGACTTACAGACATTAACAAATCTTATACTTAGCAAGACTTGGCCTCATTCATCATAACATTGGAGAGGCCCCGCTAATCGAATCAAAACGGCTTCATGAATTACAGAGCACATTTTCTTTTGATGGTCTTTTTCAGCTTTGAGATGACAAAAATTTCACAACCAGCAGTCTTTTTATCCTGCCAATCTATTTGAAAAGGCATCAAGCTTTCCCCTAAAAACAAATTACTTGATAAATTACAGTCTGCGTGTAATCGGATGCCATCAGTTTGACCCCTCCCTTTCTTACATTCTAATGATTCCTTAATGGGTCCCTGATTGGAAAAAGGTATGGAAACAGTTGTCAAGGCCAGCCAGGAAATGATTGATCATCTCTGAGACTCTGGTGTCCATTAAGGCCTATTCTAGACCCAATTGCTAGGTAAGAGGATCAATTTCTTTTTTAGGAATACTCAGTTGAATATGAACTTCGTAGTGTTGTGCTTTTCTCTGGACGTATGGAATGGTAAATGGGTGCTGAAAATACTTCAAATGAGAGGGTATACTTGACAAACCAAGTAGATTTTAGTTTAATTTCCAGCCAACTAATAGCCCTTTTATATTGTAAATTTCTTGCCAGTTCATGATGAAGCTTTTCACATCCACGATTCTTCATATCCATCAACTGACTGATTTTTGGACAAACTTACAGGTCTGAATCAATCTGTGCTGATTAAAAACACCCATCACCTTAACGTTAGACATCTGTGAGCTCCAAATTAAATGCAAAAATTAAATTAAATTTGCTGTGTGGTCAACTGTCATTCATAATTTACTCCACTAAAAAATGACAAAGGAAGAATGAATTCTGCAAAAGTGCTAATCATTATTAAAAACCCAGTCATTCAGCCACCATTTGTTCTCTTGGTTTTCACCAGATTACACATTTGGGGCATCAGGTGCTCTGTGTACATGCAAACAGATTGATTTGCATAAATTGTGCAAATAAATCAGGCACTAACCTGACAGATGCAGCACTCAAATTTTAAGTAGCTCTAAAACAACATGTCAGCAGAAGTGCTTTTCCGTGCCATAAACAGCAACCAAGACAGTAACATAAATATTGTTGAGCAATCAGTCAGCAAGGGGAAGGGAGGTCTTAAAAAAACTAAAATAAAAATAAGTCCCTTGGACTAAACATTCCATTGTAAAATGCCAACAAAAGGCATAAAGAAATAATTATTTTTTCTCATCATCAATATCATAGAAACACCCATCCAAAGTGTCAATGTTCAAAGTTTCACCAAAACCTTGATACCAGTTTTCCAGTAGATCAAAGTCCACTTTGGTCAGCAGAGGAAAAGTGACATGCAGGTTACATTTATGAGAAGGAAAAGGAAAACTTACGTCGTTCCTCTTTATCCAATCAAAAGACACCCTGTCCAAATCCAATTTTCCATCTATATCTTTTGTCACTGAAGCCCCTTTGTGGGGTGGAGTCTGCCATACCCTGAAGAGGAATAGAAAGTGATAAAAGTAATATTAGTATCAGTTTTATCCACACTAATCAAATTTTCATATATTTTGAGCAACGGTTGTCATTATCTTATTCTCTGGTGTGTGATTTAGATACACATTCATTTTTGATGGATTTCTTTATTCATTGTCTTTATAAACAGGGTCAGTACTGACCCTGGTCAGCAGATGACAGAGGCAACAAGTAATGTTCAGATCGTTTTTCACTTTAGACATACATATCAAGCAGCATCATGACTACATTTGGTTCAGATCATCCGGTGACACAGACTTTAAACTTTGCAAAATGTTTTCCTCCAGTTTTTCCTGACACAAAGCTACAACAAAGGCTTGCTATAAAAAGCTAGATATATCAGCCAGAATTACTTGTTTTATTAATGCATTATTAATCTCTTAATCTGAGAATTGAGGTAAACTACTCCAGGATATCCCTGAATCCTAGGAGACTCTGTTTTGTTGTAGTTATTCTTAGTCTCCCGGTCACTGCATACATATAATGAGAGAAGGGGGCGCCTGGCAACCCGAGCCTGCATTGTGTGTTGATATTCCAGAGGCAGGTGTGGCCTCTTAAATCTTATTTATAACTTTTCATCCTTCCATAGAAATAAATGAATAAATAACACACTATGACCTTGAATTATGTCTTTTTTTCTTTGCAGCTCCAGAAAACTTTTAGTCCCCATCAATCAAGTCATCACGGGACCCAAATAAATTACTCAGCATGCATAGGAAGTAAATAGAGGATAAACTAAAAGTAATATTTTTAAAATTTTGTCTACAAAAGAAAAAGAAAACCTGAGAGGGGGACAGATACAGCTGCTTGGAACTCTTCCAAATCCAGTGTAAAACCCCCCCCAAAAAACAGACTCATTCAAGGAAATGGATCAGCAAAATAAAAGCAGGGGCCAAGCAGAATGTTAAAAAGGGGCATTGCAAAAGACTAGCTGAGGTCAAATTATGGAAAACTAAATCAACTTTCATTATTAATTTAGAACCAATATTGGACTAAATTCTGTAACACTTGGGTCAGTTTAACTGCTAAATATAAGCCTCAATTTACCATCGAGTACACATTTTTCACTTTAAAAAAGATTTACCATAATTCAATCATGAAAAGAACAATTAAATGTAAATCAGACATTTATAGATAAGGATGTAAAAAAACTTTTAAGAAAAATTATGCCATTTTGCTTAATAGTCATACAAAGAATTGTGATTATTGGTTTAACTGTCTGCGTTGACAATTCCAGACAAACCAGGGAGGCTCGGTTGTGAGTGCATCATCATCATCAGTACCTTCAGCATCACCATTGAAAGTTGAAGACATTTCAATTAGAATGAACCCAGTGTTTTATTCTCACTACTCAACCAAGTTTTTCATTGTTGTTTGTTTTTTTATTACTATTCCTTTCCTTTCTCGCCCCCCTATCGTTTCCCCCATTCTGTCTTACTCAGATTCCAAATTATTGAATGGTAGTAAAACAGCTGAAACAATGTGTACACATTTTTCTCCTGACAATTTGGTGAACAGAAGCCATTCCAGCTGTTCGGGCAGTCTTGGATGGGGGTATATTCTGTGAACTCTTTGCTGTTGGGGAGGGGGGGGGGTCATTGTTGATCTATATTTACCAACTTAAGAATGACAGAGCATTGTGTTGTCCACATACTTGGCACCGAAGGACACTTTTTGCTCAGGGTCACCCTCACTGCTTCTGACACAGGAGAGAGTGAGGTGGACTCAGACAGAAAGTGAGAGGTAATAAAGAGAGGTGAGACACCACGACTTAACATCTTCAAGGTGACAGACAGGCAAACAGAAGAGGGAGCTGGATATATCCATCCTAAATATCCGTGACAACCCGAGGACTTTACCCGTTTAAGATTTTACTTTAAAGAGAGTGAGTGGGCTTTCCGTTAACTCTTATTTGCTGAATACTAGTTTTTCATCATTTACCAGTTACATAAGGTTACTAACACATTGGACTACCTGATAATGCTAATGATACACTCCAAACGTTGAACTTCTGCGACACAGCTAAAGAAATGCTTTTACTTTGTGTAGAAGTGATCCGTCAGAGAGGCTTCCTTTCACTTAGGTTTTTTTGCTCGTTTCACCAGCGAGTGATTTTTTTTAATATATAAAATGGTCTCTCTTGAGTTTTGACTTTTGATGGCCTAAGTGGATGAAGCTTTTAATTACTCCCTGGGGTAAAAGGAAGCTCCCTCCCTGTTCCGACGTTGTCTTCCACAGCAGAGGGAACAGTAAATCATTTGGTCCCCATTGCTTTTTCTTGTACAGTTTTTGCATTATAAAAAGAAATTGAGCTTTCAATTTCCTCTAGAGATGAAAAACAAATGTATGAGGAAGCAGAACCGCTTTGCTTTTGCTCCTTTTCCTGCAGAAGCCTAGGACCATGGCTTGCCTGTGTAGATTGATCAATTCTAATGTGCTACACTTTTGCCTGCTCCAACAAACCTGCCTGTTTGCACAGGACTGAGGCACAAAAGAAAGCCGCAGGGGAATTGGCTGACCCACAAGCGTAGTCGCCCGTTAGCCAACGTTGCACCGTTTTCCACTATGTAATTGAAGGAGATGAGAAGAAATAACACATTATGGTGCAAACACAGGTGGTTTCTGTTGGGAATGGGTGAATGAAGCCATCACTCAGGCACGCCCTGATTCTGTTTGTTGGGTGCATTCTGCGCTCACTTCCCCAGAGCAGCCACATGATTAATGATGAGCGGGGTGTGGGCAGGAGCATGGCAAACATCGGCTGATGGATTTTCAGGGCTCAGTATCCCACAAAAGGGTGATTCATTTAACATGGGACTGTAACACACCTTTTCGAAATGCACACCCCCAACCTCCAGAAAACAAAAATCACATTCAGGAGAGCTGGTGCTTCCACAAATTAAGCTCATATTAAGGATATTGTAACTGTTTAATCATGAAGCAAATCAGAAATATATCAAAGTTGACATTTTTAAAAGATTGAATCAGTTTAAGGGGGCATTATTGACATTTGGAATGCAGCCACAAATGATATGCCGTTTGATGCTCATTTGCTAAATGGAGGCCTGGAGGTCGACATAAGTTTGATGCATGCTTTGTGAAAAAAATAATTAAATAAAATAAAATAATCTAGGGAGGGACTGGGCTTGATATCGATTCAGGAGCATTACATTATTAAAAGCACCCTGCTCTGGTTTTATATGCACTCTGGATGACCCGCAGACAATTTTCTGACTACATAAAGAGTGGTGTCCAAATGTTCCCATTTTTGTTTTTGGGAATAATGGGTTGTTTCAAATGAATTGACATCTGGGGACAACAACATGGCAAGAATTTGTTTCCCCACTTCTTAATGAAGCACTAGAACTGTAAAAACAAGGTATATTGAAGTTAAAGTACAACATAAATGAATCTCTACATAAATCAACTTTTACCTGTCAGACTTCATGCATGTGTCTACCTGGCTGTGCCAGACGGCTCCAGCGTATGACTCAATGACTCCCACACAACTTTGCAAACTCATTCCAACAACCCCTCCCTCCAACAGGTGCAGATTGGAGTCAGTTACCATGGAAACCAGGATGGTGATGCATCGAGAGCAGGAGGAGCAGTCATCCAAGATGTCTCAAAGTATGCAGCTGTCCTCCCAGACCAAAAAGCGGACATTCACTTCCAGGTACTACAAGTTTACCGACATTCAGCAGGACAGGATAGAAAAACAGTTTTTTTTGTATGAAAACTTTAGGCAAAAAGGATTTATTGGTGAGACTCTATGAAGTACAAAGCTGATAACACACAAGTAGTGAACCACTATATACATCATTTTTTCCCCCATAGAGTACATGTTTGATGTTTAATGTATTAGAATTATATCATTTATTATTCTTATAGATTAAGAGATTCCAATTTTATACAAAAACATGACTCAGCAATTGTACAGATTTAACTTACAAATCTGTGCCACCATGAAACTTTTTAATCAAAACTAAATAAAATTCAGTCAGTGTTTTGAGATGGGTCACTTATTTCACCCATCGGTTTGAAGAATTTTTCAGAGCATTTATTAGCGCCTTAAATTTAAGAGGAAAAAGATAGACATCACTGCATTCGTTAGGAAAGTGGAACTTTAGGCTTAAAAACAAATTAAATGATTTTTTTTAAGTCAACGAGACATCATAAAAGGCTATTCTTTCTATAGTGCAACAACCACATATATTAAACCGTTTGGTATTATGCTGCATAACGTGGCCAAAGTGTTTCTGATCAAAAACCACTGATTTGATCTCAGTTCACAAAAGACATTAAGCATTTATGAGAGAGCCATACAAGAGCAGCCAGGTTATTTCAAGCAGACATTATATTCACTCAAGTATTTTCTGTAGGGTGGAAACTGCTAGCAGAAGATAGTCACACAACATCCAACACATCCTTGTAATAAATTAAGTCTACTAATAAAAAATCCTGATCATTAAAGTCGGCAGCTGACTTCATTTATGAGGTGCATGATGATGCTGAACCAAAACCTGAACAACTCAAGGACACACATATCTTTGGTTTTATTCAATCTAGAAGACTATTTTTCTTCAAACCAGGTAGTGGCTTTCAGCATTTACTTTAAAAAAAAAAATAAAAAAAAAAGAGATATACACATTTGTCACAGAGCCTGCACATCAGAATACCAGATGGTTCTAATATGGCCCAACAGAAATCACTTCTGCTCTGCCATAATAGTCTCAAGTCATATTTATCTTCATTTTACAGCCCCGTCAGATGTGAGTTATTAAATTAGGCTAACCTGTGGGTCCATGATCTCTATTGTAGAAGAAAGGGAATTGGACCGATTTTCCTCCTCAGGGATAATGAAAATAAGCAATTATTCCATCAGGCTCAGCTCAGTTTGAACTTAAGAGGACATGACTATCTTTGTGTGAAAAAGAGAGCAGGTGCACAGTGAAATTTAAACTTAGAACATCCTCACTGGGAGTACACAGAATTATCCTCATGTTAGAATAAACAAGGTGACCTCCACGTTGGTTTAGCCAACATTAAGAAGTGAATGGATTTGCATTATATATTGCCATTCTTTCAAGTCATACAGATTGGGCCTCATTCAGTTTTTCCAATTCAGTTCCTCATACCATTTTTGTAAAAAATTGTTTAAAATGAATACAAATCTTGCATTTTGTGCCTACTTTACTAGCACCTGCTTGTTTTAAATGCATGTTCTGAGTGATTGGGCCCCTGAGTGTATAAATCCATAGCTGCACTTAAGTGATACCGCCCAGCCGCAGGCTTTTCACCACATTATTCAACAACAACAAGCCTCTGAGCAACCACTCATAGGGAACTTAAACAAGGCAAAACAAAGCAATATAAGACAGGGAAAGCAGAAGTTGTCCTCCGAGTACCGTGAAGTGGGGAAATTTCCCCACTTGCAAACAAAAGAAAAACGAGAAGTTATTCTAATTTGCATAGCAATTTGTATGACAGGTTGTTGAAAGTAATGCCTCAGGCCACATGTTAGCAGCAACGGTAGCTGAGGACTGTGTTATTCACACCTGTGTACATATACAGGTCGACCACGCAAACTGATTTTGTTCTTCTGTTTTTTATGTTAAAATAGATTGTAACATACTCTACTTTAACACCAGACGAAATATATCATAAATATTCCTCCAAAGGAAAACACACACTATATATATACTATATATATATAGATATTATTTTGTTTTTTTTAATCCTCTTGCTGTAGTCAATGATTCCTAACACACAAGGCAGACCTCATCACTGGGTAACTGGAGAGCTGAAATCTTTGCGTCTCCCATTACAAATACGTCTTTCAACGTCAATGCCACAAGAGGCCATGTCGCCAACAACAAATACCTTCCCTTGTTAATGGGTGTGCAAATAGAAAAGGTCATCTCACTTTGGTTGGCACTATACAGAGAGAGTTTGTGCTCTATTGTAGTTGGAGTACGATTTGCACGTAAATGTATGCATTTCAAGTCTAATAAAAGAGACATCAAGTGGCTGTATTTTTGATTAACAATCATTTCACTGTACTTATCCAGCAAGTGTTTTTTTTTTCTTTTTTGCTTCTTTTACATGTTCAGTCCAGCTCATCAACTCTGAGACACAAACAGCCCAATTAACCGCATACTCAAATACATTGTCGGACTAGAGAGTGGTTGACGCAATGCTCTAATACTGCAATGGGGGGGGGGGGGAGAGAGAAAAAATTGATAGTGACCCATAAACAGTCTGTTTAACAGCTTTAAAACCATTTGGCTCATAACCTACATTGTTATCATGTGTGTGAGGTCACATCAGCTTTCCTAGTTCCTCCCAATTATGTAAAGCTCCCTGAAGACAATAACACCAGTGAGGAAAAGGGGAACACTGACAGAGCAGAAGCAGCTGATTACCGTTTTGACAATTCTCACACAGAGTTAAAATAGGTCGTTTCAAATGTGGGTTGCATCCATTTAATTGGTCTGATAAATACAAAAAAAAAAAAGTTTACAGTTTAAATAATGACTAAATACCATTGCATACTGCACTCACTAACTTATATACTGCTTTTTAAACCTTTTTTCGTTTCCCTGTACTCAAATTTGCAACAAATTCTGCTGAGCATCTAATTCTGACCTAGAGCTCAGACACAGATCCACAGTGAAAACAATAGACGACATTTGAGCCCCCTTCCACCCATCCCCAAGTTGCAGCTAATCGGAGGGCATTGCTGTAAAAACCAACCCTAATGTTCCATAATCATTCTAAATTAAGTCATCCTGATATGAACACTCAATACCTCAATCAATTAAGTCAATAGAAACCAAATGTAAGGATGCAGATTTCTGTCGTGACATTTTATTTTTATTTTTTATTTATTTATTTATTCATTTCATTCAATACAAAGAAAATCTTTCATTTCATTCAATACAAAGAAAAATTAATTTAAAAAAATGAAATGAAAGGTAGCAGAAAGAAGAAAATAATCTTATAATATCTGCCCCTTTTTCTCAACTATGGATCAAAACAACAAAAAAATAAAAATAAAAAAATTAAATTGATTTGTCTTGTGACAAAAAAAGAAAACAAAGGAAAAACAAGAAACAAGGTCAATCATCAATCTCAACTGAACGATACTATACTCTAACTTTATACTATTTCATACTTCTTCAAAAAAACAATCTTTAACATTCTTTTAAACATGTGTAATGATTTAACATTTTTAACATCGTTTTGTAGGTCGTTCCACAGTTTGACTCCTTGTATCGAAGTACATCGTTCTTTCAAACAAGTTCTGAATTTAGGTTTCTTAAAAATCTGTGTCCCCTTAAGGTTATAACTACTCTCTCTCTTTTCAAAATTTTTTTGGATGTTTAGGGGTAATGTTTTTAGGTGTGCCTTATACATAACCAACAAAATATTATAATCAACTAAATCATTACATTTCAATAACCTCAAATTACAAAATAATGTATTTGTTGGATATTTGCCATGTTTTCGAGCAATAATTCTTATTGCCCTTTTTTGCAAAACAAAAACAGATTTTGTACTAGTATAACATGCCTTTCCCCATACCTCAACACAATAAACCAAGTGTGGAACAATTAGTGCATTATACAACATAAACATGGCATGATCATTCAGAAAATCCCGTACTTTATAAAGCACTGCTATTGATTTAGCTAATTTTGTTCTTAAATAATTCAAATGGGATTTCCATGATAATCTCTCGTCAATTATCACACCCAAAAATTTAACCTCACTAACTCTACAAATCTCTACACCATCAACTTTAAATGGAGTGTTTACAGTTCTTTGTCCCCTTGTAAATAACATATAATTTGTTTTGTCCAAATTTAAAGATAATTTATTAAGTTTGAACCATTTATATATTTGCATAAATTCTATTTTCATTTCTTTTAACATCCCTTTTATATCATTGCCCTGACAAAAAAAAGTGGTATCATCCGCAAATAGAATACATTTGAAAAAACCTGATACATTTTACATGTCATTTGATGTATTAATTAGACTTTGTTTTATTTCCTGTCTGCACAACACACTTTGGACGACTAAGGGATGAGGAGGCCTCCTATGCCGATTACTATCCCATCATTCCTGCTAATTTGATGTCTGTCAAAGAGATCATCAACATGAATGACCTCCCACGCCACAGGACATGGTAAGCCAATACATCCAATATTTGTAGCCATTTTCATGTCACGACTCTTCTCTGGACATCAAATGGCACCAAATATGTCTGCTGACTGAGGATGCCTTCTCATTTCTCTTGATAAATTCCTTTCTAGATGATTTGCGCATGCTGTAAAACTGCAAAACCACCACATCCTCCAATTCCACTTGGAGGAAAAAAAAAAAAAGAAAAAAAAAAGAGAGGGTGACTTTCCAATGATGATTCACCCCGCAAGCCAATACAGAACACCAATAAATAGCCGGAACACACAACGGAAATCAGAAGTCCCCACTCCCTCACTTTTGTCTGCATGACCAGCTGGGTCCCTTTATTCATCTTACAGATGTCACAAAGCTACAAAGCCAACAGCATTCAGCTGAATGTGCATACAGCGGAAGCTTTTGCTTTTTACAAATGCAGGGATGAGATTTTTTTTCCCCTCCTGGAAATAAAAGTGAGCCGTTTCTGGGGTTTTTTCATCACTTATAGAAAAAACAGAGGACATTTAAGCTATGGTCCGATAAAACCAGGAAGCCATCGTCAAAATTAATTAAATATCCAATATAATTTTTTAAAGACGGCCTTAACCTTTTAAATTCAGCCCCAAATCAAAAGTTGAGCTGTGAAAATTGATGAATCTGATGAGGTTTTAGTTAATGCAAAAAATGTTCAGTGCAGATGATATAGCGACATCTAGTAGCATGAATGGTAAACTACTGGGTTATCGTATCTATAACAACAAAAGTTGACAATAAATGTTACATTTTCCACTTGTAGACAGCCATAGAAACAGTTCATTGTCAAATTAAAAGATATAAAGCTTAATTTCTTCAAATAGATAATTTAATTTATTTCCTAATGTACATTTTGTAGCAAATCACATTTGAAATCAAGTCTTCTCTCCTTCAGGGGAGGACTGATTAAGTGTTGATCACAACATGAAAGTAATTCTCATTCAATTACGGCTTTTGTGTGTCAAATTCCAGATTATATTTTTGTAAGTGTGCAAACAACAAAGTAAAAGCAATACAAAGTTTATTAATGGCTTTGGTCATTAAACATCAGTTCCTAAGTGAAAGAGATCCTTCTCAACTCTGCAGCTGATGCAACAAAGTATCTGTAACTCAAAGAGTCTAAAGTCTTAACTTGGGAAGAAATTGTGGATGATGCGTGTGAGCCATCCTTTCCTTTCCAAGTGGCTTAACATCATGTTGCCAGGGCAGGATTACCACTAAACTGTCAGAAAATCGATGTCATATCTAAAAATAAATCTGAAAAGACATGTTTAGGTCACAGAGAACAGAAGCTAAGGGATTGTTGTCCAGAGTGACTTAGTTTGTTTTACCTAAAGCCCTCTTTAGGGCACCTTGTCCTGTCTAGGTCACATACATCACAGTGCTGGGATTCAATTACATTTTCAGATGCCCTGGCTAGTGTTCTCCAGCCCACCCAGAATGATTGTATTCATGTCACAAAGGATGTTTCAGTATGGACTTCAATGCTAAAAATAAAACAGATGTCTGTTCTGAGCCCAAAAAGATAGCTCTTGGTAGCAAACATCTTCCAAAGGTCACAATTATTGTCAAAAGATTAGAAAGTACTAAAAGACATCTCTCTAAAAGAGGGGAAGATGATGTGAAATCAAACCCTCTTGAAAGAAACCCATTATTGGACCTCATCTAAAATGATCTGACCCTTTCAGCTTTACTTCTCTGTATGTGTGCTCTCCTGTGCCATCCATGATGATAATATATCTGCTTACAACCTGCACATTTTTCCACCCACCTAATCCTTTTACCCCTTGAGAAGGACTGAACAATAAAACAATGTCCCTTTTTCTTTGCTTGGGCCAAAGACGAGGGAGCGTGGCATTTGTTTTGTGTAGAAATGGATCTTAGATCTGTGTGCGTTTATGGGTTTTGGCTCCAAACGTATATTACCATTTGAACTATAATGGCTTCTCTAACTTGTTGTCAACATGGTTATATTAATAGTGTAGATTTGTATTAATATTACATCTGACATCTAATTTGTCTTGCATCAACAAGTAACACTGAATTACCCGTTAGGGTCAATAATTAAGCCATGAAGCCCTCACATTCACTCACTTCAAGAACTTCAGTGGTTTATCCCCTGGAGGCTTCATTTCCAAAATCCCACAGAGAAAAACTCTCACACTCATTAAATTAGCCAAGAGTGTCACATGTGAAACCTTTGAGTGGATGTGCATCTATTCACTTGTTTATTTGCATATTCATCCAATTTGTGAATTTCATTACAACCATTTGCTGAGCTCCATAAGTCATCATGGAAGAGAGCTGTGTACTTGCATGGAAGTGGAAAATTCTGTCTGTTGACAGACGTGCATTTATTACATTATTTATAATAGTCTTTTGACTAAACATGAAAGCGCTGGTACACCACAGAGCTTAAGAAGAACAACACAAAAATAGAAAAAGGCTTGAAAATTAAAAGATAAGCCTGGACTCTCTCAGATATGGCAGCTGCCACATCAACTATAAGTGATTGCTACTAAATATGATAGGTACTCAACCCAGCTCATGTTGCAGTGTAAGAAGTCTTGTTTTTCTGTCTGTTGTGGTTCAGCATGCTTTTGGTAATTCAGGTGATGAATAAGCTAAACAAATCAACTAGAGATTACAACCTCTTAAACAGACAAAGTTTGTACAGCATTAAAGTTCAACTTAAGCTCAGGAATGTCATCTTATCTTTTCTACTCAGTTGTTATGAAACAGTTCAATCTTTTCAGGGAATAAACATGATGTCAACATTTTATAATGAAGTATCAACCACTGCCAAACCTCATGACCATGTTGTTACCTACATAAATATAAAAAGCAAAAAGGATTTCTTCAGACTGAATAGAATATCAGCTTCAAGAGTGTCACGGCGCAGGCAACACTGTGCTGCTCTCCACCGTTCACCTAAAGGAGAGGTGAACATCCTGGGAGAGATGCTGGTGTGGCAGTGCTACATCTATTCATAGTGATGTGAATAAGCAGAGGCAGCCAGGCCTCATTTTCCTCTCATAAAAGGCCAGTTTCTCAAACACTTTGAGCATGAGTGAGAGCAGCGCTCATGTAAAATGACGAAGCAGAAAACCACCTTCCTCATCTCTCAGGCTACACAAAAAAAAAGGAAAAAAAAACTGCCAAACGTAATGAATTTAGTCTTGGTCTGTAAATGGACTGCAGCAGCATAAAACATTTACATGCCTAAAGAATGAGGTCAGCGGCTGCAGTTAGAAACCATGTTCCAACTTTTGCCTGAATTACTGTGCTAATTGTCTTTGCTCCTCTCCCTGCTGCTAATGGAGTGGTGCAATTTGTCACGGTCACAGTTTCAAAAATGGTTTTAATTATTTTCTGTCTGAATTTGGCTGAAAGTGTTTCACATATCTAAAATAATATCGATGTTCTAACAAGCTCATATGAATAATAGCTTACTTACCAAAATTGTGTTCTCCATTAGTCTTTTAAGACATTGTCATTTTGCAACTAGAACAAAATGCAAAGAAACAAGAGATCTTTCTAACATTTCTATTAGGGAAATCCTGCAGGAAACTATGGTTGCGGATGAGGATTTCCAGAGAGAGAAGTGGACATTTTTCGGGAATGAAGCTGAGAAGGTAGAAAAAGATGTAATCAGGAACCAACATGTGCTGCGCACTCGTTTCGATAAAATGGCGCTTCGTCATCAGGTACGGCCACCAGTTGCTCTTATTTTTCACGTTTAATACATTAATTCAGACATAGGATGTCTTACTTTATGTGTAGCTAATTAAACTTCGTGGTTGTAGCCCGACACTTCTTTATAATAGCGTCTCTCCATTGATGAGCTGACCTCTGAGTTCAACCATTATCTTTAGTTCATCCAGTTATTTTCAGAACACTTGAAAACCTGCATTAGTTGGGATAAATATTTATCTGTACGTCTTGTTTTCTCTCTGCAAAATGTCATTGCTGTGTAAAACTTCTGGTACGTATCAATGTGTGCTTCAGGCAGAGAGGAAGGCCTCCTCCCACATGAAGTACCTGGAACAACTCAGCCAAAAGGCCCCAGACTTCGCTGTCCCTCTGAGGGCTCACACTGTCTGGGAAGGGATGACTGTGAAACTCTCCTGCACTGTCCAAGGCTGTCCAACCCCAAAGGTTACATGGTATGAAAGTGTCTCCCTTCGGCTCTCCACCTCTGTGGCCTTCACCAATGTATTAAGATTCATGCTTCGAGGCAGATTCTGCTAAATTCAGAGGCTCGCTTCATCTTCAGACTGAAAACTAAGTGAAACTCCCCACCCAATAGAAAAGAGTTTTCAGAATTGTAACCGTCTCCAACCAGCAACACAATGTGCAGCTGAAATATTTTTAAAAAGCAGATGAGCAACCATTACCGTTTTATACCCCCCCCCAAAAAAAAAAAAAAAAAAAAACAATGGGACAGGAGACCGTCACCCCTGCACTGACTCATGGACCTTAATTCACATGTAAAAAACAGTAAAAGTGTCTCAAATGATCAACAAAAAGAAATTCTGTGCAAAAATGTAAGATTAAAACTCAGTTAAAAGGCAGAAAAGTAAAGAAGCCCTGACACTATGACTGTGAACCCTGAGCTGAATCTCCCAGTCTGAATTACTTTTAAATCACATGGATGAATTCAAACAGGGTCCCAAAATGTCGATCTTCACACTTGGGCTGCTGTTGGAGTAGCTGATGAAAGGGCAGCATGTGTTCAGTATTCAGAAACCTTGACATCCAGATAACTTGCGTCTCCCCAGTTTCACTGTCCCATATGGGGCCTATCAAGTCCAATGACCTGCAAAGTGCCGCGCTCATCAATACTCAACACAAGACAGAATCAAAGATCAAAGCCCCCCCCCTGTGACATGTGGATTTAGAGAGCTGCGCATGAGTAATCAGAAAGCTGGAGCATGACACAGAAAGACAAATCAGTTTACTTTTTCCTCAGGTACAAGGACGGGGAACCGCTTCTGATGTCTTACCTGCCATGGAATTACAGTCTTCAACAAAGTTTTGGTCTCAACATTCTGGAGATCAGAAGGTGGGTCACAAGGTCATATATCTAATAAGGACTGAAAGTCTTTGTGCAGAAAACAGCATGAACATGACTTAGTGGGCAAAGGAGGCATACAGGACTTAAAAAATCTCTTAAAATTGAGGTTCAAGTTAAATTGGTTTTGATAAGTTTCTTTTAAATTTATGCTTTTTAACGCAAGCTAAACACGGGACAGTTAATTTAATTTCTTCCAGTATGTGTCATTTTGAGATCATTAAACAGCAGCCAGAAGACTTTCCAAATAGGGGGTGCAGCTTTGCAGTATTTTTGTTTGAATTCACAGTTAACAGATTTCAAATGGCAGTGAAATGGCATTTAATATCCTCCTTAAGGTGCCACCCTGATGACGCTGGTGAATATAAAGTGGTGGTCAAGAGTCCCCTGGGTGAAGCCATGACCTTTGGAAAGCTGGTGGTAAACTGTGAGTGGTTTCCAGTGTCATACTTTTCACTTTCCTCAAACATCTAGCCAATAAAGAATACTACTGGTATTAAGGACCGAAGAGTCCAATTTCAGGCTTAACATGCGAGACACAAATACACTACTGTTGCAATATTGGGGCAAAATCTGCTCTGTGATTGGCTACAAGGTTATGGGCCACATGACAGGTAACAACTATGATCAATGTGTTCTTTAAATATCAATAATAAAAACAAAGGCTCCCCCATGTTGATGACATCACCTCCTGGTGACTGTGCTGTAACTACAACATGCCCCTGACCAAACTTGTTTTATGGCCGTATTTGTATAGCCATCGTTTCCAAAACACGTCCGTAAACTCTAAAGTCTCAGGGAAAACTAGTGTGAAAAGTAGCTAAAAGGTAGAAGACCTTTTTTTTTTTTTTTTAAATACTCAGACACCACCTGATCAAGAATTGGACTCAGCGATTAAGTTTGAAAAACAACAAGATACAGCTTTACAGAGCCCGAATAAGATGCCCTCATGCTTCCCTGAGCCAGGGGAAATCCAAATCTGCCTGACGCATACAAGAAGTTTGAGCAAAAAGAATGCTCTACAGCACAATGACACATACAGTTCCCCAAAAAAGCAGGATCCATGAAGCACGGATCAAATTAGGATCAAGAAACACAGCCAGACTAACAGAGACTGACCACAGCACGCTGCAGAGAGCAAAGCAGATTTAACCAAAGGGCTCAAACGAACAAGTAGTGAGTCAGTCACTCACAACTGGCTGAGGTCATCAGGCGGAGTCCACACAGCTGCAATCAGTGAAGTGCGCATCTGCGAAAACAAACACCAACATCATCGGTCTAAACATTAATATTAAGAATGAACTTATATCAAAACTACGGACGGCCATATTTATTTTCACAAATATCTGTACTAATTGAAGGCCCGAGCTGGGATGTTAGGAAAGATGGATACCTGTTCGGCAAAATCCCCACGGAGCATCATAATTTGCTTGCCTTGAGTTGCTGTAAATTGGCACGCGCTTGTGTCCAATTTGGGGAAGCCGCGACCTCTAAATGACCAGGCAGTTAATTGTTAATTTAGTTAATATGTCAACTTTCGATGTCCTGAGCCCGCTGTCCTGCAGGTTTTAGGTGTTTTTTCTTGGTTCACGTACGAGCACCATTAGCAAGACTGTTAATTTAATCTGAATCAGGTGTGTCTGAGTAGGGACGCGTCTAAAACCTGGAGGCCAGCGGCCCCTGCGGACCGGAGCACGGCACGCCGGGAAACCGAGTTCCTCAAGTTAGCATGTCGCCCACTTTAACTGGTGGACTTTACATTTTCTCCGCTTTTGTATTGCTTTATATGCATGTGTTTTTTTCTCTCCAGTCCATTTAATAAGCTGAACTAGACGCATGTAAAAAACACTAAACACTGCTTTCCCTCTTGTGCAGCATACTTCTGGATAGTCGTGGTTCATATTTTAAAACTTCATAAAATCTTTTTAAGGAAGCAGTCTCTGTTTTTTGTATTGTAACTTGAATGTTTATGAGCTGCTGTGGATGAGATCATTATAAATATAACTGCAACATATTTTTTTAATTTTGGATTGCATCTGCAGTATAGACTTGTATGTGCCATGTTTGTTAAGTTTTTTTTTGCAAATATCTGACGCTTGCAGAAAAGCTAACACCAGACACCAGCTGAATAAGTCGTTTTTATTTGAATTTAACAAGATGTGTCAGTGTCATATTGTTCAGAGCAATACACTTTTTCCCTTATTTCTATGCAAGGAAATTTGGTTCATATTATAGATCAATTGCGCAATGAAACAAGCTTTGATGAGGCACTTCAAGGATTTTACTTGTCATATAAGTTTTAGGGCCTTGGTTGAAAAGAATATTGGACGTGACCTGCATAGATTTAGCAGTGCTGGATTTGATTTGTCTGCTGTGTCTTTCCATATGTTTCTTCTTCAATTTCACGATATCATTCTCCATTTCTGTCTTCATCTCTGCACCTCACTGCCTTTCTTCAATCCGTCCTCTGCTGCCTCTCTGTGATTCAGCATATCGAGGCGCTGTGGCTGGTTCAGAGCATTCGCAGACTGTTGGTAAGTTTCCAGCCATGGACTAATAAAAACTGTCCTCTTTCATTTTCTCTGCCATGCTTTGAAGTTCTTCCCTCCACCAGTAAGTGAGGCAGGGATGGTGTGGCTTTGAAGACTGTGGCACAACATTCAGTGCATTCAGTGATGCGCATGCTGTACCCACTAAAGAAAGAATATGGGTAGATTGAAAGGGAGCAGAGCATTGGCAGTGTTTGTTTATTATGAAATTTCTGTCACTCTGTGGGTGTCCATGGATGTAAGGGTGTTAATTAGATGTGGGATGGTTGCTGTGGGGATAAAATGGCTTGCCTTCGTTTCAGCTGAAATGACAGTCATGTATATTTCATTTCAGGGACAGCAGGGGATTTATCCCATTTTGCTCCGAGCTCTGGCTGTTATACTCTTTGCCCTATATAGCCTCCCCCATAAGATGTTTCTCACCAACGCATGTATTTACAGTATTCTCAGTATCTGAACAGGCTGTTTTGGCTGGCAAAAATGATGAAAATTACATTTTTTTATTAAGTGGGTTTTTTCATCCAAATCACTGATAGCTGAAAAGGAGAAAGATCATGTTACTCTCTCACAATTAAGAAAATATAATGGTATAGGTGTGTTTAGCATGTGCTGCCATGAAACAGCTTTTTTCAGATAAGGTCTTGCTTGTCTTAATTAATGTTCAGTTTTTCTTTCAGATGCTGTTCATGTTTATTGGACACTTTTTTCTTTGCACACGTCTTCTCCTTTGTCCTCAACTTGTTTATTTTCCTCAAATCTTTCTAATACACACTCACACCATACAGAGTAATGCCAAGGAATCACCTTTGTGCAAAAATGTTAAATCACATGAGTCAAATTGTGTTATGTTTAGCATTTCTTTAGATGCAGTTAAAGGAATTGGATTAAGATAGTACTAAAAGGGGGGGGGGGGATAACATGGTTCTTTAGTTTTCTTTATGGTTTGAAACTACACACTCTCATATATTGAGTTTGGTGCATTTATTAACCCATGAATGCCTCATATGTCATTTGTGTTATATGACTTCACAACTTTTCTTGAAAATCATCACGAAAAAGGATGAGACATCATTCTTTTCAAAAAGGCAGAAAAAGCCAAAGAAAAACATTAAAGGACATTCAGAAAGCTCAAAAATTTCCAGCTTTCTTGGGTCTCTCCTAATGCAGTATGCACCACTGCTCCAGCAGAAGCAGAGCGGGGCTGCAGCCTTACACAATATAGTCCTCATACTCAGAAAATTAAGTGGCAATCATTTTGAGGGAAGCTTTATCAGTTTGTAATGGCATCAAGGGAAGCGTTCTGCAGGAAAAGTGCATGCAGTCATTTTTATCTAACTGACAGTTGATAATTTCACGTGAAGCAGGCCCTTCTTCCCGAAACAAATCACTCAATAAACAAAAGCACGACTGTGGCAAATTTATCATTATCATCATTACTCCATGGGAGGCTCAACGTTTGAACGATGTGAAGTAGAGATCTGAGCGGTGGCTTTAAATGCATCCACGCAGATGTGATTGTCAGGACTGTGAAGAAAAACACGATCATAATAATGTGTCACCGTCCCTGCCAGAGTCATCCCTGACAAAGAGATCTGACTAGACCTCGTGGCACACATATATCTCTCACTTCCAGAATTGATTGTGTTGGTTCTTTGACAAGTCAGAATATGAGTGACAGCTGAAGGAAAAACTTGTCAGGACATTTCCACTTCTGAAAAAAGGCACACACATCTCCGGCTTTTCTTTTTCTTCGCTGCTGTTGCCTGAGGAGAAGCCTGTTATAGCCGGCCTTTACCACACTGCTATCTTCCATAGATGGAGTCTTTTAATGGCTTTTCCAGCCACCAAACAATGGTCTTTTTATTTTGTTAAGATTAGATGTTTTTTTTTTCTTTTGAATTCAGCTGAACTTCTTTACGCTCTTGAAACAAACAGATGCCACAGCACTTCTAGCAGCAAAATGAAAGCCGTAACAGAATGAGCCTTTGTTTTTATCATTTAAAAATCAGCAGGCTCTTTCCGATAATGGCTCGTGGAGGGTTAGGACAATTTTCAAGCTTCATCCACCTGAAATCATAACCTCTTTGCCACAATGGCCAATTTACTCCTATTTTCTGTATACATCTCTCATCCAGCACCCCCCTGTTTTCTTTTCATCTGCACTATTGACATTCTGTTCTCGCCTTCTTGTTTCAGCCCTGCAGCTGCAACAGGAAGCGCAATTTGACACATCCTTTCCCCCAACCTGGGTGAAAGAGGGGGACAGCCTCACTCTGCAGTGTGCCTTCACCTCGACTCTGCTCCCCTTCCAGCAAGACATCAGCTGGTTCAGGGATGGTAGGTACAGAGGAGCAGGAAAAGCCAGATCGTCCTGATTTTTGACCATGTAAATGTGTGTTCTGCTTTAATCCAGGTATACAGCTTCATCAGTCCAGCAATGTGGAGATCAAAACAATTGACAACAAGGCCACCATCACTTTACGAACAGCACAAAAGGAGCATGAAGGTTTCTACTCTGCCAGACTGAGGACCTGGGATGGAATCCAGGAGCAAAAGGCTTTTGTTCATGTTAAAGGTATTAGAATGGAATGCAGCTAAGAAAACATTTGAAACCAACTTCCTGCCTGTAAACAAAAATAGCAACTAAAACAAAGATTTAGTCCTCATCAAAACTTAAACCAAAGTGTCAAAATAATAGAATCTTAAATTCCAGACAACTCGTGGGCTTGATTTGATCCATGAAAATTGCCATCAGGTCCCTCACAATCGGTCAGTCTGCCTTTCAGATCATAAGTGAGGTGTTTGCTGCTTGAAAATAAATAAGAAAAGAACCTTTGAAGTGACCTTGAAAGCTGCAAGGGTAGAAACATCAGTTTCTATCCTGCACTGGATAAATCTTTTTCTGAACAAAACTCTGCTTCCAAACACTATTTGTATTCACCAGATTCGGGTTCTACTTTCATTTCCTGTCAGCAAAGTGCAGTGATTCATATGCTGAAATTGCACCATCAATCAAACAATTCTGCAGTTGAGGGCTTGTTACTTTTGCTCCGTGAAAGTATATTTTCTTCATGGAGTGCCTTTTCTCTCTTCTGCTTTTTGCAGCATCTATATAAGCCAGAGAGGAGCTTACACTTGACTCATCAGACATTTTTAAATCCAGGCTGCCTCACTATGGTTCCTGGCACATGCACCTTGTACAGTGTGTGTTTTAACGCAGTGCAACACGCCACAGGGAGAGAATAACGTGCTCTGAATCATTCATGAGCCTTGTGTACACACTGCAATAGTCCAAATCCACACATATATACCACATTAATAAATCTCCTGGCATAGATCCTTTTTTTAAAATCGTGGCTTTGGCCTATCTATCTCACATTGTTTGAGCTGGAGGCTCTCAGCCGTTAAATTTGCGTTACAAACATGTACACCAGCGGGGGGGGGGGGGGGGTTTGAAAAAAAAAGGGGGGAAAAAGGGGCCTTTTATGTTGGGGCAAACCGTTTGTTGGAAAATCACTCATAGCCGGGGGACCTTGTTGATATCCTCTCAATTCAGTTTTAGCATGTTGCCTTTTTTCTGATCATACCCAAAGCTGTTGTTTGTTTAAGCTAAATTTGAAGATTGAACGTTTGGTAAGAGTAAAAATAAAGTTTCCAAACCTCAGTAACCAGTTTTAAATCCCCCTCTTGTGTTTTCTAAATCTTCTCTCCTGATTGTTCTCTGCCTCATTCTCAACCCATTCGTCTCTAACCCTCTCCCTTCTGTCCTTCCCTAGATGCAGCAAGTGCAGTGCAGGGAGGACCTGCTTCTCCTCTGGCGGTGCAGGTGTCTGATGTCAACAAAGACTACGTCTTCCTGACTTGGCAGCCACCCAGTGCCGACGGAGCGTCCCCTGTGGAGGGTTATTATGTAGAAAAGTGAGAATCAGCCTGATTCACCACTCGCATATCGAATTTGACTTTTAGAATGAAAGTCAAAAGTTAGTTCTTAAGGAGTCCAATACTCTGAGTACTTTGTCAGGATGCAGACTGAGAATTATGTGAGTCACTTTTGGAAATAACAAAAGTTTGCAGTTTAATCAAGAAATCATCCGGAATTCTTTATGTCTTTCCTTTGGAAGGGTTCCCCATTCTTTTCGGTGAAAGTGGTCACCATTTTAAGGTTTCGGCAGTTGTTCTTGTCCTTGAGCACTTTGAATTTGATTCTCGGTATATGGCCTTCTCACCTCCTCTCACAGGAGGACATTCCTACAAGGGAATAGTTTTACTCACACAGCAATTCTTGCCTTGAGGAATGGCTTCTGTGTTCTCCACTGATTGTTGTCTGTCTGTGAGGTTCCAGGGTCACAGCATCTGAACAAACACTGAGAGAGAAAAAATAGCCAAAGGTCTCTGGACAGACAGTCTGAATAAATCCTCAAATGTGATCTTTTATCATGATGATTTGGTCCATGATAATAAAATGAACACGTTACAAACAGGTGGAGGCCCCTTTGTGTAGTAAAAAAGTGTATGTCAATTAATTCTAAGGGTTTTGCTTTTCACCCTCTTTTGTAAATGCATCAAATTAATGAAGAAGAAATAAAATGCACTGAGAAAGGATATCAAGCATTTGTCCATTCAGAAGTACAGACAAAGGAAAGTTTTGCATTTTTATGATGGCGTCATGGCGAATTCCTTTGTTAATGGAATCTTACCTTTATTAACAACTAATGATTTTAATTCTAAAATGTTTATTCAAGCAATCGTGATCAAAGTCAACCTGACACCAAAAAAATCATTTGAAAGGCATTTAAAGTCTATGAATATAATGTCCTCATCACTACATCCATCACAGGGAAACGCTCATAAACCAGACAACCGATTCCATTGTGATTTATTGCATTATGTTTTATCGGCTAACTAAATGCTTAATATGCTGTATTTGAAATATTCAGTGTTGTGATTGTAAATACATTTTATCAGGTAATCAAATCAATGTTGTACAGAACAAGTAGGCAGCTTGTCCCGACAGCTGTGTTTTGACTTTAAAGGAAAACCCCTATTGATTCAGTCTCATTACAGTCAACACCTCTCTTTGATTTTGTCCTGTGTTGCCTGTCAATATTCAAACCCACGGCAAGACAACTTAGCTTTCTCTGTGTAACTCTGGTTGGACTGCACTGGATGCTGGAAAATCCACTTAGCAGAGTTCACATTAGATGGATGCACACGCCGTAACTGTTAGCCCTCGACGATACCTTAACAGCAGACTCAAAGACTCCCGAAGGAGAGCCCATGTGCCCTGATCACCAGCGCTATCAATCATGATTTAGCTGTGGGTCAGTGTGTGTTGCTGTAACTGTGGGGAAAGTTTGGCCCCGTTTTGTCAGTGAATTTCCCTCGACGGGATCAATAATGTATCTATCTATCTATCTATCTATCTATCTATCTATCTATCTATCTATCTATCTATCTATCTATCTATCTATCTATCTATCTATCTATCTATCTATCTATCTATCTATCTATCTATCTATCTACGTTTTGTGTGAAGATGCAACTCCTGACTGTTTGCTTGTTTGTGGTGAGGACAAGAAAATGTGTGAGACACCACCCTGTTCCCTAGCAACGGCAGTCTTTTATTTCTTTGTCTTCCACGCGTAGAAAAATGTTTTAATCAGTGTTGCATAATCTGAACTCAGATTGCACTTAAGAAGACCCTCTTGCATTATGAGTGGAAGCTTGTTATTTACACAAGATGATCTCTCACAATCATAGGCCTTGACAGGGTATGCGAGGACTTGCTGAGTTTCTGTGTGCTTAAACCACGTTTGGAGGTTGGTTTTATAATATTGCGTCCCTGCAGATTGCTTATGAAACCATGTGGTGGGTTGATTGTTTACCTATTATTCAAATTTATTCTTTTTTCTGCCTTTGAAATTGCAAAAAATGATTTTTTTGCAGCACTGATTTATCTCTTTCTCTGTCAGGTGTGACCTCGGTCAGGGCGAGTGGGTGCGCTGCAATGCGCTTGTTCAGAAAACGTGCCACTGTCCAGTGTTTGGACTGAAGGAAGGGACTCTCTACCAGTTCAGAGTTTGCGCTGTAAACCAAGCTGGAGCAGGACGACCATCTAAAGCCACAGAGCCTATCCTCACCAAAGACCCTCTGGAACACACCAGGACAATGGGTACCACATTTTAATTATTGGCAGAAGCTGGGCAACACATTAAAAAAAGCTTACTTCTTAACCGTAAATGAACCTCCAAATATTTGAGTAAAAGAGAAACTGACTTTTTTTAAGACGCATGAAAAAAGAAAAGGCTTCTGCTGTTATTTCACACTCGGTTAAAGTGTTTCTGAAGGGCCTCATATGGGATTTTAGCACAAGAATGTTTCCATCTCTATGTTAAATGGATGGCATAATCTTTCAGTAACCATAGAAGCAGATCGTTAGGTATGTTTTAAAGTGCAGGGAAGGTCTGTAGAATGAAAAACTAGGCCTTTTAAAAAGTGTGTGTTTATCCTAAACAAACCCTTTAGAAAGCGATTCGCCTCAAGAAAATAACAATTAAAACTTAGAATTATTTTACCTTACTCTACTTTTACTTTATTCCTGGGCAACACCTCTAAAATTTTGGATGAAACCCACTCTGGTTTTTTAAGGGGAAAAGTCATGTCCGTTTTCCACATTTGCTTCTGTTTAGATAATTTCTAGTCCTATGGAAGAAACTCAGGAGGAAGAGTTTGCCAGTTTGTGGGTTGGTGGTTCGTTGCCCCATTTCACACTTTTTTTATGATGTCATCGAGTGGAATTTTTTTTTGATGATTTTGAGTTTGGTTTAACACTTCAGAACAGATGGGGTGAGAGCAAGGAATGGTGAGGATGGATGGACGGTGGTTTGATATTGGTGATTTTTAAACACAGACAAAGGACGGACAGAAAGTGTTGTCTCTCCATAGTGCCATGTCATTCACACTCTCCTCCATTTCGGTATACTCCTTTAGAATTTGCAACCACACTGTCTTGATGATTTAAAGATGATTTAATTACCTTTACACTTCTTTTTCCTTGATCCCTTCAGCCTCCAAACCTCTAATGCTTGCTCCTCCTTTTTTACTTAGTTGTCAAAGTGGACCGAGGAAAGACCATCACCATCACAAAAGATGACCTGGAAGGTGAGAATGCTGCTTTAATTCCACAGGATGATTTTGTCATATAAAAGACTATTTTCACACAGCCTCCATGTTTTATGGGGGAATACAGCAGCGCCTGAAGGTTGCTGCTGGCTCTCAGCTTTAATGCATCTTCACTTTATATTTAACAATGAGCTGCTTTAATTGTACGAACGCAGCAATGCGCATTTGCTCCATTTACTGAAGGGAAAAAAAATTACTTACCTCGTGGTGTTATGGAAAAAGCACATAATGGCTCGAGGTGGTATGAATGCAAAAGACGGAGGGCGAGGGGGGATACTGGCTAATAACCCGGAGAATGTAACTTGCAGGCAGAGAAAAATTACGCAAACAGGAGGAGAAACTTGTCTTTGAAGGGCCATCACAAAATAAAAGCAGCCTGTTTATGCTGTTATTTTGTTTCTTGATGCAGGTTTTGGGTGGAAAACCTGTTGAAGAAAAAGCGTTAGCAGATTTGAAAGATTTTATTTCTCTAATTACCATTTTTTCATGTCTCAAAACAAAGTCAATAAATCCTGTTTGAGTCCCACATCTCAGGCGTTCACTCGCAGCAGAAACAGAAGGCAACAGTCATAAGCTGCGTTCAGTCAAAATCATTTCTACGCTGTTTCAAAAGTTATTGTTTGTGCCTCAGAGCACAACAACTGTGAAATAATCAGAGCTTAACATTTTATTGCCCCGATTTCACAGCGTTCTTGGCACAATCTGAGCTCTGTCTCCCCATTCATTCTGAGAGCTCACAAAAGCAAGGTCTGGGTTTGACTTTTGTGTTTACAACCAGGAACAAGTATTCCCTTGATGCAACTTTAAGGCAATGTTTGTTGTGAATTATTGTAGATATTAAACTGGGGATGAGTGTGCAGACAGAAATAAAAAAATAAAACGTTGGGAGCACAGAACTGAAATGTTTAGCACTGCTCTGCAAGTATGGCAACACTCCCTGCCTAATGTTTTTCAGGGCTTAAATGTCTCTGTCAGAGTTCTTTTTAGTCTCCAATTCCTGCAATTTAAAGGGTTCCTGGAATTTTTTCCTGTAGGGAAATTGCAGTTCGAGATACTGTTATTAGATTTAGCTGTATGGCTCTGTTATTTAGTTTCTGTCGCAGTCACCTGCACATGAAACAAAAACCGTTCTGCTTACAAATTGCAATGTGCACACACTCATCTGTGCTTACTTTACAAGAGCAGCATTTCTCGAATCATTGAACTGTTTCTGATGTGGATTTCCTTTCTTATCCAAACAGCAGCTCAATGCTAACTCTTCTGGGGATACACACACGCACAAACATGAAAAGACAAAAAGAGAATTTCATACTAAAAACTTGGATAGTCCTTGGACTAACTTGCAGTGTCAATGAAAGTGTGCTGAATCAGGCTGTTTGATGGCATCTATTGTCACAGTGGAGTAGGAACAGAAGTAAAACCGGCTACAAAAATTGCTGCTTGTCTCGATTTTAGTGTTTGCATCAAAACCAGCTAAGACGGGCGCTCGAAAAGTTTAACAAAAAAGAATCTCAGCCAGGCCAGTTTGGGTTCTTTTATTCTCAATAATCATGTTTATGTTTCATCATCTTCCGCCTCCCTTTTATTTCTATCTGAAGGTCAGGTCAAAGCTCCTTTTCCTCCCACGAACGTTCACGCCTGCGAGGTGAGTGACACCTACGTGGTGCTGAGCTGGACCGAGCCTGAACCCAGAGGCAGGGAGCCACTGACCTTCTACGTGGAGCAGGTCAGGCTTTCCTCCCACACATACACTCCTGATATGCAGACTTCAGACCTTTTGGCTAACAGATAAAATTGTTTGTCTTGTATGCAGGAAATCACACGATCGCTAATCGTTTTCATGCAAATGATCATATTATTAGTTAAACCAGCGCAGTCGCCTATAAAATACTTGATTAGCAGAGAAATGGCTTCACTCTCATATATGTTTGGTCCACTTCAGAAGATGATGTAAGGAAAAAACTGCCCTTTAGACAATTTGCCGGAATGTGAGAGAAATTAACTGCAGGCCACTGACATCAGGGCTAATGTGACACTCAGCAGGAGGAAATAAATGCTCAGAAACTCATACCGGTCTTTTACTACAGAATAGTTAGATTTTCTTTGCCATTATACAGCACCTAAGTTCATCTGAGGTCTAAGACGTGCCACTTAGACTAGTTATAATCGATATACTTCAGCGATGCATTAGATCAATGTCTTGAAGGAGAAACAAGTCACTTTTCGATCTTTTGTGAGTGAGTCAGAGTCTAAAACCGTACTAAAAGCACACCAAAAGTGTTGAACTGACCTCTTTTTGTTCTTCTTTGCAACAGTAAAGGACTTTGGCTCTCTAATATCAACCCTCTCGATAGCTCCTGGCTCCCATAATCAGAAAGCTGCCAGAGGAAATAGATTTTTATCGAAGCTTTATTAGTTACTAAGGTAATAAAACTGTCAAATCTTTCAGAAGTCTCTGCATTACCAAAGTCTGCTGCTGCTTTTATAATGAACGGAACATTCAAATATCCTTTTTGCCCCTGAGCAAGCACTTTATAATCACCGGTCCCTTTGACACACCCTGTTCTATTGTTAGGATTTCTACCTTAAACTGAGTTTCATAAAAGGAAACCGAAAGCATTTTAAGTCTAAATCGCCAACTGGTAAAGACAAAATATGCCTAAATTAAAAAAATACATATATCCAAATATCTTTTTTTTCTCCTTTTTCTCCTTTTTCTTCATGTTTCTGTCTATTGCTCCAAATTGCCTCTATAGGCCTCTTTTCTTGTGGCCATTAAGAGATCTACTCCAAATGTAAATAATGTCCTATAGCTGCAGAGCAAATTTAGGACCAAAGTTATATGAGTTAGGTTGAGCCAGTCCTGTGCAATCTGAGCTTTACAAATACTTGGATGATGTTCTTGATGTAGTTGTTGTTTGTTTTTTGTTTTTCTTATTTCTGATTCTGCAATCGGATCAGTCCTTGGCAGGGACGAGCAGCTGGGGACTGGCTAGTTTTGACATGGTGGTGAACTCTCCCAGATTCCCAGTGTTTGGCCTGGTCAAGGATAAGCAGTACCGCTTCAGGGTGCGCTCCATCAACAAGTACGGTGTGAGCGACCCCTCCGAGCCAAGTGAGCCCATCTCCCTCAGAAGGCCACAAGGTGAGATAAGGAGTGTTACCTACTGGTAACTATTTATTACTCTGCCAGCTGTAAGGGTCAGCAACATGGTGAAGAACAACTTCCACACATCAGTGTTGCCTACCACGCAGCTCTGAACCCTCAGGTGCACACACACGCCTTTTAAAGATCCTTAAAGAAATAGTGATTGAATATCCTCCAGTTTTTAAATAGTGTATTCAATCTGGTATTAGATTTATTTATTTTTGTTTGTATTCCTCAGTTAATTCAGATTTAAATGTTCAAATAAAGCCTTAGAATATGCCACAAAATGTTAAGACCTTATGGGAGGTTGTAAAACTGGCTTAACTGTCCACAAAATGCTGTAGTTTTTATATCAACCAATCATTTGACATACAAAAGAGACACAGCACTGCACAAAACTCTCAAAATATATATGTCAAATAAAGATATTTAATCAAGCAAAGACATCACATCAAACTTCTCATATTACATTGTTGACTTCCATATTGTGCTCCATCTCTTTCTGTAACATTCATTCTTATATTGTTGCTTATAAAGTTGGGGGTCTATGAATTACAGCGTTTAATGCTATTCAGTTGTTCAAAAGAGCAATGTTTCAATTTCTCTCACATAGCCAGAAAGCATTACTGTGGAGCTGTTCCCATTTCACTCTAACATGTGTCATTATTATGACTCATTATCATTCCCAGCCCTCCTTTTTCACCTTTGTGGTGTGAGCTTCAAAGCTGCTTTTTTCTCATCCTAACTAATCACAGATTGATGCTTACCTCGGAGGAACAATTTCATAAAGCTCATAGTGCTCTGATAGCTTTGTTTTGATGTGAAATGTATTTCCTGTGATCATTAGGACGCCAGAAAATGTAGAGGCGCTTTTGGCATTAAAGTTGTTACTATGTTGTAATTTTACAGTTAATCATGTTGTTTTCCAAACAGTAACAGTGCTTTGTTGCCTAAATCTGTCCAAGTGGTAAAAAATAAAAAAATAAATGAAAAGAAGGGATTTAGAAACTGCCGTCCCTGCACACACACCACACAAGTGAGCACTTCTGTGGTGTTTGCTGTCAGCTCCTTTTCTTCCACTGTGGATGGGGCACATTGAAAAATGAAGGTGCTGTTGTTATGAAAACTGGCCCTTTGTCTTAGAGGGAAACCATCTGTGAGGAGTCACTGCTGAGAATATAACAGATTTAACAAAGGTCTGAAAATTGGATTGGTTCCAATTTGGTTGGGATTCAGTTTCCCCTCGTCCAACACTGTATGTTGGATGAGGGAAACCTCAACCCCTCATCCTTTTTTCATCTCTCTTTGGCTTTCATCCCTCCCATTCAGGAAAAAGGAACAGTTATACTGCTATAGGTCAAAAACACTATCGTTTAACTTTAAGTTTTATTTGACAAATAAACCACAGTTACAATCCTGATGATCAAGATCCAGATCAACCAGCTGAGGAAAGATTCATCCCCAAGTGTCAAAGGGATTCAGTCTAGGATGAAAACATGCATTTACCCTCGGGCCAGTTATAAGATTACACTTTCATTTAATTAATTATCTTATTCCCATCAGCCAAGCCGGCTCCACCTCACTCTGTTATGGCCATTAGAGACACAGACACTTCAGTTTTGCTGCAGTGGCACGAACCAAAAGACAAAGACGACATCCTGGGATATTATCTGTACTACAGTGATGCTGCCAAACAGGACTGGAAGACTGTTAACAACAAGCCTCTAACTACAAACAGGTAAAAGTAAATTGGCCGTCTCAGCGGCTCAAAACTGCCATTAGGAGGAAAAGTCTGAAGCATTTTTCAGTGATGATGTCAGAACATGTGATGTGAACCTCATTTTTCCTCAGATTTACAGTCCATGGACTGAAGACCCGTAAGGAGTACGTGTTCAGAGTGAAGTGTGTGAGCCGAGCAGGAAACAGCATATATTCAGAGGAGTCCCAACCCGTCACAGTGAAATCAGCCATAAGTAAGTCAAGTTTAAGGAATTTCTGGATACTTGGTGGGGCGCTGATTTTATTAGCTTTACATTTTCATTTTCAATTACAGTTTTAAAGAGAAAGGATACCCTTTTATAAGTATTTACAAATTAGGATGAAAAAATGTTAAAGGTACTGATGCTTTCAGATGTCAAAATCAACCAGATAGACCTTAGATGAACACATTTGTCCTGTGACACTGTGTTATTATTTGCTTTACAAAAAGTATTTTTAGATGGTAAAAACTGTAAATAAATAGATGAATAATTAAAAAATAAACGTATAGTGTTGGAGAGCTGGAGCAGCTACACATTTCGTCATAGATCAGAATGTCTGCAAAAGAAAATAGGATCTATGTGTTTGCAATGGTCCGGACATCAACTTGTTTAAAGAGAGAGAAGCATAAGTCAATGCTTCAAACTATGAACTGTGTTCCAGTTCGTCATCCCTTCACCTGCTGCTTCTGCATTTCGGTTTAGTTTGTGTTAGATGGGAAATAGCCGTGTATTAAATCACATATTGTTGTTCCAACATGGACCACATTGTAGGAATAAAAGAGAGCATACTTTCAAATAGCTTTTGTATTTGCACAAACACAAATGCAAAAGCTATTTGGCAAATATTTTTGCTCCTGCTGTATCTGCATGCAGAGCCCTTCAGCTTAAGCAGTGCCCCCTGTGTGCCCCAGCCTCATGCGATTTCTCATGCAGGTTATCAGTCAGCGTATAGCTAACCCTTCTTATTTTTTCATACACTCTAAGATATTATGAAATGCTCCCTGCAGTTCGCTATACGGTACAGTGACAACTGATTTGGCCTACCACTCATTGCCAGCAAAATCTCACATCTATTCTGCCACTCTCCTGTCACCTGGGGAATAATGGCACTACTCCAATTCTTTGTGAAGAAATATATTATTCTCAGTAGGAATGAGTTGAATATTTAATCCGTGAATATTTAATGTCAGTCCTGAGATTCAAATGTGCAAATTTGGATAGAAGTGGAAGTCTGTTATTTCTTTGCCTGTTCAGATTTTCTTTTATATCACCAATTAGTCTCTTGTTCCTTTTTGAAACTTCTCGATATTTTCCAGATGTTCCCTCTTCTCCCTCTGCAATCGCCCTGCTGCTGTGCACCGGATCAGAGATGGTGCTGGGCTGGAGGGGCCCTCCCTTCCACGGGGGGGACCCTGTGCGCGGGTACTTCTTGGACCAGAGGGAGAAGGGCATGGAAGCGTGGAGGGAGGTCAATGTCAAACCTGCACAACAGAGGCAGTTCAAGGTAAGTCATAAATTAAATTATACAGTAGGATGACGATAATTGCTGCTTCTTGGATTAATAGCGGATAGATAGTCAAAAAGCACTCCAAATGTGAGAAGACACCTCCAAATAGCAGCATATCTTGATATAGAGCCATTTTGAGCCATCGCATCTTTGATGGTTTTGCACTCCAGTTGAGTCTTTTTGTCCTCTTTTTTAACCCACATTCTGCTAAATATACCAAAAGAATAGAAATATACAAAAAATATCTACTTTCTGTTACCAGAATAACTATAGATGTAATTATTTTGTGATCTGTAACGAGATCAGGTTTCAATTAGCATTTTGATGGATAGAAAAAATTATTTGTATGGTTTTATAACATAACTCTCCTATTAATTGCACTCATTTAGACAACATACAATCCCTACTCTAACACACATGGTTTTTTTATATGTAGCTGATAAACATATTTGATTTTACATTTGTGTAAAATTCTATGGAGGATCTTGCAGTGTATGCAGTGCAACTTGCATTATTTATAAAAATGTATCATTTAGGATTGGGATCTCTTAGGGAAGGCAATTTGTGGCTGCTAAACTACACAGAGGACATTTGTTGTAATTATGTGTATGATAAAGTTTTCTCCGCTTTGGTTTTGCTTCTGAAAAATGGCAATAAAAGCTACGGCGCCCTCACTTACTGTGCTGCATCACTAGGCAACAAGCCGTGTCCATGGAGACCTGGAGCAAAGTAAAATCTTTAACCTGTCTCACAGAGATTACAGGTGGCCCATAATTAGACATTCTGCAAAGGTGTTACATGTGAGTGGTTGTTTTTATCTCCTGGGACAAAACAAAGACAAAGCCAATTAGAACTAAAAGGACTGCTGTACATCAAGATTAGGTCTCCGTGTTGTGGAGTGCAGAGTCTTCAGTACTAGACGGGCTACTGCCAGATATAACTCTCCGATTCGAACGTGTAGCACACCCTTTTCAGAAAAGTGAGAAATGTCAACCATGTCACATCCTCAAAAAAGCACAAATTCTATTTGCTCCAAAAGCTGTTATTTTAATCCAGTTGTCAGCTTTCCCCGAGCAAGTTAAAGTCACTGGAACGTTGATTGGGCTGCAATTTGTGGTAAGGGCCACTTTTTCTTTCTGGGCAGAAAGCTTTTTAGCTTTTCAAACTCAGCTGCCAACAAAAATAGATACAACCTCCGTACAACTGTTATTTTTCAAGTAAAAGTACCAATGAAATTCAGTTAAACAACTCACCTACAAGCTCTTAATCACAAAAAAATACAAAGGGCTGCTTTGAAGTTAATGCTATTGTAGGTGGTTAAGGATGAGCTCATTCTCTTTTATCTATATTCACTAATATGTTTGGCACATCAGTGAATTCCAAAATCTGTCTGAAATATGATAAGAAGACAAGAACAGTACATTTGAAAACACTCATCTTTGTTGATATGTCTGTTTCACAGAAGTGGAAAATAAACCATCTAAGAATTTAAAAGGCAAAAATCCCTCCTCATTAGCTAGTCCTAGACATCTGAAACTTGCCACGTTTATTAATGTTTAATGCAGCCCGTCTCAATCTGACATTGAATCATTCACTAAAGCTGTAAAAGGAAAAAGGACAATGTTTTGTATACAATTTGTCTAAATCTCAAGACAAATTATGTTCTCAAGCAAGTGCAAACATACGTGTACTTCTCCCGATTGCTTTACTGTGAAAGAGGAAGCCATATTGTCACTGCTGTAAGGGTTACAGTATTTTCACCACAAACTGATGCAGTGGGAACGCCATCTAGTGGAGGAAGATTGCACTTTTTTAAAACTCCATTTTCACTGGAGATTTTGATCTCCCATTGTGGACTGTACATCAATCTGATATCAGTGTTGCTGTTTGTGTAAAAGTTGTGACACAGACGAGGATCAACAAATGCAGAAGATTCCGGCTTTCAGATATCCTTGAAAAAAATCTCCTTCTGAAAGCTCCTTGTGACTTCGTCAATTTTTTGCCTGGAGAAAGGCAAAAAGCTTCAGCAGAGTTTCCCAACTGTTCACTGAGGCTATAAGTGCCTCAGAGTCTAAGTGGCTGTGAGTAGGAAGATCAATAAACAGATCAATAGTGCTGAATCCCTTTTCCCAAAACAAAAAGAAAATTGTCTCAGGGGCTTAGAAAAGTGTTGCAGCTGCTGCAAAGCTGATACCTCTTTCAAATGCTTTCTCTTTCAGGATGGATAGCCTTAGAAGCAGAGAACATTTGTACCTGCATGACTGATTCTATACATGTTGACCAGTGATATGTAACGAATTGGTTTAGATTCGGATAAGTAGAATAAGTCTTTTTTTTCATAGCTGAAAACAGATGTGAAAGGAAAACTCTGTAACAATAACATTGAAAGGGCCTTCGTATTTCAGTGGTTAAATACAACCCAAGAACCTCACAAATTCAAATTCATCAAGCTGAACCATTCAAAACCTGACAAATGTAAGGTTTTCTGGAAAAAAGAAAAATGTCAAACTGTAGCTTATGAGCATTATTGTGTCTCGTTTGCTTATGCAGGTCTGTAACTTGACAAGCGGACATTTGTACCAGTTCCGCGTCTTTGCTGCCAATCTGGCCGGAGTTGGGAAGTCCTCTGAGCCCAGTGAAGCGTTCTTGTGTGAAAAGTGGACGATGCCAGAACCAGGTGACGATGACTGTTTTTAAGACCTTTGAGTGTCTGCCAGCTGCATTGACCCAGTGGACAACATCTGTACGCCAGTGCTATTGATGATTTCTTACTCCCTTGCAGGCATGTTTTTCGGATTGAATAAGATTAATCTGTCATCGACACTAAGACTCTCAAATTAATTTATTATTTAAAGAAAATCTCTTACTCAGAGTGCTGTTTGCTGCTTTGTGTTACCACTGGAAATTTGTGTAAACTTCATTCAACTTGAAATATTATTGAAAATCAGGCATTCTTATGTTTCTTATTAATACATTACCCCATCTTCATTTTAATGACAGCATATTTATTTAAATGTTCAACACTATGTGGTATGCCCATTTAACAACAGTCTGTAAGCACTGAGTGTGCAAGTTTCAAACAATTTCACATTTTTATACTATTCCTCAGTTCATATTTGATATGGGTCGACTCAAAGAAGACAGCAGCTCTTATGGATTGCAGCCTCCTCTGAATGTTAAGCTTCAAAATACATCTATAGAATGTGAACTGTGCACACAAACAATGAACTTGTTTGAGTTGTAGTTGTGTCATCTTGAAATAACATGTGAAATAAGCACATCAGCTATTTTCCGTATTAAACACACACATGTTGCATAACACAGTAACAACCAGTGCATTCCACGGTATTTTTCAGTTTAATGAGAGATTAACAGAAAGAGTAATTTATTTCCAAGCAATGCAGTTACTTAAGAGCTTTGGGAATCCGTACCTCCGTCAATATCGTCCTGACCTGCAGTTTCCACAATCTGTTTATCGACCTCAGCTGTGTGAGGGAGGAGAGATAGAAATAAACACCATCCATCAACTGGAGGACCCATTTCCACTTGGTGCAATTTAAATTTAATTGAAAATGCACCATTAAAAGTCTATGTCATCTCACAGCAAAATAAACAGGTCAGGTTGAAATACCAGCAGGATAATCAGCCACTTCTTACTGTGCCATTAAAGTAAACAGTAACAGTCGGGGTTAACAGTTAAGTGAATAATAAAAACTGAAATGGTATCTAAAATTACCACCTTGAGTTAGTGTGATTTATCCCTTAGTTTTATCTCTGGTAGAGCATTTCTGAAGAAACACAGACTGTTTTATACCAGAATAGCATTCAGTGCTTGAATATGACAATGTTTTTTTTCCAATTTCTATTCATTTGATTCTTTTTCAAATGTAGCAACATAAATAATATAACATAACATATTTTATTCAATAACCAGTGGGGGAGATTTCTACTTTTTTATTTTTAACCCAAATAGTGAGGATGCTGTGTCAAATGTCAACACACAAAAGATACAGTGATTTGGAAATCAAAATCAATCAATAAATCACAGCAGAAAACTTCCAGAGGTGAAAATGTTCATAAGGCAAAATGGAAGGAGACCCATTTGAGTGTAAGACATAAACTTAAAAAAAATCAGAGACCTTATCTGGATTTTTGTCTTTTCTTCTCAGAAGGTTATAACAATGTCTGTGGGTATCACTCTCCTAAGCGGACATGCTGGATCTTCAAATGCAAGGAGGGAAACGTTACCTTGATATAAAGACAAAATTATGTCCTTTTTTAATATTACAGAAAATGTTCTTGTACATAACCACAAACATATAAATCCACTGTTTCAGTGTGTGTAATCTCAGAAAAACTCCACCAGCTCTGGTCCCTCTCACATCAGCTTTTTGCACCATTAATATTGAACATGGGGACAGTCTCGCTAAAGTATGGGACTTTAGAAGTGCCGCTCATTAATCTTGGCAAATGGGTTTTCCTCTGTGCCATTAATGATTAAAAAGTGAATGAAAATCATTACACAAATTGACTACTGCGTGCAGCTTTGAAGTCAGTTAGGGTAGATTAAGAAAAGCCTCCGTGCTCATTTTCACTCTTGTTTGTTTTGACTTCTCGTTGGGAAAAAGAGGTCATGTGTGGATAGTTTGCTGTCCTGTAGTTTATTCAACCCTCTGTTCTTCAGGTTGCCCCCATGACCTGGAGTTCAGGGAGGTGAGGAACAGCTCCCTTGTTCTCTTGTGGGCCGCTCCGCTGTATGAGGGTCAAAGCCCTGTCACAGGCTATATGCTGGAGGTCAGCCAGGGTGACCAATCAGAAAACTGGACTCTTCTGAATGAAAAACCTATCTCTGACACACATTACAAGGTGAGAGAGGCTACGATCTCATTAAGGACATGTTCATTAGCTGATATCAAAGATGAATATGCAGCTTGCATGAATGTTTAATTCCTGAGAGTGTGTTGCTCGGGGTATTCCTCAAATTATTCTGAGTTATAACAATAAACCAGGAAATATTTAATGTGTTCTTTGTAGGTGTCGGGTCTTGAGGCAGGTCAGACCTACCGACTTCGCGTTTCGGCCGTTAACGAGGCTGGAGTGGGTCGTGCGTCTGTGCCCTCAGAGCCAGTAACCCTTTGGACACAGCCAGGTCGCTTATTTTAGATAGAGAGCAAATTGCAATTTTTATGCCAACATGCATGCTGAACTATCACTCTGGTGCACTGATGATATTTTGCTCAACGAACATGTAGGATTTTAACCAACATTGATAAGAGCATGTGTCATCGAATGTGCAACTGGAAACTTATGCTAAGAAACTATAATGAATTTATCAATAAAACATCAAGGTTTAAAATTGCTTAGTGGACCATTGTCCACTGAAATAAATCCATGTGCCTTGACAAACACATCTCATATTTTTTAGGCACCAAAGAAATTGAGATTGGTGTGGATAAGGATGGTTTCATATTTTTGGGCTACGAGGCTGTTGAAATGAATGACGAGAGCAAGTTCCTCTGGAAAAAAAAATATTCAGACTCCACTGATGCAAAGAGAATGAAAGCAGAAACCAAGAACAACAGGTAGGTTGTATATATGTGACAAGATCGTACATGAATTAACCTTTTTTACATGTAGAATTTTTCAAACAAACTAAGTATTTGGCTGAATAACACACTACATGATACACTTATTACATGTTTTTTTCAAAGAGATGATTTTTGTTTTATTTCCAGGGATTGAAGTTAATTAATTCACAATAGTCTACTATTTATAACTATTGTAAGATAGTCATTTCTTGAAATAATGCTTAGCTGCCAGGGAGGATTTATAGCACAAAGCCTAATGGCACAGAACACCACCTCCAGAGTCTTTTTCTGCAAGGTGGACAGACGAACGAGAACCTCCCCGCACTCATTTGTCACCTTTTCAATTTGCCTGTCAGGTCAGTTCTCACCTTCACAGACCCATCTGAGGAGGATCTGGGTCTCTACTCGGTGGAAATGAGCGACAGCCCTCACCTGTCATCCAGCTACGATTTCACTGCTGAAGGTACGGCAAAAAACTTTAGCCGCAAAGGGGGAAAAAAGCAGCTTTTCAACAGTCTTTGCTGTAGCTTGTGTATATAAGAAGCTGGGTGCTTTTGATTTCAAGGGTCGACAAGCTTACCTCTCAGGCATGTAATTAACATCCCACACCGCCACGTCCACAAGGTCACACCTCCAACGAAGCATATGTTCTCAATCAGCTCTCCTGCTTAAAAGTGTTTTACATGCCCTTACTTTGACAACATCAAATTATTGATCAAAGATTAATTAACCTTTGACTTTGCTTTTCACTTTTTTTCAGACCTTGAGCGGCTCCAAGAACTCAGCTGGCAAGTTAGAAACCCCCGTACGTACTGCTGAGATTGATCAAAGTAGACAAAATGCCCTGCATGTTGTTTTAACAGTGCCTTCTGGTTCAAATCACATGAGTCAGTGAGGCTTTTGGGTTTTGACTGAGTTGGTCTCCACAGTGATAGCGCTGAAGTCAGGCTGGCAGGTGGAGGTTTCTGAGAAAGGCAGCGTGCGTGTTTGGCTTCAGACGGAGAGTTTGAGCAATGCTGCTGAGCTTCGTCTCATCTGCAACGACCGGGAAATCTCCAGCGCTCCGGTGGGTTCCCCGCCACTTAGCAGCTAAGGAAAAGAGAACGCTTGCCTGATTTTGACTGGGTCCTAATATGGGCCGCTTTATAACCTCCTGACTTCATAACAGATATATTAGAAAAGCTCAGATTGGTCCTTTTCAGAAAGAAGCAAGAAAAGTTTCCTCACGACTCCTCACGAATGAGACAATGCTCAATTTAGGAGTAACAGCCCAGCTTTTAGTCCTGAATAATTTCTTATACGTGTGTGTTTGATAGGCCTACTTTTAGTGCAATGTAATGACTGGCTCAGCCCCACATGACTTAGTTAGATTGAGCTGCTTGACCAAATGTTTGAGAAGAAGATCAAAAGGTGGATCAGCTCCCAGCCAATTCAGCTGTCCTTGGCATCTGCTTAAGTAAAAGCACTGTAATACTATGCTGCTTCACATTTTGTACAGGGACTTGATTATCTTAAAATCACATAATTTTGATATAAAAGTGTAAAACCAGGGGATTCAAGTCCCTATGTGTGCAAGTGTTTGACATTTTTCAAAAAAGTTGGGACCCTGCTGTTCCATGTCATCATATGTGGGTGCGTTCATCCATCTTTATGACAAGTCAGCAGGACTCCAAAACAGCAATTAGTGTTTTAATAAACATCCTGTAAGGCAGGAAATCAATGCAGTCAGTGATGATGAAGAACAGGTGTGTAAGGCAGCAGAGGACTGCAAGCGAAGTTAATTTGATGATGTCTGAATAAATGGATCACCTGAAGGGAGGGCAGACACGGTGCCAAAGAGAAGCGCCCATAGACACGGGTTGTTGTTTGGACAAGCAGATTTCTTCCTTTAAACATTATTTCCTGTGGTAACAATTCACTTTTTTTCCCTCTTTTTTATCTTCCTGTTAAAAATGTACATTGTAGATATGGAAGATACTAATCCGACAACAGTAATGCATGAACAAGATAGGCTGTGTGCTTACTGACAAAATCAGCATTGAATTATATTATGTCAGCAAGATCAGAATAACCAGAACCACCATCAAGGTTCCTGGACCATGCGCCAAGGGGACCACAGGGAGAAAAAGGCATCAAGCACAGAATATTTATTGTAGTTTCACAGCTCTGTGGGCACACATTGTGTGTCTCTGGGTTCTCTTGTGTTTGTGAGGATCTGCTTTATATTCCATCGCTTCCATTCTTTGCTTGTCTTTCATTTTCATTTATTCCATTATTTCCCAGCAACTGAGTTCCATCTGAACAGTACCGATTATACATTAGTGCTGAATGATCACCGCTGAGGTTTGCAAATTCAAAAGCCATTTAGATTATTAGGACCCTTAGGCTTGCCGTACATCACAAATCACATCCGCCACTGCGAGGCATACGCTGATTTTGGTTGAGTATAAAAGCTATGAAAAAGAGATGAAAGGCTGTTTCTTATGCGTCAACTCTTATTTGTGAGTTTTCCTCTTTTAGAAAAAAGAAATGTTATATCCACAGTGTGCACATGGTATTTCAGGCACTTTGAACTCCAATTCATAAAGTATTCTCTCTGTGCAATGAGCCGTATATGCAGCAGATCTGGAGTCCCGTGTGGGACCGTCATTCTGCTCCCGAGCTGACAAGCGCTGTACGTGTGGCAACTTTCGTTTGCTGTTCTGCAGCACCGTCAGATCAACTTCGACAAGGCCAAAGGTCTGGTGGAGATACTGTTTGATCAGCTCTCTCAGGAGCACCAGGGCTCGTACACGGCTCAGCTGAGGGACGGCCGCGCCAAGAATCAGTTCACTTTGGTCTTTGTGGATCAAAGTAAGTGCCACAACGTTGTCTCAGCACCTACATCCCACAGCAGATCACAGAGAAATCAACTCTAATTGATTGAACCCAACCAACAGAAAATATGGCTTGTCACGAGAGCACATTAATCAAAAACACTTGGGGAAATGCATGTGGCTTGTTATAGGATTCACCCCACGCTGTTAATTATAAAACTGAAATATAAAGAAAAAGGACTGAAAGAAATCCTTTTTATACAAATGCAACTTACCTGTATCCTGCTTCGCCTGATGATATCTGTTGGAACAGTGGGTAGAAATCACTTGTGAGATTCGGTTGTTGTGCACTCAGCTTGATGTGTTTGTGTGTTCAGAGTTCCGTGAGACGCTGGCCTTGGCTGACGCAAACCGGCGGGACACTGAGAGAAAGGCTGGTGAGAGATACCACACAATTAAAGAGGCAGAGTAAATGAAGGAGCGAATGTGGTAGATACACACAGTGATGTTCACACAGTGCCGAATCAACGTGTGGCCGGACCACGTCAGTGTGTTACAAAGTGAGAAATGGATGCCTCGTAACTTTGTAAAGGACTTCCTTATTTCGGGGCACATCTTTTTTTATCGTTTTTTTTAGTGTCAGAGCTTTTGATCTCAGTTAAAAGTAAAAAATGTAGTGTTAAATTCAGAAAATCTTCCTGTGGTGCTGATCGGCTCTGTGATAGACAAGCCCCATTCAGCCCTTTCATACGTTTAGAGGACAATGCCCCCGTGCCCACTTATGCAAGCAGACTATTTCAAGCTAAGTTCACTATTTACAGTCCAAGGGAGACAAAGAATCCAAAGGGCACATTACATGCTCAATACTGAATCAGTTTGTCGATTTAAATTATCCCACAGCTTATGTTATAGACATTTGCCAAGATTCTCACCCATTTCTAAAAATTATGTTTTCTTTTTTAGATACAACAAAGACTTGCATCTATTTTTTTAAAATAACTTAGAGATGACCAGTTTCTTCATGGACTAATAACTTTATTATGTATGTAAATATTTTACAAAATGTAAATCAGCAACTCACTTGCCATTCTTGGACAGGCCTGTATCATCTTTCCATAACTTGATTTAAAATGAGCTTTCAATGTACGTTTTGTTATAAATTGATTCTGAATAATAACTGCGTTGTGATCCCTGTTGCCACAGCTCAGTATGAATGAGCCGTCATTTCTTATGTTTCCCAAGGACCTTATTTCGAGGAATTCCTGACATGGAGCGTGAATGAGGATTGTGAGCTGATAATAAAGTGCAAGGTACCGTTTACATTTCAAACATTAGAGTTTCTGAAACGACCAGATCCGAGCTAACCTCACAGTGGAAGAGGAATGCTGTGTTTTCATAATGTTATCGTAACTCAGTATTTGATTATTTTGGAAAAAGGTAGAATTAACAGTGGCATGGGAAAGGGCCAGCATGTGGATGGTTCTATTTTTGCAGGGTTTGTCTGTCTCTCTGCTCACAGGTGACAAACACACACAAGGACACGTATTTCAAGTGGTTTAAGGACGGCGTGGAAGTGACGCAGTTTGTGCTCGATCAGTCATCAGGGTTCAGCTCACTCGCCATCTCACAGGTACGCAAAAATGATGGGCTGTTTCCATCAAACCTGGATCAGCATCCAGAAAGTGCAGCTGCTGTGAAGTATGAGAAGAAGACACGGTGACAGACACTCAATATTTAAAGGATCAACAATATGCTTCTGGGTTCACTCTCATAATTAAATTAATATCAGTGGTAATCATACAGAACCAAAAATATAACAAATGTCATCTCTTGGCACTTCAAAGTTATAGTTCAGTTAATTGTACTCCTGTCATAATTCAGTAAAAACAATCTATATTAAATCCTAATCATTACAGTTCATGCAATGCGCCCTTTTTAATTAAAAAGATGTCTAACTAAGGCAGCCAAATGATTGTATGGAAATCTCTCTCTTTGAGTCAGCATGAACGTGATGATTGGGTTGGGGGGGGGGGGGGGGGGGGGGGGGGGGGCTGGTGTGTGTCTTTGTGATTAGTGTGTTGCTATAAATCCCATTATATGGTAAGTGAGTAGAAATTCAACCAGCTCCTTTTGAAATTATCAATCGGCAGCAATATTTCTTACTTTAAAAGTGTGTTTCATGCTTTGTGCAGCAAAGGCCGACACACAACAAAATGACTTGAGAAAAAAATCAAGAATTCAGAGGAGCCGCTTTACATAAATGTTTCATTTTTGTTTGTGGGTCTCTTTGTGCTGTCAGTCCTGCCTGATGTGTACTCGGAGCGTTTGTTGCCATTTGAGCGGACTCAAATATCGTGTCAATCCTCTTCATTTTACGGAAAAGCCATGATTATTACTAAACAGGGTAGCTTTGTTTAATATGCTGACATATCTTTTGTGTTTCTGCTAAAAATGTTCAAAATTTTTGAGCGAGTTAAACAGTCAGTGCTGTTTTTTGGCACAGTGGTTTTTATTGAGTTCAGTTAGATGATTGGACTGTATATTTATCATTGTGAAAGTTACACTGTGGGAGAAAATAGATTTTCTTTCTATGCTTGGTGGTAAAATAATGACTGTTGTCTCGAAACCTGAAGAAATATAGCCACATTAAAGAGAAGCTTCAGGTCAGTTCACTGGTGTCTTGTGGACATGACCAAATTTAAACTGTTTAACTAAACCAATACAAAGTTTAAATGCCTTTGTGGTGGGCTTTACGACATCCATACAGATGGATGTAGTAAATCTTTTATTCTATCATGATCATCTTTTATTCTAAAGTGGATTATTTGTTTACAGAGTTATAGTTGAATACAAGTACCAAACTCTTGAAGGAGCTGAATATTTTAGCATATTTACTGTATTAGCAGATGAGAAAATATAGATGTAGTCAGGATCCAAAAATACACGGAAGTCAGAAAGCGGATCTCATTAGGATTTTCCCTCAGGTTACAAAGAAAGACGCGGGTTCATACAGAGCTGTGGTGTCTGATGGGAGAGGAGAGGATGTCAGCACCTTGGAATTAGTGGATGATGGTGAGATGCAACTTCCTGCACACACACAATAATCCCCACTAAAGACAATCCATCCACCGTAAAAAAAACAAAAAAAAAACTAGGCAATTCGTGTGTTGTTTTTATCAAATTACAACAACAGTAAAAAAAAAAGAAAGAAAGAAAGATGTCTGAAGTCTAAAACTATTAATTACTGTTATTGATATCATCTTTTACAGAGTTTGACAAGCTTCTCCAGCAGCTAAGTAAACAGTGTGGTGAGTTGCACACATTTGGAGCAATAACGGTTTTGTAATTGGAGCCATGTGTTGGTATAACACACCGGAGAGTCATATTGATTAGCTCTGGTGTGTTCACTCTGACATTCCTCAGATAGGAGATGCTAAATATAGATGTCAAATTGCAAAAGAAACAAATACGTATGCATAGGCAGGCATTGAATAATCCTGAATCCTGACTCTCTGCAGCATTGTCGGCTGGTCCACTGAGGATTCAGAGCACCGCTGAAGGCTTCAAGCTCTACTGCTCCCTCAAATATTACATTAGCTTCCTGAAAACTGTCTGGTACCTCAAGTAAGTCCACATGTCCAGCATTTCTCTGACCTATTATCACTTCAGGAGCTACCTCTGTGCATCAAGCATTTATATTAGTTTTCCAAATTAAATTGAATTTATAAACAAGACAGTTTGAGGCTTCTTTGGCTTCAACACCATCTAGCAGCTGTGCAGTCACATTAGCTCACACCACAGAGATCCTACCCTGTAAGTGTCAAGCAGTGAGAACGGAAGCTTCACAAAGCGCCGTCATCAGCACAATAGCTGGCAGCGGACTCACCTGCAGGTGCAGTCATAAAAAGAAGCTGTCTCTCCTGCATACATCACACATTTAGTGTTAGAGATTAAAAGATTTTCAAAATCACCTGTTATGTGATAATGTACTGTCACAGAGGACATTTTTATGTATCAGACAGTTAGTATTAGAATTTCAAACCGTATTGTCAGTAATGTGCCCAATTCAATAATTAATGTAAACCACATTATCCACATTATCCAGAGAGATGGTCCTTCAGATTTGAATGTAAAATTGTTTTTATCTGCAGTAACGAATAGGAAATGCAGAGAAAAATAAATGATAAGATATCAAAACAGGTTTATCCCAATCTTTTAACATAAAATTAAATTCACCGAATAATATTTACTTTAGAATATTTGAAAAATATAGAGAATTGTTTTTTTTGATGGGCGTTTATTTAGATTGCGTAAGTTTTTTTTTTCTAAGACTCATACTACCATCTGCTGGAGCATTTGGACCCTGCAAACAAGACTACAAAAACATAGAGATCACCTAAGAACCACTATTCAAATGTTTTTCTAATTTCTTTTTTTTTATGTTTACATTCTTTATTCTTGCTATGTCACTTTTATTTTCCACATTCATCAGGCTATAACTCTAACGCTATAACTCTAACGACAGACTTGATTGAAATGAAGACAAACAGTTTGTGTTTGCTCCATCCTTCCCGTCATAGTGAGAGGAGAATTGACCAGGAGGCCAGGACAAAGCCTGAAACCACCATACAGAGGGTCTGGATTGAAATCTTTAACCCAACTGAGAATGATAAAGGCAAATACACTTTGGAGATGTTTGACGGCAAAGAGACACACAAGCGGTTTCTTGAACTGTCTCAGGAAGGTTCGTGGAACATTTTTTTTATTTTTATTAAAGGATATGTAAGAAGCAAATGTCAGTATAATTTGTTTCTTTATTCCTCATCATCTTGACTGACACCATTATAATTCCTGTCCACAGCTTTTGCCGATGCATTGCTGGAGCACCAGAGGTTAAAGTGAGTACCACTCCACATGCATGAGAAAAAATGCATGTTGCATGACTTGCTGTGTTTCTAACAGGAACCACTGAAGAGCCAGAGGTAACAAGTTATAGCAGCCCTGCACAGGCGTTGCTGTGTTTCCCTTGAAAACCGTCAGAACATCTTATCGGTGCCATGCACTGCAAAATCACACTTACTTGACCTTTTGTTTTCTCCCCACAGGCAACTGGCAATTGCTGAGAAAAGTGAGTCACATAGGATGCATTAATCTAAGACGTTTTTGCGCTTGGCTAAAAAACGTAAAATTCTACTGTGGATGTCAGCTCAGTTTATCGTTTCCTTTTTGTTTCAGACCGTGCCAAAGTGACAAAGGGTCTTCCTGATGTTGTAGCCATCATGGAGGGCAAGGTGTGATATTGTTAGGGATCAACTGTGACATCATACTCCTCCGTGGCTGCTGCTATTAATTTTTTATTCACTTTTCTGCTCTCTTCAGTCTCTTTGCCTGACATGCTTCATTGATGGCGAACCAGCTCCAGAGATCTTCTGGCTTCGAAATGATCGGGAAATCCTCGATCAAACTCATTTTACTATCACTAAGCAGCCAAAATGCAGTTCAATCACTGTCAACATGGTCAGCGTGGAAGATTCTGGAAAATACAGCATCTATGTGCGCAACAACTATGGCTCTGAAACTGTAGATGTGACCGTTAGTGTGTACAAACATGGAGAAAAACCTCCTGCCAATGCAGTGGAGATGGGTTAGACTGAATAAAAACACAAGAATTCATGTCCAACAGGAATTTGAGGCTGAAAGATTTTACCCAGTTGGAGTTTTTCTTTCATAAAATAACACAATGTAACTTTTAAGATAGGAAATAATGCAATTTCTCACTAAAAACCAAACGAACAAAATTATGCCCCTTGCATTTCTCTGGTTTGATCAATTCAACTGAGACTCTGCAGATTTTCCATTATTGAGGTTAACATTGCATAACTGGCTTCTATAACCTTAATTTTGTCACTCACATAGCTAACATTAGTTACCACAATCATGATAGATTACATCCTTTTTGCTCCTTATTTTAACAGCAATCCTCAGGCTCTATTTTCTGGCAATATATTCTTATTTAACTTGAAGTGCCTCAACTCATAAAGTGCAAAACCAGTCACTGGTTTGAGCTTTGGGTGATGTAGATGTGTTGTGTGCATGTATGTAGTGAATAAAGTAGTTTCCCATTATTTTCTGTATTGCATTTGTTTATCAAGAAACATACAATATAGTTTTGTAGTCTCATTTTTTCATCTGATCCACTTTCTGATCAAGTATTGAGAAAAAATATGACCATCTGATCACTTTGTGCAGAATTTTGCAATGAGCGGCCTTGTCATTATAAACAAACAGTCCTTGGTGTCATTAACCCCGGTGCTGGGCCCCTTTTTGTCAGGTTGGATCGGCACTCTGAGAACTGCAGCTGTGAATGAAAATTTGAGGATGAATTACTGACTTAGCTATTGAAATTAATGTGGATTCTAAGAGTTTTGACATTTTCTTTATTAGTCTATAATTTTCTAAACTCCATAAAGTCTTTGAACTTAAAATTAGTTTATCCTTTCTCCATATGTGCATAATTGTGCTACCTTGTATGTCATTTGAGTCCATTTTTCTTTTGCATTTTTTACTATTAATTACTCTCTTGCACTTTACTCTTGCACTCTCATGAGCTGCTATAATGATTACGTTTCCCCATATACGTTAATCCAATTCAAATCAATGCACCATTAGCAGGCTTGTGCAGAGCTTGAAAATCTTTTAGGAAAACCATTTGATCTGAATCTGGTGTGTTGAAGCAGGCATTCTATCCTGTGCTCATCAGTGACAGCCAGAGAGAAGCTTGCATGTAAACATAAATGCAACTTATCAAACACACGAGAGTATAACATGTCATATATTGTGTTTTTTCTTCTCCAGTAAAGGCAAAGGCTTGACCGAACAAGAGTAAGTGAACTCTGGGTTGTTCAAACAGTAACGATTACTTCAGAGAACTCATCAGACATAGTAGTGGGTTCACTGATTTGGGTATAAAAAGGTGTGGGTGCACATTCACCTTCCCTCACACTGCGTTGAGCTTCAACGAGCTGTCTCAGCCTCCAGTTACCTTGGTGAAGGAAAATCCAGACTCTAAAAAAAATGGACTTCAGTGGAACATGGCAGGTCTACTCTCAAGAGAACTATGAGGAGTTTCTTAAAGCCATGGGTAAGAAAGTATTTGTAATGTAAAAAACAAACAAATTACCTGTTTAACGCAGCTTTGAGAACAACGGACTGTTGTTTTAATGCCGTTTTAATTGATCAGAGCTCCCAGAAGATATCATCAAGATGGCCAAAGACATCAAGCCTATTACTGAGATCAAGCAGACTGGCAACAGTTTTGTTATTACCACCAAAACACCAGGAAAGACTGTGACTAACTCCTTCACCATCGGCAAGGAGGCTGATATCACCACCATGGATGGCAGGAAGCTAAAGGTAAATTATTGACGTACACATTGAAGGGGGACTGAATTAGAAAATAACACCATTAGTTAGCAAAAGTTGAGTTTCTATGGGACCTGTGGCTGCTTAGAAGGATTAATGTTAAGTACTATATTGTGTCCTTTGATGTCCCCAGTGCACTGTCAACTTGGAGGGTGGCAAACTGGTCTGTAACACTGGCAAGTTCTGCCATATTCAAGAGCTGAAGGGAGGAGAGATGGTCGAGGTATGGTACATTCTGCTGATTGTCTTTTTAAAGCACTGCATGTAAGATCAAACAGAGAGAGTCATATCTCTATTTGATCATAAGAGCGTAAACTTCCTTGTTTTTACAAGCTAATTAAATTAAACATATTCTGTTTTTTATTTTCCTCTGCAGACTTTGTCCATGGGCTCAACAACTCTAGTCAGGAGGAGCAAAAAGATGTAACTTTGTCAATGGCAATCTATTTAAATAAAAGTGTGCTTAATAAACGTGGTTTGTGTCCATCATTCTATTGTCCCTGATATTTTATGAAAAAGATGTGTGAAATCAGAAAGCTAATGGTACATAAGGTGATTGTTCACAGTTTTATGAATTAATTAAAAATAGAAAATACAAAAACACCGATCAGGGTTTGGGGGATATAAATCAGGCTTTTTTGTACGCAGTGATAGTATAAGTTACACATGTTTATCGTATGAACAGTAAAATTGAGATAATATATATAATGTTGACATAGGCCTGAATACAAATAATAAAAAGGCATCAGGGGCATGTACACCCAACCTTAACATTAAGTCATGGTTTTGTTTGGTTAACGACAGCCAAGTATTTTTACACGAAAATAAAATCGACTATATATGAACGGAAGTCAAAATCATTTCTACGGACGTCAGGTAAGACGGATCGGAAACGGCGCAGCTGGGGGCTGCAAATTTCTGAGCATGCGCATTGCCGCAAGAACGCGACAACGTAGCGAGACTCGGCTGCAGTGAAACGTGAAAGGAGAAAAAGCTGCTGAAACGAGACCACATCTGCTCATTTACAGCCGCGGCTGCCGAAAATGGCGAGATATCTCAGACCTCCTAATACATCCCTTTTTGTTAGGAACATCGCCGACGAATCCAGGTATGCAGCCATTTTCTGCTGTGCTTTGTGTGTGTGGAGGTATGCTAACAGTTTAGCAAACATAGCAGCTACCACCAAAATAGCCAACTGACGTCAACTTTACGTGTGACTCCTTTGAGAGTAGACTCGCAGTTACATTTAAATCCAATGCTACTTCGAATTACTACAGATTGTTATTACTGAAGACTAATTCCTTGCTCAGATGTGGCTAAAATCTAACAATAAAGTTGAAACAACGTGGAAGCTGAATTCAGCGTTTGCCCCAACCGTTAGCCAAATTTGGACGTGCTAAATTAATGGCTCTACCTCACTCTTTTTCAACGCTCCATTCTCTGATTTTTTTCAAACCCGTCTGATATTGTATTGATAGCAACCTGTACTCTTTTGAGATTTTCTGACGTTCAAACTGTATTATCATCACAAATCGGATGAAAACAGTCACGTTAGAAATAAGCCGATGAATAATTTACGTATGTAGCTTTGCTATGATGAAAATAAATAATAAACAATGAACGTTTTCAGATATTTCCTTACATTTAGATACGTTTAAAATACACATTTCAGTTTTCTTTATCTTTATAAGTCTACTTAGGGTTTTCAATAATAAATGTCTGCTTCATGTTCATTTGCATTTACAATAGTTTCAGTTGAAACTGGATCCAGTCAAGATTAAATGTAGACAAACTGGTATTGATTAACTCATTTCATTGTACTTGATGTGTTTTGTTGTCTACATTCATTTCACTCCCGGCTTAATCAGGTTAGGTTTAACAGTTAGGTTTAACTTTTTTCTCATTTGCAGTTGTGTCTCTAAACCATCTGCATGTTACTTTAATATAATTGACCAAATTGCAACATTGCCTTATGTTTAGCTGCACCATGCAGCGATAGCTCATTACAGGTACCCAACATACCCGAAGTGTTCATCCTTCCTTAATCTGAATGTATAATGCTTCAAATGTATATTTCTTCTGCCTTAAATGATTGAGTGCAGTCGATGATGGCTGGGTTTTTACTTGTGCAGTTTACCCTTAACTCTGAAGGTGCAGAAACGTCCTTTGAAGTGGGACTGTAACAAAATGTCTGCCTGTTTGTTGTGCTGGAACCAGCTCTTGTGTATAATCTTCACACTGGGCTTCAGCCAAATTCAGATGTTAGCCAGCAGATTAAATATGTTTATTTCATGACACTTCAGGCCAGAGGATTTGCGACGTGAGTTTGGTCGTTATGGGCCTATTGTAGATGTCTACATCCCACTTGACTTCTATACACGACGACCAAGAGGATTTGCTTACATTCAATATCCTTTATTATTTTTTTATTTGGAAATGTTTTGGAAAGGAAGACTTCATCAAATGGCTGTAAAATGTTGATTCTAACCTTTCACATCACACAGGAATGTTTATTTCATATTTATTAGATATTTATCTGACATCCCAAGCATTATATCTATTCCTAACTAATATTTTTCCTGTTGTTGCCTTAGAGTGATAAAGATACAGTTCTGGAGGCCCCACACCAAAGAAAATTGAAAGGCGATATTAGAATAGATTCAACCAAAGACACCCAGGCGACAAGCAATAGTGGAATTTGGGGGGAAAAAAAGAATGAAAGCATGAAGATGCAAAGGGAACAGAAAAGCGAACACCAGACTTCCAAAGATGGAAAAGCAAAGTGTTTATTGGGCAAAGACAAGCAGGAAACCACAAGTTCTTCTGCCAAGACAAAAAAGATCAAGCTCAAGTCAAGCATGTTAAAGGTAAAACGGCAAACTTTTGTATCCTCCAGAATCTGATCGCCATCACTTTGTTTTGTCTCCACAATCTGAAATAGCAGAAGCCCCAAGAGATTCAGCTTTCTTTCATTATTGCTTTGTTTTACCAAATATCATTAATTCTGATGAATAAATTAACCTGATACCCAAACAAAGCAAATTTTTATTGCATAAATATTAATGATGCAGTGATTTTCTTTTTTTTTGTGCTCTGATCCAGTAGCTGTGAACTAGTTTTTGGAGCTGCATTTTTTTGTTGTTTGTTGTGCATGTGTGCAGCCATGTTTCCCCACAGTCCTAATTTGAAACTAAAGGGCCTTAACAACTCAGCATGTTCGAAGATATCCGGGATGCAGAAGACGCCCTTCATAACCTGGACCGTAAATGGGTTTGCGGACGCCAAATTGAGATCCAGTTTGCCCAAGGAGACCGCAAGAGTATGACAAAATCAAGACTCCTCTTAATGCACAAGCACCCAGAAGCAAGCATTCTTTTTTTAAAAGCCTGGCCGATGCTTGCCTGATACTCATTTGTAAATTTGCCTCCCAAGCACCGAACCAGATGAGATCCAAGGAGCGAAACTCCCCTCGCAGTTTCTCCCGCTACGACGACGACGAGCGGGACGGGCGGCGCCGGCGCTCTCGCAGCCGCAGCTACGATCGCTGGAGGTCCAGAAGCCCCTCGTATGAGCGACGCCCCCGCAGATCAGAAAGCCCCAGAGAGTGAGTACCCCAACATCAAATACTAGGAACCTTAATCATGAGTCAGTTGATCAGTCGAACGCCACCATTCCAGCCCTCTCACGAAGTGCAGAGAACGTTTGCGGAGAGAATTCGTCTCCTTGTGCATTTTGGCAACCTCTGATCCATGCACCAGAGGAGCAGAAGCTTCAACTCCATCTTACCCCTATGCAGACTTTAACAATGCATGTGTGCTTGTTGTCATTTATTGTTAAACGGCAAAGGGAGGTTATAAGCGGCAGCATGCAGCTCCAGTGTTCTGCTAGTGTCACCGTGATGTTTGCAGTGATAAACTAGAGGAAGGCTGAGCTCCGCGAACGCCCACACCAACTAAAACGTTTCAACATCTGTTGTAACTGCAGTAAGAACAAACTATAACCTCCACAAGCACCCACAGCCAGAGTAAAACAGTGGAATAACTGAGGAGCCGTCGTGAGAATTGTCGATGTCATTTGTCTGACTCAAAGGTTCCTTATGCTGTCATTGAAATCTGTTTTTTATTAATTTGATTAATAAAACCTAATAATCCCAAAAAGGAAATATTATTGCTATATACACACACACACACACACACAGTGTGTATTGGCAAAGACTAAATTGTGAGTCATAAGACACATTTCTCTATGAATGCGCTGTATTAAAAGGTAACTAGTTGTTACTTTTACATAAAGAATAATGTTGATAATCTTTTGTTTTGACGTCTTTCACAGATCTCGGCCCTACAGTCGTCACAGACCGAACAGAGGCTATGAAAATGAGAAGTAAGTTCACCAGCCCCTTCCTGTATTTCACTGTTTGTCCTGTCCTGGGTACTGATCCCGGTAATCGTTGCAGGTACAAAGGTCCGGTCCGTGACCACCACAGGGCACACCCAGATCCAGCCTCGCACAGCCGCTCCCCTTCACCACCCAGATCAAGGCCCAAAGATAAGAAGAGCCAGTCGAAGTCGCACAGCCCGGCTCAAGACTTCGACCCCGCCCCCAGCTGCCACAAACAGTCTGCGGGGAGGTCTCCCTCACGCTCGTACTCTCGCTCAATGTCTCGCTCCCGCTCCCGCTCCAGATCCTGGGCCGGACGCAAGTCTGGCGGCCACTAACCGATGCTGGAAAGCCTTTTGTTTGAAAATGTTTTGTTCTGCTTTCTACTAACAAGTATTGTACTCTTTATTTACCTTCTGATAACAGAAAAAAAAATTCCAAAAAGGGAAGTAAGCAGCAGTATCCAGATCAATGTTGAGTGGAGGGAAAAACTATTTTGTTTTTTTTGTGTGTGTCCACGTTGGGCACTGAGATAGTGGCAGGTTTGCCAGTCTTGTCTTTTTTTTGTACACAATTAAAAGTTCACAATAATACTCTTTTGGTTCAATGCAATAAAGTGAATTAAAAAAAAAATCAATTAACTGGAGGTCCTGACTTACAAGTGTTTAAATGTCCAGGCCCGGGTACCACATCTTGTTTCACGGTGTTGTGACGGTAATGTACAGCAGCAGTAGCTTTCATGTTTAGTTCAAGAACCATATCTCTGGTTTGACTTGATACTTTCAATAAAAGTATTTTTCTAACCAAGCTGTGAATAGATTGCAGTTAATAGCAGAGTCAGGCAGAAACACACCACAAACATTTGAGGGGGAGGGGTAAGGATTTATTACTTTTTTTTGTTTTACTTTATCATCAATTCAGAGCACATTCAGTTACATTTTGGAGACCAATTGATACAAATTTTAGTCTGGGCACATTTCTTCATATGGTGACTTTTCAATCGAGGGACAAATTCGCAGCCAATTATTCCGACAGTTTCAATTTAGATTAAGGAGACTTTACCATGCAGTTTAAAAAAAAAAAGAAAGATGGCAGTAATATTCAAGTCAATTCAACTGTCAGCAGGCGGAAGTACAGCTGACAGTTGAAAATGACCAATTTAAACAGTCTGGTTGGAGATCAGTAACCTAATAAGTGTTTCAACAGAGGCACAACATTTTGGAGATAAGCTTACAAAGAAACTTCAGAAATCAAATCCCTGCATGTGCAAGTCTCCTTGAAGCCAATTATGTTTTTTAGTTTTGTTTTATTTGCACTTAGCATCTTTGACCCTACACTGTAATACAAAATAAAAACATGTGCAAGTTTTCTGGAAAGATAACAGTGCAGGGGGTACTGGCAAATGCTATAGGCAGGTTTTTTGTTGTTTTTTTAAACAAAAATATTCTTCGAAATTGAAGTCAAGACATGACCGCAGCATGTCTTATACATTCAGTGTTATTACTAAAAAATACTTTTGTCAGACAGGCATCAAACAGCCTGCAAATGTACATATGCTACAAGTACTTTGTACATTTCATTATTTACATGGCTCTTTAACACACATAACCTTTGTTTTGTCATTTTTATGCTGGCCATGAACAGCGTAAATTCTGCAACGGGAAAATAGGACAACCTCAATACAAGACTGAATAACAAAAATAAGAGAATCCATAAGATAGTCCATTTCATCTCCATCACTTTATCAGCATAACAACTTGATGGAGGCAAAACACGTCTGATTGCAGTGCAAGAGGGTAAAGATAGGCAGCAGTAAGGGGCAGCAAACTTGTGTGCTGATTATCATATGGCCTGCCTTTGTAAACAAACAGCCTCCTGCCTCACTTTTGAGCCCATTGGGCCACTTCCCTCCACAGAGCCCACTCGGATCTTTGGGCAAATGCATACAGCCAACAGGACCCAGTCATCCAGACTAGATCCTCTTCCGCAAGTTGAAGCTGTAGCATTTCCCCCAAAGAGAGTCTGAGGGCCGATAACAGTACTGATTGAAAAAAGATGTACGGGTGACAAATTCATTCACCGCTGAGGCTGGCAAGTTTAGACCACGAGAGGCAACTATGCCAACTGTACAGAGGGAGCCAAAAGAAATGCAGCAAAACATTACTTTGGTTACACACAGCGCTTCAAACATCTTCCAACTACAACAAAGGACTTTTACAAAATAATGCTATGATAGAGTGTCGTGGGCCTTAGGGACTCTCAACTCCTATAGTGCATATGCGCACAGCGCAATTAAAAAAAGGGTACAGGAGTTGGTGGTCCAAGGTCCATGTGCCATGGTCTCTTGTTTGAGGTTATTCTTTTGACCTGTACTCACCCACAAGCTTCTTATCTCCAATAAGAAAAATAGCTTTCTTCCCTGCAGAATAACAATCAAGTGCTTTTCTCCACCCAAACAAGGAATGTGTTCTATTAAAAAATTAGGGGATCTTAACAGGATAAATGCTACAAATAGTAACTTGCTTTAGCACCTGGAGCTTTGGAAGTCACTCCAAATGCATATCATCAAAACCTCTAGAACTGAAAAGGCATGTCTGCCATTAACTGACTATAAAAGCTGTGGGATTTTACCTGAAGTATTCCTTTTTTGGGTGGGAGGGGTCAACACTCAATCTGTTTTAAAACAGCCAACAGTAAAAAGAACAAAACAAAAGGAATCGAGTTCATCAATCACAAGAGGCTCCACCAGAGGAGTCGCCCACCAGAAAAGGCTGCAAAGCTGTAGTAAAACTATTATTTAGAAACAGATTTTAACCAAGCATTGCTATGAATGCCCAACGTTGACATTAGAATAGGTCAGTTTAAAAACAACCAAATGTATTACAGCTATGAGGTGTTTCTGGTGGGCGAGTGCCTCAACAAAGTCCGAGTTCACATGTTTGGCTATTTTCTAATCAAGTATGGGCATCTTAAGCCTGCACCTTAAGGAGGCTCTTGAGCTGGAAGGTCATCATCTCCCTGTGGTCACAGGAGCCCATGGGGAAAGACACCCAGTGGCTGGGAGGTTTGGGCAGCACGCTTGGTGAGGGGGGCTCACTGAACTTTGGCCCCGCGTAGCTGGGGCTGCCCTGGGTCGCCAGGAGCGTGTTAAGGTGAGACACCGCCCCCTCCCAGTTCTGATCATAGTTGGTGGCAAAACGGACAGAGGCATTTTTGTCCGCAGACGCGGCCTGCCGCGCCTCCGGGGACCTGTGGTACGCGGCCCCTTTGTCGCTCCGGCGGTGGCCCAGATGGTGGAGACCACCTGCCCCTCCGACTGACGTCACTGCTCCGTTCTGGTTTCTCTGCTTGGCTTTGCCAAGCTGGTGGCTCTTCTTCGGGCGCTCTGGGTGGGAAACTGGAATGTTGTACCTCTCTCCACCTCCCATCTTTCTATACTACGTGTCACCTAAAAGATACAGAAAATTAGTCCAAAATGCCTTTTCGAGTGGATCGGGTAATAAAAATGAGCAGCAGCGCCACCCGCAGAAAAACAAGTCCACGGCTACGTGCAGCTCCAGCAGACAGTCAGGGAGGCGCCCCTCCCCCACGCAGCCCGCAGCAAAACAGCCCCAGCTCACCTCTTTGTTGTCAGGAATTGGACGAAGCAGAGATCCCTCTTCAATCTTTCGCCTCCAATCGGTCCCCAGGTCCTCGAAGTAGTCGTCGATCTACTTCTCGCTGCACTTGTGTGTCCAGCAAGGTCTGAAGTTCTCATGTGCCAAAGAGCGTTGTTTTCTCGTGAAGCCGAGCTGAACATCAATTCACCTCGGCGCACGACGCTCCTAGAAGCCGACAGTCTCTACGTAATAAAAAACAGAAGAAAAAGTCAATCAAGCATGCAGATGACACGTTTCCACATTATAATGCTATTAGAGTACGATGCCGTCGAAAAATACAGCAATTACTTTCTAAAAGACGAGCTTGTGCCAAAGTACGTCATTTCGCAAATAATAAATTAATATCATAGTTATTACAATTTTCACTGAAAACAACATTAAAAAATTGTAAACAACGACAACCGTTACAACAACATGTTACATAACAAAACTGTGACGCTGTCCCACTTTTATTTGTACGTGCAGGAGTGGTTCAACTGCAGCCCATTGTACGAGGCTTCACACGGACAATTTAATGTAAAACAACACACATAGTCCTCTCAATATCTATTAAGGTTGTTTCAATAAATAGCAGCTACCGATTGCTAGACAAACGAACGTGTTTACAAAGTGACTCCGTCTACTTTGGTAATAAACAAAAACAAAGGAACAGCACTCAATATGGCGACGTCGAGCGAATAAGCTTTTCCTTACCGACTTCTTCAGGCTTGGTTGACAAAGCCCTTCGTCAGTAAAAATGTATTGTCAGCCTCAGATATCCCTGAACGGACTATATAGGAAACACAGCAAGCTATATTTCCCACAAATCCTTCAATCTCGAGGCTGAAATGATGTGAATAGTGGCCGTACAAACGCCACGTCTCCCTCCCGACTCTGAATTGCAACAAAATGGAACCCAGACGGAGATATGTAGTAAAGCTTCACATAGATCTAACCAATCAGGGGCCGCTTGTGAGCTGAACGACCAATCAGTGAAAAGCGAAGGAGACGCATTCATGCCTGTTGCCAGACTGTTGACGTCAATCGCTGACTATCCTCCTCTCCTTTGTTGGAGATCGTTCGGGTATTTCCTGAAAGAGAAGTGAAAAAATACAAACAAAACAACCACTTTTGACTGCTCAAATATCATATTTCCAAACTATGATATCCATTTAGTGACTTAAATGAGACAGTAATACTGTTTTACGGTTTGAGTGTGAAAATGGATGTTGTTTTGGTATTACGCAATACGAATTAACACCATAGCACCCCTAGTTGAGATTTATTGACGTGTTTCCTACATTTCCTGTTGAAACAACAGATTCTCAGAGTTGCAAGTCTGCTGGTGAAACTTGTGGTACCACGCAACAGGCTGCAATAACGTTCATGCTTGTGAGCTGCCCATCCCCCCATTTCATTTGTTTTGGCCAAATAACAACTTACTATTTTTTGACTGAAACTTATCCTTTTGGCATTTTACCAAATCGACACTCAAGTGTATTCACACCGTAATTGGGCAATTTAAAGAATGTATGGGCTGAGTAGCATGGTTAATTCTCAGGACTGATTGTATCCTTTGTGTTACAATCCAGAGACACTTTGAAAACAATCTCTCTTTAATACATAACATATTTAAAAATGTAAGTCTCACTAACTGTCTGTTTGTGACATTGACCCATGACATCGTAGCCTACTGTATAGTTGTGTGAGTCATTTTATGGGATTGTACAGGTCGAACTCGACCAGCACGTCAGATTAACTCGTATCGAAGTCCACGGCTCACTTTGTTTAAAGAGTCTGAAAGTTGAAGGAAGTTATGCAACGCAGTGTGTGCCAGCCTACAGTCACAGCCCATTTACGGAAACTCCTAATAGCAAAGCAGCGTCTGAAGGGGGCTGTGCCCGCCAAACGTCAGCTATGTATGGAAAGTAGGTCAGAGGGAGGCTTCTGTAGGTCACACATAGGATATCTGGCTGTTTGTAAAGGTCAGTATAGTGTAAACATCTTATGCTATTAAAGATGGAAGTCAAATGGAAAATACACAAGCTGGAAGTTTAGGTCATTTTCTCACACTGATCTTAGATACCTAAGTCTCATTCCTGCATTATCTTAGTGTCAATGGTCTGAAGGGGAAAGGTGTGAAACACAAACAGTCACCATCAGGCGTGTTTCACATGAGTTTCTGTCCAAACACATTTAAATGAACATTCTTTTTTTTGTTTTGTTTAATTTCTTCTACCCATTTAGGAGTGATAGAAAGTAATTTAATTTAATTTACATAGTTTCTCTGTGCTCATGTTCAACTTGAATATTTTTATTCGTGTGCTATGTTTTTAATTAAACTGTCTTGTATAGGGAAACATGCAGGGACAAAAATTTTGATTTCCTAATCTTGAGCATTTTCTTGTGTATCTGGTAATCTGAAAATGTGGGTTCAGAATTTGGTTGATGGATTCAAGCCCAGTCAATCTGAAATAGTGAAGCCAGCCATCATGCTGTTGTCTAGGATGGTATCTGAAAAGGGTTTATGTAACAGGATTAGGTTATCTAACAAATAATTGAACATTTCTGGCTTAGGTCTGCCTTGTTGTTTGTTATGTTATGCTGCACCTGGGCAAACAGTGACAGAGGAAATCTTATTGTTGCTGGACTATCTGCTCCTAATCACATTTCTGGCCTTCTGGCCTTTTTAATCTATTAGGACACTGGGGCAGAAGACAGTCATTACAACAGATTTCCTTCTGGTTTACAAGACTATGCTTTTGCTCTGAAAGTTATAATAATATGACATGAATGTTGTTTAAATTAAGCACCTCTGTTTTTGTGTTGGACTTTGGCGTATCTGTTATTTCCTGTGATTGATGCTGTATTATTGAGTGCCCTTTTTCTAAATTGAAAGGCAAAATTAGGTTGCTAATTTATCTCAGAAGGCCGGAGGTATGTAACTAAAAAAACTTAATTGATTTTTTAATTTTTTCATATACTTTTTTCCTTTTACCTGAGGGACTTAATCCAAATTTTTCAACCTGAATTTTTTGTGGAGTCTGCTTGCAAGAAAGCTATTTGCCAAATTAGGTGAGCAAAGTCTTACTTCACCCAACTTCATAAGCCAGTGACGTCCATTTTATGGTGGCAGCATCTTAATCAGGTTAGTCTAGTAATGCCCCCTTCTGCACAGCCAGCAGTATAGCACTAACCACCCACCCACTAAACCAAACACGTCCCTGAAAAGATTGTTGAAACATTTCACTCAGAATGAACATGTTGGTACAGTGGAAATCAAAGAATCTTCATATTTCATTCTAAAAGCAACATGCCTATAAGGAAGTGAAGCTTGCATATTTATCCGTGTGGTCGTGGTTTCTTATTATGGGGTTAAAATTGGTTTTGATTCAAAGTCGATTTTTAACTTTATTTTGCGTGGAAGATCTTGCTGAGAAAAGATGTGTCTGTTTCAAAGGAAGCTTAGTCATGATGGGAAAAACTGTGTGACGTCAAAAGAAAAGAAAAACGAATCAGTTGTCTATAAACTGTGAAACACCACAAAGGAAAGCGAAAGGAGGAGTAATTCTTTTTTTCGGGCACAATGGTAACACATCGACCAGGGCAGGTGACAAAGATGCGGATATGACACACAACAAACGTAGATAATGAGGAAGGCGATGACTGACAAAATGCAGGCGTGGGGCAATCAGCAAAATCTAACGTGATTAAAGCATGGGAACAAGATCGGACATAATGTGCAGGGAAGTAACCTTTGAAAAATAAATCAGGAAATAAAGGTAAAAAACAGAACTTGGAAATAGAAAGAAGAAAGTCAACCTAAAGAGACCAATTACAAAAATAAAGAACCAGAGCACATTAAACAATATGACAATAGCATAAAAAAACCCCATAAAAGATCTAAAGGTGTATGGGTCTGTGTTTGTCACAAATCCATTTGCTCCGTCCACTAAATCACCGCATTTCAATTGACAAAATTTCCTCTTATTTCATCACCAGTTTTTCATATGTTTAAAGTGCCCCTGAAGTACCCCCTGCCCTACAGTCCAGTAACATGTCCTCTGCTTGAAACAGTCCATTGACAAAGGACACAGCACTCAGAAGTGCATGTTGGCTGCACTTCACATATATTTCTGCACACATCTCTGAAAATGTGGGATTTGAAATGTTTAGATTGGATTTAACAAAAAAACCCTGCTTGAAATGATTTTAAAAAAAAGACTGATTCCAGTCATAACCCTTTAAAAAGAGGATTTTTCTTTTGTTATCTTTCATCTCTCTCAGCCCTCCTCCCTCCCTCTTGTGTCATCACAGCCACCCTCCTCATCTTCTCCCTTCACTCGGTCCGTGCGATCGTGTTCCAGTTGTGTTGCTTTTGAAAGCAACTGGAAATCAGATAACTGTAGCCTCTGTCAAGAAAGGGACACTAAGGAAGGTAAGCTCATAAAGGGTTATATTCTTTACAAGTTAAGCCTCCATTGACATGACAAGTAAAGAGCTTGTTGCTTTTGCTGTTAACTGTTGTACTCACATAACATTTGTTTGAAATAGCTGGAATGAAAATTCATCACTCATGTCTGTTTTGTAGTTTTTTGTGCTGTTTAACTGCAGAACCTATATCGAGATATATACTTTAAAAAAAGATCAACTGAAAATAAAAAATGTATTATGCTTTTCTTTTTTAATCCTGTTGTAAAAATTAGGAAAAAAACAGAATAGGGTTTGGAAGATTTTCAAATAACACAGCAGGATTCAACTGTGGCTTAAGAGATTGTTTCCACATCATATTCCAGTACACGGGGAAAGAGTGGTGTGACCACTGTGGGCAGCTGCATGTTTAGTTCAAAGTTTGGGTTTGTGGTCCACACTGCTCCGGTTGCTGCCATTTTCGTGAGCACGATTTGTTCTCAATAACTGTCAGTCAAGATTTCACCATTAAGGGAAAAAGCCGGAGGTGGTGTAATATCCAGAGCTCTTGCAACCTGATGGCCACCAGCTGAGTTGAGAAAAATTGTCAATAAAGTCTGCAGGAAAGTTGTTTTCTTTCACCTCCTCATGCACACTTTTTCTACTTGTCACAACCAGTTGTCTGAAATAAAAAAAATATAAACAGAATCAAAGGAAGACAAATCAACCTGATGAAATATATCTCATATATGAACTGAATACATTACTTTTCCATGATTGATTTGAGTGCTTTATATAAATGTCTTCACTGTGCATTTTGGTTAGTCTGAACGTATTTGTCTCTAGGCTATTTTTGGCTCATTGTACCAGATGTATGTTCTGTTTTGGCGTGCTCTGGGCTGTACATAAAGTGCATTAGGGCATTGCCGTGCAACAATTAAAGGTGGGCACTCTAGTTTATCGCAGTATTGCTCGCCACTACCTAATCCCCCACAGCAGCATCCCTCCCATAGTTTAATCGATTGATTGAAGGCTATGCACCTTTCATCACAAGAGGCCTAAATTGAAGAGTAACTGTTCAAATGCAATACCATGTATACCCAAAAGAGGACGCTATTCCTCCTGTCCAAAAAATATAATAGAGCAATAGATCATTTGAAACAAAATAAAATCACAGTATGGGCACAGTTAAGAGGCAGCCTAAATGATGTGTGTTATGTGTATATTTTTTCCTTGTATTTGTTGTGCATTCTTACACAAAAGTGATGAAATATTTGCAGCTGAATCATTTCAAACTGCCACAAATACTTCTTAAACACAATGTGTCTGAACATGCATGACATTTATTTATACAGGCTACATCTACAAATGATAGTATTCAAACATCATCATAATTTGTTTGAATAAATGCTGTCTGAATGAAAAATTCCATCTTTGTATCTTGAGCAGTAAGTGGTTTATTGCTTGCTTCAAACCACATTTCAGGGGACTATCTCTACAATATTATCAACGGCTGAAACTATAATGGTCATTGTCTGTTTGCTCTGACCTCTAAATGACTTTTTTCCTCTCTCTCAGACGTTGATGCTCCTTTTAAGCTCCAGGATCAATATTGACAGAGGTAGAAGAAGTCATTTTATCCTCTTCATCCTTTATTTTTCCACAGGACCTTTTAAGTCTTATTCACTGAATGTGAGCAACCCGAGGTGATTTGGATTGAGATGGCTGTATTTCAGTACTTTAATGGAATAATCAGATTAGTGCCTGTAGTTTAAAAAACACGTTTGGCACTGATGTGTTTAATATTTTGATTGACAGACACATTTAAATGATTTACTGTGTGCCCTGATTGCAATCTATGGTTGTCCAAAGACTATCAACAGAAATGGAAGAATGGGAGCATTCCACTTCTATACCTGCAGAAACTAAAGGTATGCATTACTGAAATGATAAACAAAAGTGTGTCCCTCTGAAAACTCTGCATTGGTGAGCGTTTATGTCTTTGTCACAGTGAACGGGTCATGTGAGAGTCTGGAGTGTTACATGGTCCTGATGAAGGCGGAGCAGACGGCCATCGGCTCCATCTGCCTCCTGGCGGGTCCGGTCACACTGATGGAAAACGCCCTTGTGCTGGGGTTGATCGCCACCACGGTCTCTCTGCGACAGCGGCCCTCCTTTCTCTTCATTGGCAGCCTAGCTCTGGCCGACGTGTTTGCCAGCTGCTTCTTCACCACCAGCTTCCTGGACTTCCATCTCTTCCGCCGCTGCGATGGCCCCACAGCCTACCTCTTCAAGCTGGGTGGAGTCACCATGGCCTTCACCAGCTCAGTGGGGAGCTTACTGCTGACCGCTCTGGACCGCTACCTTTGCATTCATCAGGCCTCCAGCTATAAAGTGCTGCTGACCCGTCGCAGAGCCCTGCTGAGCCTGTTTATTCTGTGGAGTGCCACCATCTTCATCTCCTTCCTGCCTCTGATGGGCTGGAGGTGTCCCTCGGGCCTCTCTCCACCCTGTTCTCGCTTGTTTCCCTACATCAGCCAGGGTTACCTTGCCTGTTGGACCATCTTCATCCTGGTGCTTCTGGCACTCATTTTGGCGGCGTACGCACTCATCCTGTGGAAAGCCCACCGCCACGAATCCTCCATGACCAGCCTACAGGGAGCTGCAGGGACAGGCCAAGCCCGTATGAGGATGGACATCCGACTGGCTCGCACCTTTGGCCTGATCCTGCTCATACTGGTGGTGTGCTGGCTTCCTGCTCTCTCCTTCATGCTTGCTGATGTCTCTGTTGTCCTGACACACACGCAACAGAGGGCTTTTGCCTTTTGCAGCACCCTCTGCCTGGTCAACTCTGCAGTCAACCCTCTGCTTTATGCCCTGCGGTGCAGAGAGCTAAGAGTGGCTCTGCTGCAGTCCATACAGCGGCTGTGTGAGCATGCGAGGTGTAGGAAATCTACAAAGAAAACAAACGCCGCACAACACTCGGTAGAGGACAACTGTACCACATTCTCCGAAGATGAGATGCCGAAGGCAAGAACCACAAGACTTAACTCTATTTCTGAAGCAGTGAACAGTCAGCTGAATGTCAGCAAATAAAGGAGATGGACCGCTGAATAAAGCAGTACCAACATGAGAGAAAAAAATATGTTGTTATAGCAGCTTGTTGGTGGTGTAGAAGATAAAAAAAATCTGAGATTACCACCATCACTGTACTCAAAGAATGTAATGTAATTTACCAATCCAAAAATTCTGCTGTTCATAAAAAAAAACATTAAAGTATAATGAAGAAAGTATTTACATTTTATAGATTTGCTTATATTCTACAGAGCTAGTAGCACAAACAGTGCTTGTAAGGATGAACATGGATCAGGAGAGTAGTTTTTTTTATAGTTACATATAGGATTAAATAAAAAAGACATTTCAGTTATATTTACCTTGTTGAGAGGAAATCTGAGATGCTGTGGCATCGAAACATTTAAAGCATAATTGACCAATGGAAGTATTTCAAAATCAACTCTTATGGACAGGAAGCCAATGTGAAGAGCCCTGAGGACTGCAGTGACAGGATAACTTCTTTGGTCTTACTGATAACTGGAGTAGAGTTGCTCTGCATCAGCAGCAGCTATCCATCTTCAAAGCTGAACAGTAGAAACAGTGTCGCACTAAGAAAGTCTAGATAGGACAAGTGATTCTGTCAGTTTTTAGTTTAGTACAGGAGGTCAAGGTAATGTCGGTGGGTAATGTCATCCAAACTACATGGCCCATATCATTTGAATAATTTCAGCTGTATAACTTGTATCATTGACATATTAAATGTTTTTTTAACAAAAGACTGTACACAAAGACTGTACATAAATATTAACACTGTAAAAACTAAATCTGTGCTTAATTGTTTAGGATAAGAAGAGAGCTGAGTGCACCTGCTGACTTCAGAGTTGTTCACACGGTACAAAGGTGGATTTGTTTGCAGCATATTTCTTTACCTTTGCATGTATTGAGGGTCCTCTGCTTACACTGCCTGCACATGAATACCTCACAAAAGTCCCTCACACTTTTGTGAGTAACAGAATGGAAATGAATGGGCCTCTCAAAAGCGTGAGCACAAAACACTAGAAAAGTCTTTGCAATAGTAACAAGTGGCAGCTGAAAGAAGATACGGGCTCATAGAATACACTCACATGTGTACATTGTCATAAACATCTAAACACTCAAACTCTTGTTTGTCTTTGATGGTTGGAAACTATTAACAATAGCTACTTAAACTATTGATCTGATAAAAGAATGGGGCATAAAATAAAGAAACCTCAATACATATATCATATATCACTGTCCTTTCACATTTATGAGGTGATACTTATTGTCTCCTCAGATACGCTGTCAAAATTCCCTGTGGTAAAATGGGATCCAGGTGTACAGTACACTGTAAATTATATTATTCTAGTGATCTGTGTAGTTCTTCCTAGTTAAAAAAGTAATTTATGTAACGTTATTATATAGACTCTTTAAAAACAATTCATCTTTAATCTTCATGGTATATGTAATAATTATCATCTAACTGGTTATTGAGAGATTACCCAGTTAAAAAAAAACTATGTTAACAAACAATGCCGAAAGAATCTTCTTGGATATTTTGTGTCTCCTTTTGCATCTTTTTCTGTATTTAATAGCTGTATTTTACTCAATCAAATTACCAGAATTTGCCTCAGATCAGCGTATAATTTTTGTTTATTTATATTTATCTTTGTAACTGCATAATGCTATTGTTAAATGTGTTATGGAAATTAAGATATATTAGTATTTAATATCCGAAAGGCCACCGGATCGAGATGCGTAACTAATTATTGCATATATTCTTTAATAAAGTCAAGTTGGCAAACGCACATGTAAGACTTCTGCTAAAAATCGTACAAATGTTCTCTATCATGCTTTGTCTTGGCTTCTTTTGGTTATTTTACAACCTACCCTCCCCCAACCCTGTAAACTGCCAGTTTATCAGTTACCTGGTGATCGAATTCAACCTGCCTGTTTTTTCTTGTTTTTATTTGATCACATCTACAGACGTCTCATGAACCTTCAATTGGAGTTCAACAAGAAACCATCAACAACAAAAGAGGGGTGAACAACCGGAAGTCGCGATGCAAAAGTAGTGAATACAGAGAACATACAGATAAAGTTTTTGGAAATACTTTCAGTATATTATATCAGGCACATTTTAGATAATAGGAACATGTTTCTCCGGTGATTTTGAGTAATGTAATTGTTATAAAATTTTTATATCCCCCTTTCTTCTTGTAATGGTAGGGACCGCCATTGTGACGTTTTAAAAATTCAGCAGGCACGGTCGGCAGTTGGCTTACAATTCAGAGAAGAAAATCCGTTGTTGTGTGGAGGAAGAAAGGCGAACACGAAATTCGAGGAACGTTACACGTACCAAAGGGAACTTTAAACCCCAAAACAGCGGGTCGGTTTTCTCCAACTTATTCCCCCCTTTTGTGTCGCTAACATGGCTTGTGGGGCAACGTTAAAGCGGTCGATGGAGTTTGAGGCCCTCCTCAGTCCCCAGTCTCCCAAGCGGAGAAGGTGCAATCCACTACCGGGGACTCCAGGCACTCCGTCCCCTCAAAGATGCAACCTCCGTCCACCAGTCGACAGCCCAGCGCATTCGATGTCTCCCCAGCCCATCGGAGGCGAACACAGGCTTACTCCAGGTATAAATCTTAACGTAATTGGACGTATTTTCTGCGTTTCAGGGTGGGTGTCATGGGGGAGGGGGTTTGGGTGGAGTGGAATGGATAGCTAGCTACTTGAGAGGCAGAATAGGGGTTGAAGGCTAAACGTTAGCCTTCTTCAGCTAATGTCAGGAAAAGGAATGTGGCGAAGTTGGAGATCATTTCACTAATTATCATATCCTAAAATGAAAAACAAAACGCACAAAAGTAGATTTATTAGAAGTGTTCGTCGGTGGCTCATTGCCAGGTACTTGATTTTTACTTGTAAACGATCATGTTTATTTCCTTTTAAAAGCTGAGTATTATAAACACAATTTAAAAGGTGCGTTTGATAAACAAAATACAAGTTTCTAATACGTTTTTTTTTTTAGCCCAGGCGTCGTTTTATAATACAGTCTTCTTATCAGCTTTGCTCAAGCTTCAGCAAAGCCACCAGACTGTTTATGTAGATGCTATACATTCGTTTTGAGTTACAGCCTTGTATAACTGAATAAAACATCCAGCATTTTCTTTCATACTTAACACTAATCTGCCAGCTTTCAAACACAAATAACATCACAGCTGCAGTCACATCATTCCAGGCTATTCATTAGGAGCTGCCTGGGTAATGTTCCTTGGCACTAGTACCTCGATTGTTTTGCACTAAAGTGGATGTTACCATTATTCACCACAACCACCCCCCCTGCCCCCCTCCAGGCCTGGAAGGCATTGTTCATTTCCTTTATGCCTATAACCTACTCAACCATTGACTTAAAAATGCGGCTCCACTCTGAGCGTTGGACGGGTGTGGGGTGCACAAGTAGACAGGATAATTACTCCGAGGTCTCTGCAGTCCAGTGGCAGAGTGCATGTGCCAATCAGCGAGGGTTTGGCAGCAGTCAGGCCTAAGCTTTTTGCAATTTGAATTCCAATTAGACACTACTGTATGTCCTTGCAATTTTACGACTCTTTAATTCCCTCAAAAAGTCAGGATTAGGGCTCCTTGTAACGATCGAACACTCATAGCACAGTCCCCCGAAAAGGGCAGAAACGAGTGTCTCTGATGGCACAAATAGTCTTATATTTCAATTTGGCACAGGCCAGGGACAGTTCCAGTGTTTAAAAAAAAAAAAAAAAAAATCTGTAATGCACAAATATGATATTAAGATCTGGTTTGATGAGTAACAAACTATTTTGAAAAGAGGCCTTATCTCTCTTTCATACGAATCAGGTGGTTGTGTTAGGATACTTTTATCTTGTACTAAATTGTTCTCATCCCACAAATAAAGCAACACTCGTCGTGCTGTGTACTTCTGCATTCCCTCAGATGTGCAACCTTTAGACAAAATGTGAGGGATAAGATGGCTTTTGATAAACAGTATTGTCATTGTTGTAATAAATGAACTTTAGTACACTAACCGATTTCCTCAGTTGGGGCAAATTGGGATTTTGCAAGAAAATAAATGTTGCACATGCATGAAAGCGGAAGCTGGGAGTGTTGGCTCATTGTAACAAGGTGTTGAAGATATTTTCATAGTTGGCTTGTTGTAAAAGGAGTTTTCGAAAAGACTGAGAAGTGGTTTAAGACGACCAGAGCAGGTCTATACATTCTAGAGGTTTACAACATGTTTTCTCACCCGTATTATTGCTCATGCTGTTTGTGGTATACAAAGTCTGAGTAGTTCAGACATGCTTCTGCCCAGGTTCTTTTTTTCCGCTCTTCCAGCCGTGGTGAAGTTAATGTAATGTAAATGGGTGTTCCAAAGATGGTCCAATACCTGGTGCTAAGCTTCCCTTTAGCGAGGAATGATGGTCTGATTATGGTTTTCCTAGCGAATGCATTTTTGCACTTGGCAGTAGATCAGCTGTCCTCCCTCCCGTCTTTCTCTCCCCACACAAGCTTTACTGTTGGGTTTACCTGTGTAGAGGGAGGTTCTGTGCAGAGACGAGAATCTCCCACTGCCGAGGTATTTTTAGGGAAATGTTTCGTAACGTGGATAATCCACACTACTTGCCTCTGCTTTATTTTGAAGTATCCAGCCTGGATTTGTGCTTGGATGACAAATAACTCTGGTGCTTTTCAACATTTTTTTGTGACTTCTTGCCCAAATGTAGCCCTGTCAAGAAGTAGTTAGTCATGATGCACTTGTTTTTCCTGAAAAAAAAAACTTAGTTTTTTTCTTTAATCCTCTAGCTTTCAAGGGTAGCTGGACCTACCCTGTAAGACATCACATTTGCACCCTTGCATTTGGGGGCATTTAAAATCCACCTCTTCCTGACAGTCGTTCAGCAGTGGAGGGTGAATTGAAATGAGTTAGCTTTGTTTAGTCTCCCCCACCATGCCCTGTCTATCTGGCTGCTCTCTACTTTTATTCACTGTGAGGCTTGTACCTAAGCCTTTTAGCTCAGGCTTTCTCCACTGTGTTCCCCTGGCTCCCGGAAGTCTCTGTGATTGATTGCTTGGCCTGGTTTTGACAGGGTCATTGTTGCCAAGCAACACCCACTGTTGAGCTACGAGAGGCTGGCAGAGCTGGGAGTGACACGCAGTGGAAGAGACATTTCACTTTTCAGTCGGATGGCTCCAGGAACAGCGATCCATCTGTCACAAGTGATTGTCTGACAGCTTGTCGTTTTTGCGACAAAATGTGCATCCAGTTTTTAATAACCAGGAAATGTTCGCACAGGCTGTCGGGGCCTATTCACATGGCAATGTTTGTGCTAGTCTTTGTCAGCTTTAGGAGTCTGGAAGATAAGGCTATAGCCTTATAGTATAGATACTCCATTCACATCAACAATAAACATAACAAAGCTGAATCATGACAATAAACAAAGTTACTTTGGGGTTTATTTGCAGAACCTGCTTCATGTAGGTTTCGTTCGAACAGTCTTGGTAAGTTCCTTTTTCTAGTACAGGGTTTCCCCCAGGAAATTAGTAAGCGTAGGTTGTAAAATGTGGAGCGCCACTGAAGAAAACACAGTTTTCTGTGTCCTCTGCTGAAAACTCCCTCCGCTCGCTGAATTTTGCAAAACTTTATGAGCAATACTCAGTCATCAACATTAATGTCTATAGATATATGTCCTGTATAAAATGTTTGATATTTTCTAACTTGGTTAAATAGTCATTTCAACCCAATTAAGGAACAGCTAAGAACAATTGAAGGCTTTAAGATGGCGTTTCTGGAAGTTTGTAAACACCCAATGGTCAGGTGGGGCTTCAGAATATATTGGTTTTATATTCTGCTTTTTTTAAAACATTTTTTTTACAGGAGCTTTTGAAAATGAAATAATGACTTGTTTAGATCTGCAGGCATCATGAAATGATTGACCCGTTTTGATTTATGCGTTTGATATGTTGGTTTCACAGAGGCAGTAACTAGCAGACCAGTCCATCAACATTTTTTTGGTTTTCTGAATAGAGGTAATTCAGAATCAAACTATCATTTTAAATCAGAGCTCAGAATCATGCAGACAATCTCTCATTTCAAGCTTTCCTGATGCAACCTGTGTTCAGACAAGTTGAGTTTTAGCTTGTAATGAAATCATGCTAAATGTTGCATGTCAAGTCTTTGATAAACTGTAAACTGACCTCTCAAACACTGTTTTTCTTTCCAATTTCCGTTTAAACTGATAAACACTGACATCCTTCAGGTGTGCTGAATTTTGACAAAGGCACACACTCCAAAGCTGCCGCTACAACAAATCCATTAAAAGAGTGCATGTTCAAGACAGCTGACAACATTACAGACTTGTCGGTTGGCTTAAATTACAGTTCACGTACGGCAAATACCTTTTCTGTAAAAGCCAATCATGGGGAACAACATCCTTGAATTCCCCTTTTTGACCAAAGCAGTTCAAGTGCTGCTTTGGATACAGAACCCAACATAGAACCAGTTTTTTCTGTTTAGCTGCTAAAACACTGGCCCCAGGCCAGGAAGCTGGTGCCACAATAGAAAATACAAGATGAATTGTGTATTAGGAGGTTGTCATGAAGACCAACCAGAACTTATTGAGTTCTGTTTGGAATCAAAACATACACTACACATCGGCATGCACGCAAAGTTGATAAATCAGTGTTCGTTCGGTTGCAGCATCAGGCTCCCACATGGTCAAAAAAGGGTACGTGCACCGCGAATTGTAATGCATGCGATGCTCAAACCTGTTGGTTGTTTTTATTTTTTCTTAAAATGGCTTTTTGAATAAGGAAGTTATCAGTCGTGGTGTTGTCAGCTCATGGAAAAATGGCCCCAACCCTTCTGGTGGCCCCTCCGTCGCTGGTGTATGGCAGTGTTTTCCCTGCACTCACACGGGTTGGGTAGTTGCAGCTAAATAAACAAAGCTCGGCAGGATTATGGTCACATTAATGCTGTGAGGTTTCAAAGGCCAGGCCACATGCGCCATGAGCTGGGGTCTCTAAGGGGTCACCGGTTTAGTCATCCGCTGCCATGTTTGTGTCGGAGCTTCAGTGAAATGCGGTGCGGAGAAAATCCAGCTCCACAGAACGGTTCAGACGAGCTCACCGAGGAGCCGGCTGCCTCCCTCCGCCTGAGATAAACAAGGCATGGCTTCCCAGATGGAGGCGCACAGTGTGTACAGGCTTGTCGCGCTGCAGAAAGGGAGAAAGATAAGTCCCTCCTCCACGTTATCAGCTGTGTTGGAGGCCATGTTGTTTTTCTCTGGTTTGCCCCCCCAGCCCTCGCCTGTTTTCACACCCCGCCATTGCATTCCACACACGTACCTGCTGTGTTCCCTTTTGGTTTTGGTCCACCTGTGATTTTCTTACAGCATATTTTTGCATTGTTATGAAAGCCTTCTAATTACAGACTCGCAAACATAAAGAACATGTTGATCACAAACCGCTGCTGGACTTTTTGCGGCCTTTCTGGCGCTCCCTCACAGGCCTCTGCTCTGTCAGGACAAATGGGATTGCTCTGCCTGCTGACAACAGCTGAACAGGCTTCAGGAGAATGAAGATTCATTTGTTACAGCCTCATAAAGATTGTGATCATGGCTGATCTATGGCTGGCTTGACCTTGGGTGGTTTTACCAGCTGTAGTTTGGCACGATGTGGACATTAGAGAAAGAAAAAAGAAGTGAAAGTGATATGTCACGAGGTGTGTGTGTGTGTGTGTGTGCCTGCGTCTCTTAACCTGTCTGATCCACACCATGACTTCCTGTCAGTGGATGATTTTACCGTTTTATAAGTGAGGAAGAACACAGGATGTTAGCGCTGTTGACGTCATATCTGAAGATACATGGATGAAGATGCTTTCCTGCGATAGTCCTGTTTATCCTGGGAACCAGCCAGCATTGTGTGACTGCAGCCACGCAGAGTCAAAACGAAACACAAGATTAGTCAGCACAATTCCTTCAGTTAAATACTGTTTCAGTTGTTAGATATCGGCGTGGTTGGACAAAAAGAAAGATGAAAAGTTAGATTTTTAACATGGCCGTTCCCATTTTGACTTCTTTTTCTGTTCGTTTCCCACAGAGCAAATCTTCCAGAACCTCCGTCAGGAGTACAGCCGGATCCAGAGGCGGCGGCAGCTGGAAGGGGCCTTCAACCAGGCCGAGGCCTGCAGCTCCAGCGACGCCCCCAGCCCCAGCTCCTCCCTCAACGCTCCCAGCTCTCCACCAGGTATGAGGGCGTGCTCACAGACTGTGCTGGCCGTGGGCCGGCTTTGGCCCATTTCTGTGAGGTCACAGCCTGATTTAGTAAGAGCTTACGTGAGGTTGTATTCCTTCATTTGTGAAGTATCACAATGCTGTTGACTGAGGGAGTAACAAGGTTTGAGACTTCCACATTTCGATCCAAGCACAACTAAACCATTTTTTTTTTCTCAATTGACTTGCTGATGACACAAAGTGTTTAACCAGCTGGCTGCTCCAGTTATTCAGAACACTCCTCATTATTGGCTTATATTTTTTCAGAGCATTCCTTCTGATTGGCAATCAGGGCTGGTCTTGAGCTTCACCAGCTCAAACACGGCATGTTCGAGGGCTTTATCAGCTAATTACTAAATAAGAAAATAGTTTATTTTCATAATCATGCCATAGTAACGGGGTGTAACACACTCACACACACACACACACACACGGGTATGCTGGCAGATGTAAACAGGAAAACGGCTTTGCTGTGCAGCTATGATAAATTTATACAAATACTATTTAATGTGTTGGACTCTGAACAGCGTGCTGGACCTTTCATGCAGCAGTGTTTTGGTTCCCTCCCCACAGACCAAGCCTCACCACAAACATTAAACATGAATGAACATTATTCCCAGAAACCAGAGGAGATGAACAAATGAATGTAAACGCAAACATTTTTATCAGCGATGTCTCTGAAACTGGTGCATTTATAGCATGTCGGTCTCCATCTCCCTGTGCCACACAACAGCAATAAACGGCGTCAAGGCAATCTTTCCAGCTAATGTGCGAGAGGTAATTGGAGACCCCGGCCTTCGGGCTCCTGTGCGGGGCGAGCTCGTACATCACCGTGACTGTACCGTTACGAAGCAGCCCCTCTCTGTCTCAGAGGCCCCGCTCAACCCGCATCCTTACCCGGCCATGTGCCACATTGATTTACACGCGTTTTGGTCCGCTCGGGTCATAGCAGACCTCAAAGACCACTGGGCAATGAATCACCGGGCGACGGCCGGCTCCAGTTTCAGCCGGACGGACGCCCGGGAGAGGCTGCCAGCGCTAGTGCTGCTCGACCTCGTGGCTGTAAATGTGCACCTGGTCCGGCGTCTGTCACAGGAGGACAAGAGACGCCTCATTGTTGCTGCAGCAGACCCATGATAGTGACTCAGCTTTTAAGAAAAACATCTTTCCTTTTTTTTTTTTTTTCACAGCAGATCCGTTTTTTTTTTTTTCTTCTTTTTTGTCTTTCATAGGTGCCTCGAGGAAGGACCAGCCCTCGTTCACGCTGAGGCAGGTTGGCTACCTGTGTGAGCGCCTGCTCAAAGACCACGAGGAGAAGATCCGAGAGGAGTACGAACAGATCCTTAACACAAAACTCGCAGGTAAGACTCGGCTTTGATGGAAAACGCTGCAGAACCTAGATGCCATCGGTTTATGTCGGGCAGGGAAACTCGGGAGAAACATACCGTTTATCACCCGTAGTTTAAATATGGGGCTTTTTTTCCAGTTAATGAAAGCTGAAATAACCATCCTATTAATGCATCCTTAACTGACTCTAAGGGAGAGCTGTTGCCATTAACCTGCATCGGGGTCTATTTAGTTAGAACACCTCCAAAAGGGGGCAGAACAGTGCAGCCGTCGGCTCCACAGCCGGGGAATGTTTGCTGTTAAACTCGTCTTTCTGAGCACTGTCCCGTTTGTGTAACTCAGAACTGTGTCATCTACTGCTGAGTGGACATATCTTCACCAGTTGTGTTGTTTCTGTGCTATTTGTGTCTTCTAGTGAGTACAAACTGCTGTGTCTTCCTCATTTCAGAACAATATGAATCTTTTGTGAAATTCACACAAGACCAGATCATGCGAAGATACGGAGCCCGGCCCGCAAGTTGTGAGTGAAATCCTCCTTACAGGCATGAACTCTCTTACATTTTGGTTTAACAGGAAGATCTCATGAACGGCATAAATTTTTCATGTGTTTCAGACGTCTCCTGAGCTCACCCCGGCTTCTTCTCACAAGACGGCTGCTCTTCTACTGCCTCCCCCCTGTTGATTTTACATTTTATTTTCCTAACACTCCCCCTACTCCCTTCTCCAAAGGTTTAGGTGCCATGGTTTGACTTTTTAATCCAAAAATTGGTTTCTTACTTCCAATCTCTTGCTGCTGGCCAAAAATTAGAATAATCTAAAAGGTAAACGATGTAAAAAAAATAAATGTTTCTTTCTTTTTCTTTTTTTCCCCGTCCCTTTGGTCCCTTTATTTGCGCCCCCAGTTGCTATGCTTAATCCAGACATCCTAAGAAAAAAAAGCAGATGTTTGTCAAATCTCTTCCTGGCGCTGTAGAAAAAGCTTATTGGCTCGTGATCATTCTGTATAACCTCCCAGCAGCTGTATTTAATGGCTCCTGCTTCTCACCATGCCCAATGCCCCCCCCCCCCCCTTCCCCCCCCTCACCCCCCCCCCTCACAACTCTACCTGAGAATGTGGATTTTTCTCCCTTTTGAAGAAAAATAAATAAAAGTTCTGTGACTAAACTGTGCCGCTCGTTTATTGATTTATTATAGCACATGTTCACCTGTGAATTAGTTATGAAGGTTTAGTTGACCAGATCTTGGGTTTTTTGGGGTGAACAGTTTGTAGGGTTTCATTCCTGAACCCAAGTTGGCATCAGTAGGTTTGGAAAATTGAGATTTTTTCGAATAAAATTGACTCACATCAATGGATGCCTTTCTTTATTCGAATGTTATTGGGGAAACTAGACATTTGAGGAATACATTTTTTTAATCCTATGGGAAATACCCTCGTGGCAGAAGGCAGGCCTGCTGTCGGAACTGCGCGCTGTGCTGCCCCCTTGTGGCTCCTGCAGGTAACAACATATTAATTCAAAACCTCGGCGCGATTTAAATCGGCAGGATCATTTTTAGCATTCTTAAATAAATGCAATGCAACACGTTGACAAAATACGTACCTTCCTTGAGTTTTGTGGGTGGATTGTGTGAGCGTTGGGGTACACGGCTACCCGCAAAGAAAAGGCACCATTTTGGTGACGTCACTCAGGTGTGGCTTCAGGAAAACAGGTAGATTTCTGTGTCATTTCGTGGGTTGGGGTCGTCAACGTCCACGCTGACGGCCTAGAAAAACGCCTGAGCCATCACTGTGAGGAAGGAGAAGCATCACTGGCGGTTTGTTTGTGCCGGGGAAGGAAGTTCCTTGCAGGAAAAAGCACCAAAAGAGTCTATAATTATATCCGACTGCTTTTCTCTCACGGGACGGTCAGTGAGAAGGAGAGGGCTTCGAATGCTGCCCCACAAGTCACCGTGAGGCGTTTGGAAGTCTATCACAGCCCGTGGATTTCTACACATCAACCAGCAATCCGGTTTGTTTGGATTGGAGGGGTCAGATACTGTTTCTGCGTCTGGAGCCATCACTACGCTTCCTGTAGAAGGTCCAGGTGAGTTGGGGCAAACTCGATGCTCGTATGAAAGAAAATCGCCTGGGAAAGTTGCCTGTTAGTGCTTGTTAATTTGAGCCGACCGACTAACCCTTCACAGTCAATACAAACAACAATGCTCCGTAAACAGGAAGCGCCACAGGCTCCGCCAGCCATCAGACGGCTCAAGGAAACACGATGAGAGAAAGACGGGACTTTTTCAGCTGTGAGCTCTGAACCGAAAGTCCACCGGTGCTCAGGAGACCATTGAACGTTTCATTACAAACCCTCATACTAAAGGCTAAACTTCATCATAGCAACATCGCCTTTATTTACTTAATGAGCTTGATAAGCATCTCCCGAAAGAATAAACTTTTAAAAGTATATGTTCACGAGTAGAACTTTATCCCTCTCTGGTACATTATAGATATAAAAGTGCCTGTGAAAATGTCTGTCAAACTATGTAGTGATGACCATTCAGTCGATATTAGATGACTTGGATTTTAATATTGAAACTCAAAATTAAGCTTCATGGTTGAATTCGTTTGATTTATAAGAGGATAACTAAGATTTTGAATAAGACAGTTATATTCATACATCTTATTAAATCAGACCCCATAAAAAATATTAATGCTCCTTTGGTTAGTTTCGGGAGATATCTGAAACGAATTAATGCACCCTCAGACTGCTTATTTTTAATGAAAGGTTCTCGAAAGTACAGACAGGACTTAAATGCATCAGAGCCCCTGCAAGAATTGCTAGTTTTTTTCCCCAAGTAAATAAGAAAAAGAAGAACAAAAGGCAAGGAAAGGGTCAATTCATTCTTAGCATAATTTGTGTACCATACAACTCAAAGCGCCTAACTTAAAAGATTTAAGAAGAGGGAGAAGAAAATTACCTACATTGCAAAGTGATGCTAAAGAACCACCATTCGAGTAAAAAAACTCCTGCAGAGATGCAAGATAATCACAAACAGAAGTGAGAAAACCATGAACAAATGGCAAATATTTGCAAATGGCTGAAAATGAGCACTAAGACTCAATACCTCCACCTCCATGTATCGACGGTTGTAACGTGCTGGAAACAGAGTCCCATCGAGGCCCCCCGAAGGAGTTTTGTTTGCTATATGACTAGGATTTAACCTTCACCCTACTATGGGACATAGGAGTCTCAAAAAAGGTTGCAGATGTCCTCAAAACAAGACATAAGATAACAAAAAAATAGTAGGATGTTTGTTTAGATTTAGGGAGATGTTCAGGGACTTTGGGACATATTTCTTTCTCTTAGGGCCTCTTGAATTGCAATTTTTTTAAAATCTGAGTTGTTTGGAAACATTATTGGCCTCTATTTAATCCACTTACAACGTAATGGTTTCTTTTAATTTAGCACACTGAATTAAAGTTTTAATTGCTTGAACGAAGAAGAAGAAAAGCGTAATTCAATGTGGTTAAAACAATGCTTTCACCTCTTTGAAAAGCTTCAGAACCCACAGTGCAGGCTGAAAAATGAGCATCACCTCATGGCACCCATCGGCATATTTTCCTCCCCACCTTGCCGTGCAGGGCTGCCGCAGGGATGGAGAACATCGACCTGGAGCAGCAGGAGCCCTTCCCCGTGGACAGAGATGGGAATCGCTTAAAGAAAGAGGCACAGGAGCCGGACGGGGGCAGAAAGATGGGGTGCTGCGAGAGGTTCCAGCAGGCGGTCTCCAGATGGATGCTTCCAGAGGTCTCGCGCAGCACCTACCTGGAACGTGCCAATTGCTGCCCGCCCCCCATCTTCATCATCCTCATCAGTATTGCAGAGGTAGGCCTGCCCGGCGGGGTCGGGTTCAGGAGCACCGGCAGAGACGCTACCAGTTGTGTGACCTGATTTTAAAGCAGGCAGCCCACTTTTAGCAGTGCAGAGATTCTGACCTAAGTATGGAAGCCTGGATGGAACATCCTTGAAAAAGTGTGTTTACTCTGAAGCCCCGAACCGATCTTTCTTGTCTCTTTTGGCATCGGCCGATTCATCACGTGCCGTCTCCTCCCACAGGCAGCAGGCCTTGGGTCAATAAAAACAGAAGTTTTTATGAGAAGAAGCCTTAGATTAGACCGAGTACAGTTGGCCCCCATCACCGGTGGGAGATTCTTTTGCTTGAGTGTGCAGACAGAAACTCCCAGTGTCTTTCGCCCTTTAGATTTGGGTGAAGAAAAACCTCTGATGCAAAGTAGATTTGTATCTTGGTTGTGACTCTGAGCTTAAATTTGATGAGGAAAGTGCTCAAAGTGGTCTGTGGACTGAAGAAACAAGAAAAACCGTAGTTTACTTTCAATGAGTCCAATTAAATCAGCTTCTTTGGGGAGTGTTTTGAACCTCCCCTTTGTTGAACCTAGCTCCCTGTCAGCCAGGCAGCCGCAGCAGGTTGTGGATTCCTGCAATTCCGCCTCATTCCCAGTTTAGGCTTGTTTTTGTCTTAGAAAAGCAAAATGTACATTTATATTATTTCTATTATTTTCTCTTGGACTACATCCATTTTAAATCTGTGTTTCTGAACTTCACCTGTTAAAGGGGATTTTTTTGTCTTTTAACTCTTAGTTTACTCATCTTTAAACAGACAACAAAGCTGAACAAACTTCCTCCAACTGGGGAGATTCCCAGCCGTTTTCCAGGGCTGATATCTCATCTCTTCAATGGTTGATTGATCATTGATATAAAACCCAACTCAATACCCAAAGCTGAAGGCAACAATAAAGGCAACAATAAAGCTCTACGGTAATAGGAGGCCGTGCATTGTGTTACTGTGGAACACTATATCCGCTGGAAGAATCCTTATATATTGATCTGTTTTTTTTATTTTGTGCATCACCTTGCCACATAGTGAGGAAGAGATTATATCTTACTCACTTTATATTTAGTTCAGAGTCTTAATGACTCTTAATCTCTGGTACCATGTAAAGGTCAGAATTATCTCTGAATATTTGGTTGTTCACCGCTGGGAGGTATCTGCTCTCTTTGTTTTATCACGGATGTCCGATGTCGCTGCATTTGAATCCTGCATGTGAATACTTTATCTGTCAAGTTTTTACTCAGAGAGGTTGATCTGGCTGTCCCAGTGAGCCTGTTGTTGTACACTCACGCAGTATTTTGAGCTACAGGCTGCTCTATCCATTGGGAAGGGGGGGGGCATTTGGGGGATTAAATGTGTCAGTTAAGAAAACCAGCACATCTGTATGTCCAGTTCCCACCGGCTGTGGTTATTTAGACAGCCGTTTTAGATTTGGCTTTTCCCAGACATGCTTCTGTGCAAACATTTGACCCAGCCCTCATTTTTTTTGTGTATTATGAGGAAAACAGGAAATAAAAGTAGCAATTTATAGAGGCTTGTAGCTGTTTATGGAAAAACTGTAAGGAGTTTTTACAGCATCTTTATCCTTCAAAACAGTACGAACGCACTTTGGTTTGTAATGGCTTTAATTACTCCTCAGGGATCGCTTTGCATGCTTCCGGGAGGACCTACCAAAATGTTGCTTTGGGTGTTGAGATCTGTGCTTTGAGGAGGATTCTTCCCTTCGTCAGACCTGCTGCCACTGATTTTCTGCCAACTTCTTGTGTCATTTGGCAAAACTCGGCTTTTTCTCCCTGTTTTCCATCCTTAAAAGGGGCTTCTTTAGAGGCAACCCTCATAGACTCCATTTCTGATTTGGTGGACCAGTCAACTCAAGGCCCATAATTGTATGTCAGGGCCCATATGACGTCTTTACTGTTTTTTTTAATCCTATCTTTGGTGATTTCACCTTCAGACACCATTTTATCTTCCCTGGAAATGTTTTTCTGAGGCCCAGCCCCTCCTCTTTTGCACTCTACTTTTCCAGATTCTATTGATTTTTCAAGGACACACTGCAGACCATTTTGAAACATGTCACCCAATAGCTCTTTGAAAAAAAAGTTTGTTTGAAACAAGTCATGCGTCTTTTTCACAGACGAGGTCAAACAAACAACCATAAAAACATAATTAAAAACTGGCTTGTTGTTCAGTTGTCTGTTCTGTGTGGATACAACACTGGTTCACCTCTTCAGTTTGGAATGTTTGAATTTTTCTAAATTTTTTACTGATTTAAAGTGACCTTTTATCTGCTTATTGTGTTTTTTTGTGTGTTGCAGTTGGGAGTGTTTATCTACTATGCTGTGTGGAAGCCTCAGAAGCAGTGGGTGACCCTGGATGAAAGCATCTGGAAAAGCTCTCTGACCTACAAGCCTGAAAGCCGGCACGAAGCGTGGCGCTTTGTTTCCTACATGTTTGTCCACGCCGGGTAAGCAGGGGCAGGACTTTTAAAATTCCTCAACTAAAAGGCTGAATGCTTCGGTTGATGGAAAAAAAAGTGGGTAAAACTCCACAAACCATTGCTGCGGCTCTAAAGTAACGCCCAGTTTAGTAACCCTCATAATCAGGGGGGTGTGTTATGCTGCCAGAGCTGTGGAGTCAAATCAAATGAGTGCATTAGCCACAAAAACACAGGAAAGCCAAACATCGTGACATACACAGGAAAACGGCAAAGAGGAACAGCGGGCACATCTGTCACAAGCACTGACATAAAACCACGGGCAGGATATTTTCTTAAAGGATAGGAAGGGTGATATTCAGCATTTTCTTACCTTGAAGAAAAGCCATGAAAAGACCAAAACCAGCAAGACGCCCACTGTTTTGTTCAGACAAAGTCGCTGGATGGAACTTATTCCTCTGTGGGGCATGTCTGTGTGTTCTAGAAAGCATTCACATTTCATTGGCTTCTTGGCTGATTATAGACACTGTGGATTGTTTTGAATCTGTCGCACGTTGTGTCATTTTGTAGCTTCAAAATCGGAACAAACAATTCCCCGCTCACTGATTTTGGAGAGCCATCTGGTTGTGATACTTTTGTGTTTGGGTGCTGGATCCCCACCTCTGCTTTGACAGTGTGGAGCACATCCTGGGCAACCTGCTGATGCAGCTCCTGCTGGGAATCCCGTTGGAGCTGGTCCACAAAGGATTTGAAGTGGGAATGGTTTACCTGGCCGGTGTGATTGCGGGTGAGTCTGTCTCTCGATGGTCAGCAGGTGAACAAGCTCTGCGTGTTTCTCTGAGCCCGACCTAATCTTGGATTCAGTTTTCCTGTTTGTGTTAGAGCTGACTCCTGCTAATAGCTCATCTGGCTGTTTCCCCTCAGGCTCTTTGGCCAGTTCTATCTTTGATCCCTTCAGTGCCTTGGTGGGGGCGTCCGGAGGCGTCTATGCTCTTATCGGGGGCTACTTCATGAACGCAGTGGTGGTAGGTTTACAACTCAGCTGGAGAGTCGGTTTTTCTGCTTATTTCTATGTGAGAAGAGTTTGTGGTGTAATCTTACATTGGATATTCTGTTGTTCAGTGGTAACCGACAGCAACCGCTCTGCAGTTTAACGAGTCCTCACATGTTGGTGTTTTAGGAAGCAACATTTCCACATAAGGTGGTTCTCAGAAACTAATTATTTGAAATTCCTTTGAATCCAGGATTTCATTGAACATAGTGCAATGAGTGAAAAGTGTGCTGATTCTCTCTTTTGGGTATCTGATCTGATTGGCACGGATTTTTCTTGAAAACCATGAATCTTTCCCTTAATCTAAATTGTGAAGATATTAGTTATGTAGTTTTACAAGGAGGAAATAATAAGGTTGTAGTAACAAGAGGATACCAAACAGCTGCGTAACAGGTCACATAAAAAACATAAGATAACGTTAAGAATAGTTTTATACAGACCGTCCAGGGTGTACCCTGCCTCTCGCCCATTGACTACTGGGTTAGGCTTCAGTCCCCCCGCGACCCCCCTAGGGAATAAACAGTTACGAAAATTGATGAATGGATGGATGATTTATTATAAAAGATCAATAAACAAAGGAATTTGTACCACAAAGTAAACATTTATTTAATCAAGTTTAATCCTGGGTGGGGGCATGGCAAATAGCTGTGGCTTGTTAATCAAGAAGTCTTTTCTTTTCAATGGCATCATCCTTTAACGATCTGAAAAATCTTTCGATTCTGCAGCGGGGGTCCACAGCTCCAGTTATCAATGCTTCCATTCATGCATGTGCACGCAGCTCTTCAATAGGATAGGATTTTAGACATTAAAAAGACCAAAAAAAAGATGGTTTGGACATCTTTTAAACTTTTGTTCAATTTTTTTTAACAGACTTTCACTGTAGGTAATGTGTGTCTCACAGCAGGTCAATGAAGTTTGATCCTATGACACCAGTCTTATTTGGAAAGAACTTAATGAATCCAAGCAAGACAATATCAAACCCCAGTCTGCCCTGTCTGTAGTCCAGATCTCTGACTAATCAAAAACATTTGGGTTTTTACTCTTAAACTCCAACACCAGGCACAATGGAACACATTAGGCTTTTAATCTGCAGGAGGACATCTAACCACCTTAAGCACTATTCACGCTCACATTAACTATAAAATTGGCTTTTTTTTAGAGAAGTTAAAGCAGCGTTTAAATCAGATGTTGCAGTTTTAAACCCACAAATGAATCAGCTGACCTGTATTTTAAATGAAGGTTTCAAATCGATTTTAGCTGAAGACTACACAGAATTTACATTAAAAGCCACACTTCCTGTGTTGGTGGCCTAGTTTTCTTCCCATTTCCTGTAATGGGACTATAGAACTAGTTCACAGGCTTTTTTAGATCAATATTATATTGAAGGTTTCTCGTTTATGTACTACAGAACCCCTGTTCCTACTGCCTGTTTTGTTCTGTTTTTAAATGTAGTGCACTTTTATTGTCTTATGCCTTAAACATTTTAGATTTAAAGAGTGTTTCTTTTCGCAGAACTTCCGGGAGATGATTCCTCTTCTTGGAGTGTTCCGAATCCTGGCCATTTTGTTAATTGGTGGGTTCTACTTTGTGGTTTCACTCCTTTGTTATTCTTACAGCCCCTTCAGCACAAAGATATTTAACGCAGCTCTCTGATTCCAGTTGGTGTAGATTTTGGATTTGCCTTCTACAGAAGATTCGGGAATCAAAACGAGGGTTATCAGGTATGTTTCTGCAATGGGGAAATGCAAACTGGGTCTGTCTAAACCCCTCCCCCCTGCATGAAAAAGGCCCACAGAAGTTACTCAACTGACTCCGCAGACCTCGCCTAACCAAGTGCCTTCGGTGATGGGCTGGCTGCAGAAAACTGGGTGCCTGTGGTTACAGGGGCTCTTGTTGGGACTTGATCATTTACGATGACTCTTGTCTCTCTGCACTGCCTCACACTGAGGACTTTTGACAAATGTCTTTCTTTATCAGTTGCATAAATGCTGTCCAAAAACTTCTGGCCCCCTCCCCCGGCGTGTTATCCTCCCCCTCCGTCTGCTCTGATAGTCTGTTTGGCTTTTAAACTGGTCCCACAGGTTCTGCGGGTCACATTTCAGTAGTTTGGGTGGTTTTGTTTTGTTTGAGGGTCTTAAGGAAAAACGGCGCTGCTTCTCTTTTCAGGTGTCATTCGTGGCTCATTTCGCCGGGATTGTTGCCGGGATGACCATCGGCTACGTCTTCTTCAGCGCTTATGACCACAAGCTGCTGAAAGACCCACGCTTCTGGATTTGCATAGTGGGCTTCATAGTATTCTTTATCTTTGCAGTGCTCTTCAACATATTTATCTCGCCAGCACAATAGCACTGTAAAACTGCAACCGGAAATCCTCGTGCCTCTCAGGGAGACGCATTTTACTGATCCAATTCAGGGATTCAAGAATGTTTCATTCATCACTTGTTTTCATATCGGTCAGAATTTTCTATTTTTAAAGTTTCAATTGTGCTTTCTGGTGAAACGCTCCCTCCTGCTGTTGTCGTGTAGCACTGCAGGGATTTAAGACAAAGAAAGGGTGCCAGTAGGATAGTGTGAAAAGTCTTTTTCCTATCCAGATTAGATCTCGGCACTTGTTTGGTGTGCTGTAACACTTCTGACTTTTTGGATTTAACATGACATTTGTAAATGCTCATGTTTTTTCTAGATTTATGTTCTTTATATCTGCTGTTTTTCCAATGAATCCTTACCAACTCTATGCCAAAATCCAACTTAAACATATTTCTTTATTTAGCAAATGTTTTATCCTATGTCACTGTTATTTTAACTTTATTTTAACTGCTATGATTGTATTGAATTGGTTAATTTAACGTCATAACCCATCTTAACTTTGTAAGTATTCATTTTCCTAATTGTCTTAATTGTCCTAATTTTCCATGTAATGTATCAATATTAAAATGTAATTTCTTGTGATACAAGGCATCAGTTCAGAAACAGATTATATCTGAAGTTATCCTCGTTATTCACATTTACAATTAAACTTGAGACTTTTTTTCTATTTTCATGTGAAATATTTGCATTAAATGTCACTACTTGTTTTTAAAAACATGTTTTTCAAGTTTGAATCAACATATAAGGAATTCATTTTAACTGGAATACCATAACATGGTTTTAATCTTTAATTCAAGTAAATAAAAAGTGCCCTTTTAAAAAGAACTCATATAACACCTCATGTTGAACCTGAATGATGCCAGCCGAAGCTTTCATGTATTTGTTTTCATCCCGGTGCTGGGTTTACGTATGTTTTACATCTTTTCCTGACCTTTTAAGACTATTTTGATGGATAATCATTTAGGCACATTATCAATAAATGCCAGGTAGGATAGTTTAGGATATTTAGTGCTGGACTATGAAGTCAGAGGCACAGAAATCCCTTTTTCTGTATTGAAAAAGACAAACTTAAAAAAAAACAACAAGCAGCAAAGCATGAAATCAGAAGGGGAAACAGGTTGGTTATTTCACTACAACTGAAACCTATTGATTGAACAAGGCTTGCACGGTAACTGGTATTGATAATGTGAGGATTCCAAGCGTAGAGTGCATTTCTATTTGTCCATGCAGAAAAAAAACCCGATAAAGCTGATGCCCACTGCACGAGCGCCACGTTTACATTTAATTCAACTGCATAATGGATTTGCTCTAAATGTGGGAAATTGCAACTGAAAAAGCAACCAATATAATTCTGATATATTTCGTCGATGCAAAAATAACATGTGTAACGCCCCAAATAGGGAAGTAATTTGGGGAATGGCAGCTAAGTCTCGATGCCCCTTGGGTTGCCTGAAACCCGCTTTGGCTCATAATGCTGGCCAGATCCAGCCTGCTATCAGGACTTTTCTCATAGAAATAGCAAATTTTACCTAAAACATGAACTTGGAGATAACTTCTGAATCTGGTCCACGTTCACACACAGAGTCAGACCAGTTGACGGTGACTGGGCTGGAGAGTTTGGTTGAGTGGGCTAAAATGGGACGAGATCAGCTTTTATGCAAATAAAAATGACAAAAATGATTTATTGACGATTGTAATTGATTTTGAATTTGTGCGAAAGGGGATTAAACTACGTCCCTTTAATATAGTTGAACATCAAAACTTTGGGAAAAAAGCACAGATGTAAAATATTTGTCCGAAAAGGTCAAATTTAAGTTGGCTTTTAAAGTCGTACTATCACAAATCATTTGTAAATTTACTCACCAAAAACATTCCAAAAGATTATCTTGTCCATTCAAAGCATTGGACAAAAAAAATGATTATTATTTGATTATTTGATCTGATGATAATCTACAGATTTCACATAAAACTTTGTGTGGCTATTTGAGTGTTTTGTGTAGCACAGGCAGTTATTTTAGGCCGCAGTGGCCTCTGGTGCTGGTGAGGGCTGAGGTTGTATTAATGTGAATCATGTAAATCAGTGTTTAAGACTCCCCCGCAGCAGCTTCCTGCGCTGATGCCATAAGCGGTTACATCCCACCACTCTGAAGCCCCGATCTATCCCAACACATCAGTGAAGCCGTTGGTATTGATGTCCTGTGCTTTACAGCAGTGTTGGCAGCTTTCCCTCAGCAGCTCAGATATATGTTTCTGGCGACGTGGAGGCAGAGGAAGGTTAACAGAAGTTTAGGTGATGTGGATGTGGACTCGTGGAGACCATCAGAATTTTCTGCACCTTTTTTTCTGCTGTGTCAGGGCTGCATGACAAAGGGGGATTCAAGTCACCACCGGCAGTCCGTCCATGCTGCTGCAAGGTAAGGGGACCACACCACACAGAACTTTGCAAAAGGGAACATCTCTGTAGTCTCCTGTACACTATTTTGAACTTATAATGTCACCATGTCAGTTTTTTCTTCTTTTTTAAACAGTGATCATGAACATTCTGTATGTGGCATCATCTTTACAAATCTGTTTAAAGTCCATCTGTTTAAGAATTGTGCTCATCAGTCTGTCTGTTGTTGACTTTCCATTAGTCATAATGGTAGAGTGAAGATGGGAGACTGGAACTTCCTCGGAGGGATTTTGGAGGAGGTACATATCCATTCCACTACAGTGGGCAAAATCTGGCTCACGATCCTGTTCATCTTCCGCATGCTGGTGCTCGGGGTGGCGGCCGAAGACGTGTGGAACGATGAGCAGATGGACTTTATTTGTAACACCGACCAGCCTGGATGCAGGAACGTCTGCTACGACTTCGCCTTCCCGATCTCCCTCATCCGTTACTGGGTGCTGCAGGTGATTTTCGTCTCCTCGCCCTCGCTGGTTTACATGGGCCACGCTCTCTACCGGCTGCGGGCGCTGGAGAAGGCACGGCAGAAGAAGAAAGCACTGCTCTGGAGGGAGCTGAAGCTGGTCGACGTGGAGCTGCCAGTGGCCAGGAAGAAGATAGAGCGCGAAATGAAACAGCTCGATCATGGGAAGCCCAACAAAGCTCCGCTGAGGGGCTCGCTGCTGCGCACTTATGTGGCTCACATCATCGTCCGCTCTGCTCTTGAAGTGACCTTTATGGCGGGCCAGTACGTCCTGTACGGTTTTCACCTCTACCCGCTCTTCAAGTGTGAGCGGGATCCTTGTCCGAATGCTGTGGACTGTTATGTTTCCAGACCAACGGAAAAAAGTGTCTTCATGGTGTTCATGCAAAGCATAGCCGCCCTCTCCCTCTTTCTAAGTGTCTTGGAGATCATGCACCTGGGCTACAAGAAGATAAAGACGACCATCTTAGACTTCTATGCCCCCACGAGAGATGAGAGGGGTGAATTTGATGATTTTCAAACCAATAAATACAATAAAGAAGCATCCCGTAAGGCAACGCTTGTCTCTGCACCAGGTGACTTCACCCTGCTGACTGAGGGCCTGCAGGTTCCAAACGCGTACCCAAACATCATGACACTGTCCACGGTTGTACCTCTTCACAGCCAAGCAGCCGCTCAGAAAAATGGGGATTACTCTGATTTTCCAGCTCAAAGACCCCCGGAATGCTACTCCGCCCCAGCTAATGAGCCCTGCCCACCGTGCAGGGACACCCCAAAGCAGAGGCCAGAGGCTTTTCTTTACCTTCCCCGCCACTGTGAGGGGGATGACAGCAGCCAAAGAGAGAGCCCAGAGCCCCCGAAATGCCCACAGAGACCAGCTCACAATACCTGCTTCCCCACGTTGCCGGTCACAGCGTCAAAGAAGGCATGGCAGGCTCACGGCCCCTTTAAATGCTCCACAGTGCTGGAGAGTAAGAGCTCTGACACAGATTCATACGAGGGCGCAAAGCCCAGCTGCGACCCTCCCTGCAGTCAAATGCAATCAAAATCAATCACACAACATGATGGCCAGGACTCCACTTCAGAATCACTGGATGACTCCAGCTTAGGGTCCAGATCCAACTCGAAAACACCGTCCTCCAACTGCAAAGCATCAATGGCGAGTAACGCCAGCAGCAGACGAGCCCCTGACCTGCAAATCTAAAGTTCAGCCGCTCAGTGAAGACACATTTTCAATGACATTCTAAATAAACCACTTTTTTATCTTCATGGATCATTGTATTTCTGTTTCATGAATAAAAAAAACGTACAACTTTATGAATACTACATTGATAACATCTTTTAAGCTGGTTGTTGGTTTTCTAATTGCGTGTTAACCTTTTCCCATGATGTAAGGAAAAAATTGGTATTCCTACAAAACCATTAACATATTTCATAAAGAAGTTAAGACGGCAGAACTGCTCTTTCCAACAAATGTGCATGACTTTGTCTTGGGTGGATAATACTAATTTGAATGTCACACACTGACAGCAAACAGCTGTAACTTCCAATAACTGATCAGGGAAAAGAATAATTACTATATGAGATATGTGACAGAAGACTGTGCTTTATTTGGCTTGTGACATATTTTTATACTTTTTACAAACACTACATCCACACTGGATTGTAGAAAATAAACCAAAAGACCTTCTTTGGTATGCACATACACTACGAGCAGAGCAGAGTGTTTACAGGTTAAACATATAATAGTTGTTTTGTCACATAAAAGTAAGGAAAGAGAAAGGTTTCCTCACTTCAGAACAAACTTAGTTTACAGAAGATCGAATGAACAAAAAATATATACAAACATGTACAAAATAAGTTATATTGTACACAACAAAGAAGAAAATACGATTCACAAAAATACAGCACAGTTTTAAAAGTGCAGGCTTTACTTTACAGTGGCATCCTGTGTTTGAATTCAGAGACACCAGAACAAACGCATCATAGAGATGTGCTGCTGGGCTCTAGTTAGCTGTGCCTCCGTCCTCAGAAACAGGTTCATGTTGCTGCAGCTGCAGAGAGGAAAAGAAAGGACATCAATTATTTCTTATTTTTTTCATCTGATGACTTTTAAACATTCTGTTGTTTAAAAACTCAGCAAACTCAGCATAAATGAGCCACTTTTATTTGAGTTTCAACCAAGGAGAGAGTGCACCCTTGTGGGCTCTGACGGTAAAAAACAACGTTTAACTCCAAGACTCAATCAAAAACAAAAATAAAAACAGTTCACCCTTGTTCTGAGGTCTTTGTTTTGCTCCTCCAGGCGTGCGCACCTCTGCCTCAGGTCGATCACCTCCTGCTGCAGGGCCTCGGTGTCTGACGTCTGCCCGACAGCTCCCAGGTGCTGCTTGATGAATCTGCATGGAGCGACTTAAAGAACTACACCGCTGCAACTTCATGCATTTCTGCCTCTTATCGTTTCCGTTTATAGAGTTATGGGTGACATATGAGTTTCTACTTACTGCTAAATAGAACATTTAATAACTAATACAGCCAAATAAATATTTACAAGATCAGAGATGTTGGTTTAGATTTAGAAGGATACTCAAGAGCATTGTTGGGCTTCTCTTGTTGTTCATAGAGAGACACAAAAACTGAAAACAAAGAGAAAGAAAGAATTTTGAAACAAACATCAGAACAGTTCTCACATGCAGCTACACCAACAGTTCATGGCAATATGTAACCCCCTGTCATCGGCCTCTTTGAGATCTAAACTTTCACAAGTTTGCGTGAGCTGTATTCTGTGGTAAAATATAGGCAGTAAATAAAGACAAATTCATTACGGTTTCTGTTTTGTATGTCTGGACCAATGTATTCAATAAGACTGGCATGCTTTATTTAAATTTAATTGGATAAATCAAACTGGATGGTGGTGATAGAACTCTAGTAATGCATTTTGAAATGACTGATTTCCAGTTCGAATTGTCTTTGGAAGTTCAGTCCAGCACACCTGATTCAAATGAGTGTCTGCTCAGCATCAGGCCTTCTTAATCAGTGTATTTAAGTGGGAGATGAGCTGCAGCAGGGAAACACTAACAGCATAAAGAATGGGGGTCCACTGGACCAGAAATGGGGAAACGATGTACAGTAAAAATAAGTTCATACCACTAGTGAGACTGTCAACGACACCAGCCTTTTCTAGATATCTTCTAAACTGTTCCCTCTTGGAATCTGGAGCCTGGAAAGGGAAAAGAGAGTAATAAAAAAACAACAAAAAAGTTTCCTTAAAAATATGACTTTAAAACTATGGGGAACAGAATGACAAATTAAACGTAAATTTTACTCAACACCAAACCTGCCACCAAGGAAAGGCAATAATAGCTGTAGTTTGATCCATATCGTGGTTACATCCAGCGTTCTGTCTCTCATTAACAGCAAAACCCGGACTTTCAGGTTCGGTTTGACTCGTGATAAATACATGAGCTTAGCTGTACATTTGTCAACAACATAAGAAAACAAAGCATTATCAAGCACACTTACCCTATGATGCGCCATGATGATATCAGATTTTAAACGGACTACAAAAAGGCTATATTTTTTTGTCCCAGTTGATGTTTGAACTCTTAATTGTGTAAAGCAAACGCACTGCAGGGTTGGAAAATTAAGTTTCGTTTTAACGCCTGCTTTGAAGGGACAGATCATTCGATGATATGTTCAAGGGATCATCGTATAACACGGGCGGCAGTTTTCTTTTAAAATAGCCACTTGCCGGTCGATATGATGACAATGTTCTGATATGACAAATGCCAATCATCAGTTATTGGTTTGAAGCCACGCAACTTTCATTGAAGCGTAAGTTTGGACGAACAGCTAGGTTGCAAATAAAATATACATATTGCCAGCCTTCGTCAAATTGCTTACAGCCTTCCTTCTCAGTTTTGTTCACATTGCTATTGTCGTTAAGTTGTTTTTTAGAGGATCATATTTGGAAAGTTAAAAAAAATCGGAAGAAAAATCCTTATTATCATAGTTAATTTTATTTTTGATTCTTTAAAGTTTTTGTTCCGATATTTTAGAATGACATTGAACGCCTCAACTTTACTGTAGTGACTCCATCTGCTGGTGGATCATGAAAAATAACTTCTCCCTCTGTTTTGTTCATGTTATAAAACTTTCACAAAATGTTCCCCTTTTCTGCCAACATTTTTTAAAACTTAGTTACATAGATAACATGCTAATAAATCCCTGGGAGGGGAAATGTTGGTTTTCCCTAACCTCGGGCCTCTAAACAAGTCTGAGTACAAGTCAGGTGACAGCGACAAACCTCAACGGAGTGGCAGTCAGTTAAGCCAGTCATTTTTCGTGTTGCAACCTGAATAGCCAATCAAAACTATGGGGCGGGACCAAAGAGCAAGTTTTTTTCAAGGGAGAGGAAATCCTTAGGAAATGTGTGGGATCACGCTCTGTGTTTCTTAGTGGCTTGCACGTTAATGACAAATTATTTTAGCGCGAGACGTTAATTGCGTTTAGTGTCCCTCTTCCGGCTCAAAGACGGGTGCGCTGAGCAACAGCTAAGGGGGGTAAATCGGCGAAGCGACCGTCGTTAGGTCAAAATGTCGATTCAGTACGAAGTGGAACAGCTGGCTGACAGCTACGGGGTTGCGGACTCGTTCCCCAAAGACTTCGGTTATGGTGAGGAGGAGGCCGACATCGAGGACAGTCCAGCACCGTCCGACAGTAAACCCCGAATCCTCCTCATGGGTTTGAGACGAAGTGGCAAGTCTTCGATACAGAAGGTGGGCAAACATTTAAAAGAGTTAGCTTTAGGAGGCGAGCGCTGCCTTCCTCTGGCTCACACGAGTCAACGGGACATTAGCCAAAACAGCTAGCGAGTCAGTTTAGCTTGTTGCAAGCGATGATTGCCATCAATCAGCATACAGTGTGTCCAGCTAAATGAGAGCGGAAGAAATGCAAGAAAAGAGCTAATAACCACTAAACTCTCACAGTTAGCTAACGTTAGCTGCAGCTGTTAATTATTAACTGGATGAACAGAGACACCGTGTGCATCTGTATTGATATGTAGACATGTAGCATGTGACTGTTGGATTAATAACTTGTCCAGTATGCCAAGTACGTAAGTTCCACCCAGTTGTGAAACACAGCAGGTCTGTTCCGTATATTTCACATGACAACAATCTGACCACACCTTTAATTTTGTTTTCGTTGGAAATCAGTGCATCACTTTTACAGTTTGTCTAATATCCTCTTTCCCTCTGTTTGTGATCTGGGTCTGGATCACAGACCCAGTCCTGGGGGGGAGGGATTTGGGGGGTCCCTGTACTGTATGTACATGCACTCTATCACCTCTTGTGGTCTTGTGATTGAATTAGTAGATTAGACAAAAAAGACTGAAACTAAAACCTAATTCCATTTGGGGTATTTAAGGTGATGCTTTCTGTCACCATTTTAGTGTAGCTCCTCTTGAAAACCGCTAGAAAAAAGGTTAATAATTTCATACACGAAATAATCACAATGTATCAAGCAGCCAGATTGCAGGTTTGGGCCTCTATGAACAACCATTTACGTTTGCGTGATGTAGCAAACTACATGCCAAGGTTTGCCATTTCAGAATGAGACTAAGTCTGTTACTTTAAGGCCGGCGCTGTGGCTAAATTATAGATGCTTTGGTGCCCTCTGATATTTTATTATTTATGATAGATTTCAGGGGGAAGGAGAATAAGCGGTATGCACGCTGACATAAGAAGGGTCCCAGCAAACAGAAAGGAGCAACTTTTCTGTACTAAAGTGTTGGGACACGCTTGGCTATAATCCACACAACCTCATGTCTAAGATTAATGTTCCTCAGTAAGCCTTTGGTTTGTGTTGAGAAACATGTGATTTGGCTTCTTGCTGGTTCATTGGCCTGTGATTTTTGTGGCTCATACAATGATTCAAAACACAGACTCCCCAGTTCAGCTTATTTAGTGTATCGAATAGCATTATTAGGCTTTGATTAAAATATAACTGTAGTACAACTGACTGGTGTTGCCTTACTGTGTTAAAGGCTTGCCGATGAAAAATGCTTAGTAATGTGTTACATCAGAGGAGTCAATCTGCAGTGTTTTGCCCTTTTCCCTCCTTTTTAACATGTGATGCCCGGATGATGTCTTTGTGCTGAAATCATCAAAGCAAAGTATGCCAGTGTTTGACATTCTTTCCAGTGAAAACAAGATTTGATTATTAAAGTTCAGCAAGACTCTAAATTTTGTAAGACAACCCGTTGCAACATGCATAACTAGTGAGATTTAAAAACCCTTCAGTGAGTGCTCTGTATATGAGGTTATGGTTATGTAAGTCCGAAAGCGTTCTTTAAAAAAAGAACTATAAACTTAAGTATTAGTGGAGACTGACATCCTGTCAGATGTGAAACTTACACTGTTGATCCTGATCAGACAGATATACAAGGATTTCATAACTTGTCAGAAATTGGATCTCTAATCTTAAAAAAGCAGCACATTTCATTAAAAGTAGCCTTACCTAGTGAGTGTTTGTGCCTACAGTTCAAATGTTGATTGGAGTACAAAGTTGTCTTGTAATTTCAATCATTACTGTGTAAGAAAGTGTTTGAGTTGGTTGGAAGTTTCACCACAACATCTTTAGAACAGATTTACTCCAGCATGTTGTATCATTAGTTTAATTTCTTTACACATCATTCATCAAAAAGTTATTTGCTTTCACTGGACTGAATCACGAGAAAACTTCTGATTTCAGGTTGTGTTCCACAAAATGTCCCCGAATGAGACCTTATTCCTGGAGAGTACCAACAAGATTTACAAGGACGACATCTCCAGCAGCTCCTTTGTCAACTTCCAGATCTGGGACTTCCCCGGCCAGGTTGACTTCTTCGACCCAACCTTTGACTACGAGATGATCTTCAGAGGAACCGGGGCTCTTATATTTGTCATTGATGCTCAGGTGAAGAACAGAAACCGTTCATCCTGATTTGACATGGTATCGCTCACAGAAGAAGTTTATCTTTCACAGCAGCAGTTTTCTCTTTGCAAACAACTTTCTGCTTTTAAAAGTGCTGAGATATGCTTTCCTTTTGGGTTAAAAGTGGACATCAGACTATGTTTTGCGTCTCACTCATCTGCTTTCTGTTTCTTATCGGGGAAAAGGTGCATGCATAAAGACAACAAACTATCCAAGTGCTGAGGTAATACAGGGCGGAAACTCATTTCAAGCCTTGAGTGAACCTTGGGATGAAGCTTGGATAAATTACATGCTGTGGTTTTTATGCGAGTGCGCTCCACAGGATGCTGAGTGCTCTGAGGAAGTCGTCTCGGGAGCCATAGAAGCCACGGCTAATGTGATTGCAGGCTTTATTTGTACTCTAGGTGCCATCAGATTGAATTTGTTTCAGCTGTTGGACACAACGATTTGAGAGCTGAGTGGTTTTCCTGTTATTGTTTTGGGAACACAGGGGTCCGTTTCCTGGTACCTGGTGTGCAGCCGAGGAGACACCTTTATTAGTTTAATTAGTTCCAACAACTTATAAAGACCTTAGGCTTAGAGCACAGCATTGTTGTAACTTATCATTAAATAAGAACGTGTCTTACTTTTCATACTATCTGTCTCAAATGCAGCTGAAGGTTTGACATGTTTAAAACATCATGACAATAACTTTATCTTTAATCTTTGAAATGTTAAGAGTCGTCCTCAATTTGGACTTCTTGACCTTTTTTTGTTTCATGATTGGCTTTGTGTGTCGTGTACTGTTTGTAAATGTCTGCTCTTATCGGTTGTAGGATGATTATGTGGAGGCTCTGGGCAGGCTCCATCTCACTGTGTCGCGGGCCTACAGGGTCAATCCAGAGATCAACTTTGAGGTGTTTATCCACAAAGTGGACGGCCTGTCAGATGATCACAAGATTGAAACACAAAGAGACATCCATCAGAGAGCCAATGATGATCTGGCAGACGCAAGTTTAGAGAAGCTGCATCTCAGGTTTGTTTTTAACATCTGCTCACGGCAGGAAAAGAAAAAGAATGCTTCACAGTTATTGTTTATGGAATGTGTTCAGAAAGTTTTCCTATTCACTCTGCGGAGTTGACACCCACCCACAAGCTCCATAATACAACATGTGACCATATCACACATCTAAAGACCGTGAAAAAGTATGTTAGGCTTTAGTTCCTGAATTATTTACTAAAGAATTGACTGAAGACCTGTTATAAAGTCCTAAAAGAGGAATTTTACCATCAAAGTTAGCAGGGATTTGATTGATACTAATACTTCCAAGAGTCAGATATGGTCTTCCTCGCTCGTTAATCTGGACCTGAGAAAAAACTTTGCACACAAGAAGAAGAAGAATCTGTAACAAGCAAGTGGGTGGTTTGTAACTTAAACTGTATGTATTTGTTCTTGTTTGTGTTGTTCTGCCTCATAACAGAAGTGTTCAGATGTCAGCGATTTACACCTTAAAGCTTATAGTCTAACTTTCTAAATCAGGAGCTGTGAAACTGACCTGTTATGGCTCCACCATTGATCTTAAAAGATTGACTGTATAACATCCACAGCAATGATTTAGTGATGATTCTTCCTCTATTGTACGTCAGTCCTTTCTCTGCTACATGTTCTGCATACTCTCATGATCCTGTGAGATTAGTCTCTGGCCTTCTAATGAAGAAACACAGACTTGTGCTTCAGATGCCAGAGCTGCTGTGATTAAAGCTTCAAATTGCAGACCCAAGCTTTTTCCAATTGTCTTTTGGGACTTCTCAGCCAAAAAGAGACGCCGTGCACGCTGTGCACTCGCTTCTGTTGGCACATGCCAGACAGCAGCCCTGAATCGGTGTGTGCTTCCACTCATTAAAGCGGTGTTGCTGAATCAGAGACATCAGCATAGATGGTGCTGAGATCCACACTTAGCCTTTTTTACTTCTAAACTATGGCCTCTAGGTTGTGGGATCTGGTAGTTTATATCTGCTGTTTAATTTGATGAATTTCACACCATCTGTTTTGATTGGATTGAGAAAAACTTGCATTGGGCAGAAATACAGAGGAAATGTCTGTTAAATATCTGTTATTATGATCAAAAGATCCCTTCTCCCTGTGCAAAATATCTTTTTCCGAATAAAACGAATGAAGAAATGACCAGGTAAAGAATTTCAAAGGAGTTTTAAAATAAAATAAAAACATATATATGTATATATATTGGAGCCTTGGGAACTTTTTTTGCTCTGCCTTGTGGATCTCTGATGACTTTTATTTTTTATTTTTTACTGCGTTGTAAAACTGACTCTCTGCCAAGTGAATGCAGACACTTCCATTTTGCTCAAACCACTGCCTCTTCAGGGTCTAAGGTTCAGGAGTCATGTGCGGCCCGTTTTGCAGCCGTCAGATGAACACAATGTCAGCACCGAGTTAACTCCTTCATGCCTGGGCTTTCATGTCTGGTTCTAAGCTCTTGTCATTGAGGTTTTTCTGATTCCTCCATCCGTTTGCCACAGCATCTCGTGACCGTCTGTTTCTTTACCGGGTTTCACAGGCAATTAGAGGAAGTGCATCCTTTGAGTATTTGCGTATTCACTTCCTTGTTCTTGTGCGTCTCATTCAGCTTTTACTTGACGAGTATTTACGACCACTCCATCTTCGAGGCCTTCAGCAAGGTGGTGCAGAAGCTCATCCCTCAGCTCCCCACCTTGGAGAACCTCCTAAACATCTTCATTTCTGTAAGTAGACAATGTCCAGCTCTTCTCTGGATTCATGCTGTTCAAAGTCTGATTTTGCGTGTGATGTCCCTCATGGTGTGACTCACAGGCTCCCTACAGGCTATCATATGGTGAGCAGTTCCTCCAAGTACGGGATATTTTGAGAGATTTGAAGTGGGGTGGAGTTATTTATCTATCTTTAGATCAAATTATTATCAATGAAAGGATCAGTTATGAACAGCTGTCATAGATATATACTTCCAAAGGTGTTTTGTACCTCTGAATGATTCAGTACATCCCCTCACATCAGCGCTCCATCATTAAATGGCAGTTGTAAAAGATGTCAGAAGCTTCTTATTTCTTATTCGCATTATAATAACTTCCTTCTTTCTGTTCTTTGTGTTATTTCTCCTTTTTTCACTGACAGAATTCAGGGATTGAAAAGGCCTTCCTTTTTGATGTGGTCAGTAAGATCTACATCGCCACAGACAGCTCGCCCGTCGACATGCAGTCCTATGAGCTGTGCTGCGATATGATCGATGTGGTCATTGATGTCTCCTGCATTTATGGGTGAGCATGTTGGCTTCAGCTGATCAAAAAAACATAGTCCAGACTCCATATGTGAGGTTAGAATTAAAAATAGATGTAAAGTTTTTGTTAACTTAAACCATCAATAATTAATGCTGGAAGGTAGTTGCTGGAGTTCATCCACGTTATTTCTTAGGATGCTTTCAATGTCTCAAAACTGCATTTTACCCCCCGCACGTCCCACTCCCTTCAAACATTCTTCTGTTTCTGGTGCTGCACCAGGCTGAGGGAGGATGGCAGCGGCAGCGCCTACGACAAGGAGTCCATGGCCATCATCAAGCTCAACAACACCACTGTGCTGTACCTCAAAGAGGTCACCAAGTTCCTGGCCCTCGTCTGCATCCTGCGAGAGGAAAGCTTTGAACGCAAAGGTGGGCGTGCCCCCAACACGATTCAAATGTGTTGCAGTACATAGAGGAAAAAAAACAAAATTACTGACACATTATTACAAAAAAACAAGCTCTTAATGTAGAAAGTCCTGAAAGCCTCATCTGATATAATCCTCAGGATGCCATCATGCATGAATGTAATCCACACTAAAACCTTTTCAGTATTTTTTTATGTTATCCTGTGTAGAATATCTAAAGTATGTTTTGTTTTGTTCTGTTTTTTTTATTATTTTTTTTAAAATACATTTGTTTTGTGCCCCCAGGATTAATAGACTACAACTTCCATTGTTTCCGGAAGGCCATCCATGAGGTGTTTGAGGTGGGCGTTTCCACACCGCGCCCCGTTGGCCCTCAGGCGGTGGGCTCGCCTTGCAACAAGGCCGTGGCACTGAACGGCACGCCGCGCAGCACTGTCTAAACTCTGATGCACAGTAAGAAATACAGAGACAGCAGAGGAAAGGAAAGACGGAGAACGGTCAGGGAGCCTATGGAGGAGAGACTACTCAGCTGGGGCTCATCGGTGCACCAGTTACAATCCCCTTGCTCCCAGCTACAAAAGCCCAGAGGGGCCTCCAGCCCTGAGAGAGTGGGAGCAGCACTGGAGTTTAGAGGCATCTGTTTTAGGTGAATGTAAAGCACTGTGTTGGCTGTGAGGAAGTCAAAAAAATGTTGAGCTACACCTGGACTACAAAACGGTTCAGGACCTCTCCTGTGGATTTCCTAAAGCGGCCAAACCTGTGGCAATTAGCTGCTGGCTCTTCTATGTGAACCACGTGAGGAGGAACAATACCTTCTGACCTCTGCTGGACAAACTGTGATGTCAGGATCCTGTCTAGTGATGAAGCCGACCACTTCTGTGCTGAGGGAGATGGTGGATGTGAACTGTAAGTCCTAACCCACACATGTTCAGAGATGGCCTTATGTAGATGAAGCTTGACTGCTGTGCAAGCTTTCTCTCACCACCACTCACCTCACCATACCTGGATGCTGCCCAAAACTTGCTTTTTGGTTCCACTTGTGAAAGGAAAACAAGGGTTTGTGACTGAAAAGGGATTGTGCTGTCCATCTTACTTGTTGACTGTGTATGTGTGCAGGCGCCTATATGTATGACTGTGTGTGTATGTGTGTTTCAATGGAAGGTTTTGATTAGACCCCACACAGGCCCCCTGTCTGTAATCCTTCATCTGGATAACAGCAGCGTGGCAGATTTAAACTCTTCTCAAACATTAAAACAAATTTTTGTGTTTATTCCAATGAAAATCAAACATCTTATTGGCTTCCTGATGGTTCTGAAAAGTTGTTGAGCTAGAAATATAACTAAGGTCACTACGCGAACACTGCCAAAAGGATGAATTAAAAATGCCATGATCACAACTTCAGAGAAATCTTGTCGAGGTGCAGGACTGACTAGGGAAATGTTGGGCCTAACATCTGAACTGGTTGATACTGCATGTATTTAAATGAACAGCTTTAGTCCTGCGCAAAATTCAGAATCTTTTTTTTCTTTGGTGTCTAGTTTGATCACAAGAGTTCACATGAACAAAAGGTTTCCATTCCAAGCATGCAAACATCATCGTGTCGTTAACTTGTGGCGTCCTCAGCCATAACACTGCTCATTGTTATCACAGGGAAAGGTTGAAATTGAAGCGAGAGAGGTGGAGAAACGACCAAATTTAATTGCCCCAGCCATGACGGCAACACAGGCAACGTCCATGCCTTGCTGTTTGTTTATATGAAAGTCGAGAGATCTAGATGAATAAAGTGACCGGGGGCCAGAGTTAGTAGCTTTGTGAGGTAACCTGGGATGTGTATCAGTGTAAACCCTTTGACACTCACAATGCTTTTTTATTTTATTTTGCTAGCTTTGAGCATCTCAGCAGATTTTAGTCTACAAAGTTTAAATGTATCTCCTCTCATCATCTTTAATATATTTTCTTTGGTTTTTCCTGCGGGCAATGTACAGTTTAATTCATCGTTTGGTGCCAACGTCGCCATTTTATAGCAAGAAGTCGCACACAAACACAGTGGGAGAACCTTCTCCAGCTGATCACCAGTCGATTAGCTTTTCCAGATATAAGAATATACTCTGGACGTATTGAATCTGCTTGGTAGTACAGGTCTGCTCTAGGGACCAGGATACCACAATGTCTAGATAACTTTCCTGAGTAAAATCTAAAGGTAGAGTGTGTTTTGTTCAGCAAAGTTAATCAGGGATCTTCTTGAACCTTCTGCTCAAAACAGGCCCAAGATTTCGTCAATATTATCAGTCACCTGAAATAAAGTCACCTCTTCATTGTTGCACAAAAGAACCGTGACGGATGATTGATTTAATGTATTGTGATGCAATACTGTGTGAAATAAATGATTAAAATGACAGCGTGTTTTCTTGTATTGGGGACACAAAACAGGGAACCGAAGAAGCCAAGTGCTCTTCAGGTTATTAGAGTAAAAATGACAAAGTAGTTGCGGGGGGTCGTATAAGTTCAGACTTATTTAGGCTTTTCTGCTTCTGCTCTTATGCCAAACATGAAGCAAAACTGCAAACGGTCACAAGGTGGTGCTGCAGGACTGCTGAAGTCCTACAGCAGGATGTCGGCTATTCTTTTCCCTTCTCAAGGACTTATAACTCTTTTTTGTTCCACCTGTTTTGTTTTGTTTTTTTGCAAGCATGCTTCAGTCCCCTCAACACAGTTGGTGACTAATACAGCCTGTTGAAACGGAGCATAAATATTAAGATTTCCTAAAGTGAGAGAATTGGATCAAGAGCAAACTGGGTTATTGTTGATGAAACTTCAATTAACAAACAGCTCCCGTCAGATTCATGGTAACCGTCAAAGTGAGCTGAATGACATTTCCTTTTTTTCGAGTATGACCAGCAAAAAAACATAATCCGTCAATGAAATACACTTTTTAGTTGGCTTTTGTCCAGACGGTATTGAGGTGTGACAGCGGGCAGAGGAAACACTCCTGCCTCACCGCTGTGAGTTTTAGTGCACATAAAAACAACTGCGAATAGCTTTGCCTTCTAAGTTATTCACCAGTTAAGTTAAATAAGCCTCACAGCCTCTGTCACGACCCATTATGTGGGGAGCAGGCGAGACAGCTAAACACCACTTCCACACAATTTAGATGCAATAAAACACTGACAGCTTTTTTATCCACTTCATTAAGCCAGTAATTTCTTATAAAAATCTCCTGCATTAATCCTGCCGATGGTTTCCCTGCGGTTCCTTAAGCTCTCCTCCAACCTTACCCGCCTTGCTTTGATGCTTACTCAAATAGGCGCTAATTTGAGATAAATTATGCATCCGCATGTAGCCTACCCATGCCAGGGAATATAAAGTGTGACACTCTGAAAGATGGTGAATTAAAGCAAAGTGTGATACCTCGACGGGCTAATGGCAGATAGGTTAGGCCTGTCAGCCTGACGGTTTGTTGATCCACACGTCACTTCATATTCAGGGATGGGTATGGGTCGTGTTTATGAGGGTGTGAAGGTCAGCGTGGAGCAGGTTTTTCGGGGCCTCAGGGTGGATGCACAACTTACTATGATGAAGCGCTTCAAAAGCTGGCCCGTATCAAACAACTTTTCTTTTTTCACGCACGGATCAATAGCACCAGCGTGTGATTTCAAGTGTCACAGCAGCAGAAAACGCACTTCTCATAAACCTGGACGTTTTTACGCAAAAACAGAAGCTCAAAACCAGGGTTGCCAAACACACTGAAGTGTGAGACAAAAATAGCCTCAAATAAAATGCATCACCAGCATCATTTGAATACAGATCTGACACTTGATGGAGGAAAATGGTGTCTTTTTATTGGAAGACGGCTTTGTTGGCAGCCTCATAAACGGCTATCGCTCTGGTTGAGTTGCAGGATAAGAAAATAAAGCGTGTCTCACGGTGCAGGAAGTCAGGCTTATTGTGAGTCCAGACTCCGGAGCACGTGTCCCTTTAGGCACTCGCCAAAAGAAATAAAAAAGCTTTTGGAAAACAGTTGCGTTAAAACGGCCTCCACACTCCTGCCGTGGTCTATCCTCTGAATGTCAGAGCAAATAAGTTAGACGAATCAAAGTTAGAGTCATGAAAATAGTTGAAATAATGGGTTTGCTGCCACCTTGATTCATCACCATCTGTAGGTGGGGCTGTTGTCTGATGTTTGGGCTGCCTTATCCTCCACCCTCTGCCAGTCTTTCTGCTTCGCAGTGCAGGCGACACCACCATCAGCACCACATCCAAAGTCCATCCGCACGCAGAGAGCTGGAGGAAAGGGAGATGTAAGGGAAGTTCAGGGAGGACCGGAGAGGGAGCCGTATGATATACAACTGTAATTTGGCGGCGTAGCAGCAGCTGAAATTGCCTTGCTTTATCAACGCTGCGCTGCTTTGTCCCCCTGCTCTGCTCCTAATAAGGAAGCCTAACCATTCTAATGAAATAAAGCAAGCAGAACACACTTTTGCCTGTGATGTCATGCTCACTTCCGCAGGCTGGTCCCCCCCCCCCCCCACCCCACCCCCCCCCAACCATCTTACATCTCTTAGAATCATTACGACAATGATATTGCCATTACGTTCTTAATAAAGCTCAGTCAGCGGTGTACTATCTCTCATCTTTACATTTTATTAGCCGTGCTTATGAGAGATGAGGGGAAAATGATGAGACTAAGTGAGACGTCTGAGATAGGTGACAGATGTAATACAGACCACATTTGTTATATTGTGAGACAGCGCAGCTTTGGTGAGTGCGATTATGCAGGGGAAGACGAGGCAAGATGCAGCTGAGATTAATGGTGTGGAGGTAGTCTCCCAATACTGCACAACAGACGACACATCTCAGACAAGTTTGGGACATTTTGGATGGAAGCACAGCTGATACAACACAATCCTTTAACCTTTGCAAGAAAAACACAAAGCATGACTATCTGGTGCAGCGGTGCAAGGGTGAAGATACGATAAAACAGGAAAATATATATTTTTTTATTTGGAACTATTTTCTCTTTTTAAATGTCTTTGAATTGAACTCACCACTTTTTTAATTGAATCCAATTTGATATCTAGTTAAAGTCATGATTTGGGTAAATGAACAGACTGTTGCCATGACGTGATGGTCGCCAATTTTTCTGCATATTTAACTTTATATGTCAGTGTTTCGATCATGGGCACTGATCCACCCTATGTATGAGTGGAAAGATAGAAAGGAAATGACATTTTTGACTCTTACTCTGGACGATTTGTGTTGCAGGCCTAACTGTTTAACATAAACCAGAGAAACCTATTTTTGAATTGCTAGAGCACATTAAAGAAATAAAATAAAATCAACTTAAGACCTAAAAACAACGACAAAAAATGATTTTTTGGGCTGAAACACCAACAGAAAACCCAGTTGGAATCTTTAAGTGTTCGAAGTGGGACGCGTTTCGTGTTGGACAAACTATTTTACAACCCAACTTCAGCAACAGGAGAGGGGGGTAAAAAAAAAAGAGAAAAGCAGGGGGAAAAAAAGACAAGAAAGTGGGAAAGAGTTAGAGGAAGGGACAGGCGTCTCCTGCATTTTCTGGTCAGGCAGCGGAGCATGGCGCGCCAAAGAGAGGCCAGCGGGCCAGCAGCCAGCTAATGGGGACCAGCCGGGCGCGGGGGCCCGGGACCGCGCTGACAAAAGGAGCTGCGACAGATGCCATTATCTCAGCCTCATGCAGATACAATGGAGCTGGACAACACAGAACCCTGACACCAGAAGACGTGTGCGCGCGTGCGTCTGTGTGTGTGTATGTGTGTGAGTGTGTTGAGAGCAGTAGGGTGTGCGTGTGTGTACGCTGTGAGGTTAATGGAACAGGATAGAGAAGTGGATTATCGTGGAGACTACAATTTCTTGGTAACACTTTGAGCTCTGCTGCACCCCCCTGCATGCATGCGTGTGTGTGTGTGTGTACGTGCGCATGCTACTCACATGTGAATTTGAGTATATAGCCCACATGACCTCGCCTTGTTACGGCAAGACAGCCGGATCAGTCACCCATCACTTGCTTAGAATTCAGGGGCATCGCGGAGAGCGCATCACATTTGGTTCCCGATTTCACTGGGTGCTGCTATCGGACTCAAATTATGCAGCATTCACTTGAACCAAGGATGTTCTGGTCATTTGGACAACCGAAAACGTGTCAGGGGGAGGTTTTGGAACAGGGGCGTGTGATGGGGGGGATATGGCAATGCTTTTAGCAGGATTGGCGCTCTTAAGCAGCAGTTTTTTTTTTTTGGGGGGGGGGGGGGGGGGGGATGGGAGGGTGAGGTTTTGGGGGGGGGGGGGGGGGGGGGGGGATCAGAAATGTGAGCTTTAGTCAGTGTAGTGCGGCGACATGGGACAGCGTTATTGACTGGGGCAGAGCATGCTGACAGTGGATTGTCAGCCCCTGCAGTCATTTGCCAGGCCGAGCGAATGCAAGGATCAGAGTTCTTGGAGCTTGGAAAAACAGGAGAAAAAAAAAGATGAAGAAAGTGAGAAAAAAGAAAAATGGGATGCATGATAAAAGACGAAGGAAAAGGCTGGCAACCATACAGCTCATCGAAAAATACCACATCCGCACACACACACGCCGGGGACGCCCCACTGGGTGTCTGACACTGATGCTGCCAGGCTAATCAGGGTACACACCGCCTCTCACACTCGCTCATTAGCGTCAGAGGAGAAGGGAGGCGGGTTGTGACGCTGCAGTGACGTGTTTGTTTGTCTGGTTGTGTTTGTTAACGGAGGCTCGAGCTGGACTGGAAATAGCTAACTAACCTGCTTCTGAGGGATCCTCACGTTAAGTTTAGTCTGTGGTCTTTTTCTTTTTTTCTTTATTTGAACTGCTTGTGAAATATTTACATACGCAAAAAGCTTTTCGGCACAGACTTTTGAAGCTGACTGAAACCAGTTTAATAGAATTTGCAGAGACCTATAACCTTTTTCGTGAGATAAGGTTATAGGATAGTCGTTTTTTGTGTGTTTGTTTGTTTAATTTAGTTTCAGCAAGACACAGAGGTTG